CTAAGATCAAAGTGTAGTATCTGTTCTCGTCGTTTTGAAAGTCGGCGCTGGTCCCATTGGGGCCAGGCTCTTTCAAGCGGATTTTTGGACATCGACCAGGATCACCCGGGTTCACTCGGGCCTGTGTCCCGGATCGTCTCAGCACTACAGTGCCGTCGAGTTCGGTCCACTCCCGTCTCCTTCGAGAAACGGGAACCCTATTCTTATAAACTAAAAAATAAAATAAATTATCAAGTTCGATCTATTTTCACAAATTCGTTAAATACCAAAATTACATTTAGTAATGTTTTAGTAATAACCCTAGTGAAACATCTTGTAAGTAAGATCTTGAAATCTTGGGATTGGTAGGTAAGATCTTATCAAGATCTTTAAAAGATAATTCGCTTGTTCAGATCTTGTCCTATCTGATAAATCTGTACCTAAGATCTTAGCAAGATCATGGCAACGATTTCTTTTACTATTATCTTCTCACAGATCTTCAGTAAGACAGAAAGCGACATCATTAGTTTATTTAGATAGGCTATCTAGTCATTCACCGTTTTTTTATGCATACAGAACAGAATATAAGAAACATGATTGAACATGCAAAAACATAACTTTACAAAATAAGTTTTTTTCTAAACTATTTCTCGACTATTGATTAATCGAGAGGATGCTGATCTCGATCCATGGTCGAGAGAGGACTACCCTAAATTGGTCTGACGAATATCGGACCAACTTAAAGCCGGCCAGATCTCAACATCTGATTTGCTTGAGCTATTCGGGACAGGAATAGTTAATATTAAAATACATTGAAAAAATACCAAACATACTTTCAGAATGCATCATTCAAGATGTTATGAATTCTTATTTAAGATCTGCAATAAGATCTTGGGTACAAGATAACTGTATTATCTTGTACCTAAATTTTCAAGATCTGTTCACTTATCTGTACCCAAGATCTTGACCAAGATCTTACTTACAAGATGTTTCACTAGGGAAAGTGAATGATTTCATCATTCGCCTGTTTAAATTTCAATCTATCTATAATGACAATAGATCGAAAAATCATGATTTTATTTTGAAATATTTTAAATTCAGATACTCTAAAAGAACAAATTCTTGATGATTTTAATAATACATTAACAAGTGTTCGATCTGTTGCATCAATCAGTTCAACAACATCCAGATCTTTAAATTATGATGAACTTCCTCGAATTGATCAACCATCATCATTTGATATATTAAAGATCTGTTATGCTCTATTAATTCGAATATTAGATTTATTACATCGATTAACACTAAACGATTGACTTCACATACATGCTTACAATTAAACAATCCTGTTTCCCATACTATTGGTCTATTTTTTAAACACAACTATTCAAAAATCTTTTTGTTTCGTTTAAAGATAATGCCCGATCGATCTTTCAAATATGTTCATATGTTTATGAAATGGTTTATTTAAGGATTACGAAGTAACTCTGCGAGTTTTGCGGAGAAAGATTCAATGATTTCTTGAAAAAATGAGTCAGTTAGATTCTTTACTTCTAGATAATAATTTTAAATTTATTAACAAAACAAATAGGAAAGTATTCTTAATTTAGATCGAAGTATATTGGTAGCTAATCGTGCAATTGCGTTTCATATCATAGTGGTATCGAGATGAAAATCAGAATAGATCAAAGTGGTTTTTCGTTGGCAGAGTTCTTTCTCGAAATCTGTGTTCAAAGTCACCGTTTGCTCGTTTACTGAGTATGATATTTTGTGTCATATTTATTTTATTTCTGTTGTAGAATTTATGGAATGGTAACTAGGTAGCAAAAGTAAAATATCCCATCAGTGAAAAATATTGCATGGCAGACTCGATTTGAAGAACGATAACTTGTTTTCATTTCAAAATATACAGTGAATGAATCAATTTATTCGCGTCCATTTTATTCATCACCAGCTAACTACAAGAAACGAGCTCGACTTTAATTAAATGAGCACGCAACGCAACTGCTAGACATACACTTATGTCACTGTTTTTTGATCAAATGCATAGGCTAACAAATGATACGATTTTAAAGTTTCTGTTGAATTTCAAAATCCCATAAATGTTAAATCGAATAGTTTGCGAAGGCTAAGCTCAGAAATTAATATTTCTAGTGGTACAGCTAATTGTTTTTATTGGCGATGATCCAACAAAAATCTCATCCATATGTTCGCGATGATACAATATTTATTAAAATCATGTTTGATGTTGGTGATATGTCAAAGGCCCCGATCTATATCCAACAATTATTGATTGAAAAAGAAGTAATGTTGTCACAACAATCAATTGAAACTGACTTCGACAAAGATCATTACAATAGCCAGCAAAGTTCCACATGAAAACTTCTTTTCTTACTATCATCATCTATTGTAATCAAGTGTTTTTTATTAGTTGGTGCTAATTTAGACTTTGATATGTTTACAAGTATTTTTACATTCAATTGTTTAATTACATAATCAGAGTTGATGACTACTGTTTTTCAAGAATATTTGCATAATAGTAAAATCAATATAACATCAAAATAGAGAGAGAGAGACATAGTTATAATTAAAGAATTACATTTAAGAAAACATGATTATTAAAAGTAAATTGGCTTAGTTTTTCTACTTGCAAAATAAAAAAAAAGATGATGGGAAAAAGTCAACATCTTTGAATTAGTATAAAAATTAGTAACATGAATTACAGGCATTTTGCTTCGCATTCTCATAGTACTCGTAGGATATTAATGAACAAGTCATCTTTTAAAAAGATAGGTGCATCGTTTTTGACTTTTTAGATTAAGAAAAGTTCGCTATCGTTGAATTTCTTTTTCTTACAATTGGTAGTACTTGCTGTCTGAAATTGTGCATATTTCGATTTTTTGATTTAGTATTGATATTCTGAATGATTCTGCTTGACTTCTTTCAGTCACTACTTATACATGCTTTAATTTTGTGAATTTAGCAAGAAAAAATTTCAGGATACTTCTAAATTGCTATACATGTATTGTATCATATATCATTCTTTAGATTATTCTCATGAGAATGTGAATATTTTTGAAGTACAAATTCAAATCCGTAAGCTAAATTTCTTCTTTCTATTGTTTTCAGTGAGTGATAAAATCAAGTATGGAATCGCAGTATAAGCTTATTGATTTTATTTATATTTCAATTTTAAAGAGATGTCAGATATTTTTTTTAAAAATGCTAGTTTTTTTTTGACAATGAATAGTTGAAAGATCGAGCATACACATTTTTTTACAGAAACCACCTTGAAATTGCAGAGAAATAAATTTTATAGGGTTAAGAATTTTTTTCTTTGCCATCATTCGTCGTCAGCTAGTCTACTGAATATTTTAGTGTTTCTATGTACAGTTCTTTTCAATAGAATTCATATTTTTAAGTATTTTAAAAAGAATGAAAAAAAAGTCAAAGTACACAGAAAGAGAAAAATGATGTTCTGTCGTAGAACACAAAGATGAAACCATTGGAAGAAGTAGGCAATTGATGTAGGTAGTAAGACTTTTTCCCAACAATAACAACAATAAAAAGACGCCATTTATTTCAATTTTTTGTTTCTGGGTGAGTCAATTATTAGAAAGATTGAACCATCTCTCTATTATTCTATTAGACACATGAATGGTAGAATGATGAAAGAAAGAAGAAATTAAAGACTATTTTCTGTGAATTTGTGGTCAAGCTTGCGATTTTACTCAATGATGTAATTACAACATTTTGCTTCTTATTCAGCAACTATTTTTATACGTCAATCAGTTATGTTCAACACGTTAAACAAACTCAAAATTTCATTTCTTTTTCTATGAAAACTAATGGGGCATCATAGTTCTAGTTTTCACTAAACCAGATTAGGATGAACTCATTTTGAATCCGATAAACTGTCTCTATTGAATGAAAACTAAAGCTCCCATATTTTTTATGAATAGAAAGTTTTAGCGAGCAGTTGTGAACTCTTGTCGAGTCGGCACTAACGTTATACATTACAAAATGTTAGTTCGAAATCAATCATACTGCTGATGTGGCTATTTCAATGGTATAGAATAAAAACAAACTTTAAGTTTACCTTATATTCATAAAGTTTCGTCACCTAATAAAGATGAGAACATTTCAGCAGCAGAACAATGTATCGGCTATATGAAATGGCTCCAATGTAGGGCTCATCTTATATGAAAGTCGACGAAAAAAGATAAAGAAAAAGCTTTAGATTAGTTAATACAGGGTGTCTTTTGATCTTAGGTGTGTGGAAAATATATTGTCCAGCACACATAAGGTTAGGAGTTTATGCTATAAAATTTTTGTCAGGTGGCACCGAGGTAGAATGAGTAGAGAAAATTCTTGAAGTATAGATTAGTGAATATAAGTTTTTGAAGTAAGTGGAGTGATAATAAAATTTTTATTGGATTTGTGAATCCTTTTTTTACATAAAAGCACCATACAGGAAGTTTTTTCATCGTTGAAATTATGAAAAAACAATGAGTACACATTATTCTTACGAACATATTCTAACTTAAAAATACTTGTTGAAGTGAATATTCAAAAACAATAGAAAATATGAACACTATAACATTGAATTGATATTATATAACTTCCTTGTATTTCGTAGAAACTTTGCATCTATAGTATGTACATTATATACTTCTGTCTTTTCCTTGTGGGTGTGGGTGCGAGTGTCAGTCAGTAAAAAATACTCACACCTACACCCCAAAATACTGCAACAATAGTAAAATTTTGTTTGAAAAGATTGTTAAAAAGTCTTTTATTCGAAAGTTTCTGAATCGACAGAGGAAATTCCCATAGCAGCTATCTTCAAGACTGATGTTTCAAACAGTATATGGCATGAAACTAAACCTTGTTTTCTTACTTTTAACAACTTGAATATTTTATTTATTTGATTGTTACTAATCATAATGATCAATAATAAAAAAGGGCTTGTAGGCGCACATATTTTTGTCTAATATTGTGAAAATCTAATTATTATATTGAGATAAAAATAGATGAACATTATAGAAAATAACACTATGAATGTGTCTTTGTTTTACTTTTCAGATATTAATCATCGTAAAGAGTTTTCTTTCTAATAACCATGGCCACAGCAGGAGGAGGAGAAGAAGCGACAGCGCAACATATATTACGTATTACTGACATCATCGATGAGCCACTTCAATTTATCGCACCCATTGGTGGTTATGAAGAAATGCCACTGGTTCCACTTGAAAAAGCTGTCGAACCACTTGTTTCTATTCTACCAGCTGTACAAAGTAATGCATATGTTGCCAAACAAAGATGTGAGAATCCTGCCGATGGATTGACACAAGATGAATCTGCCTCAATCATGTTATACACTATGGGCTGGAAGCCACTTGATAAATGTCTGTATGTCGCTTTGAACAATGCATTAAGATCCCCAGATCGTCAGCAAAGTCTTGAACCATGGTACTTATTTCTGAGGCTGTTTCTTAATGCGCTCTTCCGTCTCCCGCCACTACCGAAAACTGCATATAGGGACATCAAATTAGATCTAAGCGAGCGTTATACGAAAGGGAAAACAATCGTTTGGTGGGGATTTTCATCTTGCACAACAACTATTGGTGTTTTAAAATCAGCACTATTCTTGGGAACGACAGGGGCTAGAACGATGTTTACTTTACAATGTCTATCAGCTAGAGACATTCAAAATCATTCATACTTTCCAGCTGAGGATGAAGTGCTTCTTATGGCCGCAACGCAATTTAAAATAGTCAGTTCTCTTGATCAAGGTGATCTTCATATGATTCAATTGGAAGAAACTACGCCACCTTTTCCACTTCTACAACCGGTACCTATTGTTGGTTCATTGCCAATTCTTTCCAATCCACCTGGTGAGTTCGAAAGATAATACAAGTATAATGCTTACTAAATAGAGACATGATTTAACATCAATCAGCTATGCCTTCAGGGAAAAAAATAAGTAGATTAAGTGTATTGAATTTATCGAACATATGCACGAAAATGACATCAAGAAAAAGAAATAAATGATGATTTCTTTTATTACAGATGATTCGAAAACGACTTCGTTTCACATAAGCAAAGAAAAATCAAAACCACATTCAAACAAATCTCAAGTAAATCAAACTATTTTCTATTATCTTCTAAGGTTAACACTTATATCATTCTATTTATAGATTGATACACATGGAGCAGCTGCCAGTACTAGCGAAAAGACAGGAATAAATTCGATCACTGGCCAAGTAAGATCATAGATACTTAAAAGAAGAAAAATATATTAATGAAATATCTCATTGTTTCAGATGTCTGATGTAAAAATTAGTGCTTCAATTAATGAAGGTAATATATTGCTGTTTTATTGTCTTGATTAGTGTGGACTATGTGACTATAACTACTTGCATTTGTCAGATACGATGTACTCATAGAAAAAACTCGCATAGATCATATCATCACTTTTTAAGAGAGTCTGCTTCTGCTCTCTTATATTTAGCAAATCTAACATAACTTCTTATTCTATTCGAAATAAATCATTCGTCCGAAGAGATTAAAGATGCATCGAAGTGATATACACACAGAAAAACTTTTATTACCGGTATTTAAGCCTTTGGATCTCGATTTCTGAGAAATTCTACGAATTCTCACAGAACAATTAATTCTTGATTAGATGTATAACTAGTTTTTTCAACTCTTTTTACAGTAGACAAAGAGTTCATTTAAAAACTGAATTTCTAATATGCTATCATGAGTCTATGATGCATTCTAATGATGTTAAGTTTTCAAATATTTTTTGCATTTTTTCTCTTAGAGAATTCACTAATATAACTGTCATTTTTTTTACTGAAGGATCGACTTAAAAATATGAGTGAAAATAATTTGCGTTGTTTTCTGGCTTTCGACTATCTGTAGCAATAATCAAATTCATGAAATAATAGATGATGTGCTATTGATTGAGAAAATAATCATTCAATGATATATGAGAAAGAAAAGAGAATAAATGGTAAGATCATTGAACTCAATCCGTAATAAAATAAACAAAACAAAATGATGACATTGGCCGAGAAGTACCGACTCAATTAGTATACTTTACAGTCGCTTGACTTATAATAGTAATATAGAGTTAGAAATATTTTTGCTCTTTTGCCATCAATAATAATTTTAATGACACCCTGTTTCTTTCAGACTAACTTATATAGCTTCCAAAAAAAGGAGCTATGGGCACCTATTTCGCTTTTATATATGGTATGAAACGCATTTCTAATTCTAAAATACATATCTTTTCGTATATACAAAGTTTTGAAACAAGAATACGACTAGATGGTCGTAAAGCTTTTATATTTGTCACTGAGTTAAAATCATATTGAAGTTGCAATAGGGAAATAACTTAAATTCACACTATTTATGAGAAGAGAAGAAAATGTCTTCTATCTCTTTTCAAGTTCATCTTTTATCGTATTGAATCATTTGTTCTATGTTACATGACAATAGTTATACCATTGTAGAAAATATTTCCATTCGAACTAGTTTTTTTTCCGTTTGTCATGATCAATCATTTTTTGACAATCTTGACAAAAATATGTCCTTCTACAAATCTAGTGATTTTAAGCATTTAACTTTGAGAAAATTTTATTATCAAAAGGGACACAAGAATAAATATGTGATTTACTATCATATATGACATTTCTCATTTTCATCACTTCACAAATTAATAATGACATGTTTTCGGAAAATGTAATGATACAAAACATGACAGATTTTTTGTTTTTATACACATATAGTTGGGTCGAATTTCAATTATCTATATTAGTTATCTGATTCATTTCTCTGTTTTTTTTGTGAGATTGTCTGACAATTAATTTTTTTTGGATGCATGCAGCAGAGAGTGAAAATTGAATTTAATTGTGGGTGTGGGTGTGGGTGTGGGTGTGAGTGTGGGCGTGGGTGNATAGCCGATGCATTGCTCTGTTGCTGAAATGTTCTTATCTTTATTAGGCGACGAAACTTTATGAATATAGGGTAAACTTAAAGTTTGTTTTTATTCTATGCCATTGAAATAGCCACATCATCAGTAGGATTGATTTCGAACTAACGTTTTGTAATGTATAACGTTAGTACCGACTCGACAAGAATTTACAACTGTTGGCTAGAACTTTCTATTCATAAAAAATATGGAAGCTTTAGTTTTCATTCAATGGAGACTGTTTATCGGATTCAAAATGAGTTCATCCTAATCTGGTTTAGTGAAAACTAGAACTATGATGTCTCATTAGTTTTCATAGAAAAAGAAATGAAATTTTGAATTTGTTTATAGCGTGTTGAACATGACTGATTGACGTATAAAAATAGTTACTGAATAAGGACCAAACTGTTGTAATTACATCATTGAGTAAAATCGCAAGTTCGACCACAAATTCACATGAAATAATCTTTAATTTCTTCTTTCTTTCGTCATTCTACGTAAAAGTATACATTCTATTAAAAATAACTACATATAGAAACACTGAAATTTTCAGTAAGCGAGTAGGCGATGAAGTGGTGACAAAGCGAAATAAATTCTTATCTCTATAAAATTTAATTCTCTGTGATGTCAAGTGACGAATTCCTTTTAAAAAAATCGATGCTGACTGTAACTAGAAAACGAGACATTAAGCCTCCGCTCAATCTTTCGATTATTCTATTTCCACAGACTAGGATTCTATTTTAAATTGAGATAAAAGGGATGTGTGGGTGTTGGCGTTCTGGGCACCCACACCCACACCCAATGATAGCAAACTTGTCTTAATCTTAAAACTATAATGTAGTTCAATATTTACAATATATATATATATGAATAAGTATGTGAATGATGAAACATTGAAATTGAAATAAAATCATAAAAATGATGCACCTATCTTTTTAAAATATGGCTTGAGGGTGTGGGTGTTGATGTTCTGGACACCCACACCCACACCCTTCTTCCTAATAACTTACCACGATCGAAAATTTGAAAGCAGTTGATGTGCTACTGTTGTTGTTGTTGTTGGAAAGAATTTTTTTCAACTCATAAGGTTTAGTCGATATTTTTTTCAAACGACTTTTTTCTTACCTTTTTTTTGAAAAGCGACGTAACTCAATCCATTTCTATTTACTTTACCACTTCTTTTCTTTTTTCAAGCATGTACACTTTGAAGAAATATCGCGTACATAACAACAATACGCATTCAAAGGAAGAAGAAAAGGAAATCATTCTTTTTTGGACGAAATTATTCAATTCTGAATAAACAATGAAGATAATAGAAATTTTTAACAATGAATAGCAACAAGCAATAGGGTAGAGTAATCTATTGTATCTCTAATTAATTTAAACTTATTTTTGCGTTAGAATTCTCATTCGAAAAATAAATTTGAAATTCAATAGAAAATTGATTTATTCTTCATATAATTCTTATATATATATATATGAGAACAGGTAGTATTTTCCAAAAAATATTAAAAACGTTTCTCATGGTGTCGGGGTAATCAAAAATTTTATTTTTATTATTTCTCATCGGAATCAACAGATGCGAATATAATTATTATAGAAATATCACTAAATCTAGTAAACAGCAGTCGATATTTATTTTATGATCGAGAAATTAAATAAAAGCACTTAATTAACAGTTGCATCATAGAATTCAAATACGTTGTATGATGATGTAAAATAAATTAATATATATCAATTGTGGACGACTTCAGTAGTGAATAAAAACTTTGATTTGAATAAGACAAATTTTGTTTCGATACTATTTTTCTATTAATTATATGAATAGAAGTGAGAATGTTTAGTGTCATTGCATAAACTTGTTCTTAGATGCGTTGATGCAACGTTGTGAATGGATGGAAACTTTCTCAAATTTTTGCTACCCGGTACCCAGCTGACGAAAGTTTTATAATAGCAACTTCTAAGCAAACTTGTGTAGTACGATAGATTTTCTACACACCCACACACACCCTAATCCTTCCGTTTACAATAATCTGCTACACCTAATGGAGAGACGAATTAGACATAAACAAAACATTATGACCATGTTTGAGTATCACGAAATGATGTATATGAAATTTTACGAGATACAGATAACCACAGTTTTCAAAAGCGTGACGAATACTTCTATTAAAAAATATAATACAATGCAACAATGTGACGCATGGTGATGTATTACTTCGCGAAATGAAAAGAAAATGATTTTTCTTAAACTCCAACACTGATACTTATATGGCAAACTCGAGATTAAACCAGTAAAATATTAATGTGTAGAAATCAGTGCAATTTAAAAAAATAGCTCTCTTACGAGCACAGTAAATACCTATTTGACTTATAGCTGTGGATTGTAAGGTGCTGCCGATATGGTATGGCGTGTCCTCCAGTCGCCATTCAAATGTCATCAATAACTGTTGCCTTTTTACATGTTAAATCATCCATGAATATCTTTGAATCACTACCAAATAAACTCATGTTTGTCGTTCAATAAACATTGTTGGCAACGAAAATGTTCTATCGTAATCTAGATCACATTGTGATAGGAATCTTTCTGTGACTGAAAAGAATTATTTTGGTAATATGAAAGTGTATCATGTTGTAGTGACTTCCACGCGTCCTCATACATATTCAGGCTAAAGATGTCTCTTTCACTGATACAAATTTAATGGACAATCAGATATTTATTGCTATTGATTAGATAAAAGCTCATATAGCAAACAAACCATTTATAAAACAAAAATCAGAAAAGAAGCATTGATAATCTTTGAGTCATATAATTGATTTCACCAGTCCATATAGCATTGAAGAAAGAGTATTACAGTTTCTTTCCAAAATAATACGTTGACCAACTATCCTTGCCATAACCATTGCCCAATGATTGAAATGAGGTTGACGAAGCACCTGGAACTTGTGTATTCAAATAATATACGTTCCATGAATCTTTCGAGTAACCATCAAAGGGGAGAAGTAATTGAAAAGATGATGCCGATGCTCCATGCATTTTAATACCCAGATAGTAAACATCCCAGCTGTCTTTTCCATATCCATAACCTAATGATTTGAATGACGAAGAAGAAGCACCATTCAACTTAGTACTCAAATAATATACATTCCACGAATCCTTCGCGTAACCAGCGTATGGTGATAGTGTGCTAAACGATGAAGCTGTTGCGCTATCGATTTTCTTACCTAAATAGTACACACTCCAGCTGTCCTTACCGTAACCATCACCTAGATCCTTAAAAGAGCTAGCAGTAGCATCATTTACTTTTTGGCCATTGAAATATACGTTCCTATTATCTACGAAGTAGCCGTAATAGACAGGTCGAGAACTGCTCGTAGAATATTGTCGCGGATGACGTGACAATGGACTACTACTTGCAGTTTGAAGTAGCATTAATAAAATTGTTACAATGGAAAAATGCATCATGGATATTAATTCTTGTATTATTTCACGGGTAATGGTTAATCTGAAAATATGAAAAAATAAGATAGTGACTCGTGTAACTGTACAAAGCTTGACTTTTATGAGAAATAAAATTATTTACGATATTTTTCGAGGATGATATAGGAAATTTCTATTTCTGCAAAAGATTATTTTTATTTTTATTTTTATTTGGCAGTACTCGATTGTTTAGTCCTTACCTTTTGCTTAAATACCAATTAGACTTTCGTAATTGAGATTTTCTAAACTGCCGAGTCATTCATTCGCAATAGAGTAAAGTATGTCATAAATATAACTAGGCAAATTTCTTTTAGTCTTTCAAAGGCTCAAATTAAATTATCGATTGTGCGAAACAACGTACCTCTCGACCAAGTAACAAGTAAAGAACAATATACCAATTTTTATATAGTGTGTCGTAGAACACCTACGATGCGTTTTTCTTTCGTGCTTATTCTGTGATGGGATTTGAAAGCAACGATCGGATAAGAAGGAGAGATAGTAGGATTAAGATATTACTATTTGATCCGTATACGATTGTTTGCTGTTAGGTAGAGTGCATATGCCATTATGTTTGCCTCTCAACTTATCATCGAATCAGCGTTTTTGCTGAATTATAAAGAGCGAGAGAGATAACGTCATTAAAAACTACTTGAGGCGAACAATCTCTTAATTTTACTTATTCACAATCTTCATTTATGTTGAATGGTGAGCAACAAAAAAATAATGGAAACGCATTTGTTTGCACAAGTCTAATATACACTAACATCCTCCTATTCTAGCGTCACGAAAACTCTCGAGAGACAGTTTTCTAGTGGTTTCTATCGCATAACACGGTTTTTTCATCTATTCTCGTAAACTCCTTCCAAATATCTGATTCTTCTAAATCAATCTTGTATTGATCGATTTTGTAATGAATATTGGCTATTTCAAAACCAACACAAAGCAGTCGAGCAAATAATACTATACAACGATATAAGAGAAAATACTCAGCATGTATTGAGCACAAAATGATTGTAAACGGCTGAATATGAATTCAGAACAAAACCAAACTTTACTGATGTCTATCGACATACTACATTTCAATGGATGCCACTGGTACAACCAATAACACTTCATTATTCTCAATACTAGAAAAAATAATGGTATTCTCTTTAAGTAATTGAGCGCTTATATTTGCACATGCTCTAGTGAAGTTATGCGAGAATCGAGTTCTGATGTTGAATTTTTATTGAATAGAACTTTTTCTTTTTTTATAAACTATTGAAATATTTTAATTCTTAGTCAGACCAAAACTTGGTAAACATTGGTGTAAATATGCATGAACAATATTTTTTGTATATATTGTCAATTTAACAATATTCAATAATCCTTCTTGGTACTTTCTGACATGAATCATTAGACCAATTAAAATCATTAAATTAGTCATTATTTTTTCAAGTTTTTAGTGAAACATCAAGATCACTTGTCAAGTAAATATTTTCGCCGGCTGATACCAAAAAAGAAACATGCCTCGAATATTTTTGCAAAAATTGGACTGTTAAAACATAAATTTCTTGTTACTCTCTCTGATACCCTGCTCTTTTGAGAGAGAAAATAGTTGATTGTATTCAGTAGTTCATGCGTAGCAAAACATATACCGTATGCATCGTAATCTTGAGCAAGCAAGAAGTTACCTTTGAATTAACCATTGAAAAGTTGCAATAGAAGAAAAACAGGACCATTCGTTGTTTCTCAACCAGACGCCAAGTGCTGTTATACAATCAGATGAATCAAGAATCATACGAAAGAAGTCATCTATACATAATAGACAAACAATCGATGGTTATTCACTGAGTCACTCATCATCAAGCACGACTATGTTTTAGCATGGTGATTTTTCAATTTTAAATCGACTTTCTTCAAACGATTTATCAGTAAAAAATATTCAAATGGAACAGTTCGTCACGAAACTGACTGATTCTCAACCTTCCAACAACACTCTACTCGAAATTGGCTATCTGTTGTAAATTCAAAATTGAGCATGGCAAGAAATCGACTCATTACCTCAATGTTGGGTCGATGACAAACAACGTACAGCATTCTTTCATACTTTAGCTTCGTGTAATATGAAAGTGTAGCAAGCTTAGACGATGAAGAGAGTCCAGTATGGATAATGATTAGTCGATGGTTGAATATGCTGTCCCGTCTCATTCATGAACACGCTGAACTAGTAATAATTCCAGCAATCATTCAACTCAACGAAACTCTGGGAAAGAAATTTCTCATGACGAACCAATACAAATCCTATATTTTATAGTTTCGCCAATGTTCATCATTCTCTTATACGAGAGAAGATATTCTTTACTTTCTGACTGATGAATACTATCAAACTGTATTGATCCATAGTTATATTGTGGCCTCGAGGAGTAAAAGCTTTCTAGGCTGTATCGCATGCATTATCCGTTTGATTTCTTCATGTTGCTGGTACGGCTGTGGAAAAGGAAGCTGCCCAGATCGAACAGTCCAACCTGGAAATGGCCGGCTCCGGGTAGTTCCGTTGATTTTGCGGAAGCAGTTTTCTGATCAATTCCTGTCGGAAAGCACTGGTTCGGATTATTGGCCATATATCATTTTATGATCGTATGGATGCACACTGGTGTAATCAAGAGACGATCGTTATCGATTCAACATTGTGTTTGCAAATGATTGTATTACAAACAGAAGTTGTTAGTTGTTCTATTCAATCAATTACATCCTTGACCGATTTATTGTTTGCTATAACTGAAACATCACTGTATGATCGCATCGTTGTACCTGCCTACGGAATACTAGCACATATTCTTTCGGATGATCGTTTAAAGGAATTAATAATTGCTAATAGCATATGCCAGTTTTTCTTTCACATTCTTGAGCAATCTTGGAAACATTCATTGCAAATGTATAAACAGATACCGATTACTAGTCTTCTTCAAGGCAAGTATACTATGGACTCGACTTGTGATTGTCTGAATTTCAAGAAGTATATCAAATTTCAACAGTTCAGATAGCAAACCTATAGATTTTTCAATCATCTTGTCAAGTTAGTTTAATAATCATATTTTCAGACAAGAAGAACAACAAACCAAAAAGAATCATTTCTCAAGAAAAGATAGGATCAATGCAACTGACTCATTTGAATTAAAATCGATAGGGGATGATCAGGCAAACAAAGGCTAATACCAGACGAGTCTTTATTGTCAGTACTAATAAGTAACCAGGAGTACCATGAATTTAGAATTGTTCATCTTTTATAGGAATGGCATTTTTCTGAGTCAGTATTTCAAAATGTCAACGTATAATACAATAATCAATTGTATAAGTAATGATTCTGCTAATTTTTGCTCAATGAGACAATTAACAAGTAACAACAAAATAATTATGAATTCGAGATATTTTCTGACAATTTTATCTTTTGAAAATAATACATGTTAATCATTTATGCCTATAATTCGTCATATCTGACATGTGAAGTTTCATCATATGTACAAGAAAATATCGTATTTTAGGCTATTTGAATCTGTCTACCAACGATAGTATGTAGCAGACAACTGGCATTCTTTGGAACATGAATCTCGTACATGGAAAACACACACCAACAGATCAGTCTGAGAAGATTACATTCGATATAATGATTAGTTATTCTCATGCTGATAAAGATCTCTGCCGACGACTGTATGATGAATTAAAAACAGTTCTTATTTGTATGAGTGAATCTTATCGACGCAGTAACTTTTGTCGCGCAGAAGCGCATTATACTTTTCAAAGACAAACTCGTATGATACCGATTCTATTACAAAAACACTATAAAATAAATGGTTGACTTTCTCTTCTTATCGGAAAACTAATGTATATTGATTTCAGAAAATATGAATTTTCGCAAGCGATCCATTTACTAATCAAAGAAATTAAGACTTCGTTTGTTGGTGATATTGACTGCAAGAATAACGAGTCAAGTCATACCAGCAATAAGATTCCTTCCAGTTTATCTCTATATCCATCACAAAAACAATCTCAATCACCGATATTTCTTGATAATGTGCTAGATTGGTCGCAAACGCAAGTCACTGAGTGGTTGATAGGAAACAATTTGATTAGCATGGTTCATCTACTGCAAGAATTTAATGGTCGAAGTTTAGTTTACTTGAATGATTTTTTGAGACAAGCTGATCATCAGCAAAACTCTATCTTTACTACAAACAGATTCTCTTCGACGAACTCATCAATCATTACCTTTGATTGAATTGGCTCGTTTCCGAACTTTGCTAGATGAAAAGACAACCAAAACTGCTGTCAGTATCGCGTGAATGGGCACAGCGGAAGAAAGTGTACAGGTGTTACAAGAAGCGTTATACATCGAACGTTTGTCACATGATGTAAAAACGAATTTAAGTGATGTATTTGACTTTAACTTTCAAGAAAAGAGAGAAACACATGACCCAATTCCATCTAGTTCCAAATACTTAACACATAATATTTATGTTGCCCAATTCTCTATGAAGCTTTTTGTTCATAGTTTGAGTATCTGCAACTGAAAGAGTATGATCAAATAAGGTTGTCATTTTTATTTTTAATAAAGGCAAATTACTCTGGCACACATTGAGGAATGCACCTGTCTGATTGTCATAATCCTTATACAGTAATAATGTTATGACACTCCTGTGACATATCTGTAGCATATTGGATCAATGTGATTTGAGAGGTGCTCTTATTTTAGAAACACAATACTTCGTTCGAAGCTAGAAATATTTCATCTTTATAATGTGTCAAACTACATATATATATAGATCTTAGTCAAAAGTAAGCTCTAAACAAATAATTGTGTAGTGCATCTCGAAGATTAACATAATCTGTCGCCGATTTAATCTTTTTAGATTTGGTCGTATTTTACTAAAATGCAGGTCCCATACACACGACTATGATACATTAAGCTTATTTTATGGATAGATGTTTTTCTCATCTTTAACAATCATTCGAAATGACAATATTTGGCAGAAAAAGAAGACTTTATTTCAAAAAGCAAAACTAGAAAATGAAATATAAAATTAAGGGCAAAGTGGTACCAAGCGACGAATAATAAGTTGAGTGTCGATGGGAAATGAGAGACGATCCATAAGTTTTAGTGAACCATGATGTTCGCCTTGTTTGTATATAAGTGGAACATCATTTTTGCTACTCTGTGCACGTACAAAAATGTCATACATTTTATTATCAATAGTCAAATCAATGATAGTTCCCTGATATTTTATACCACGAATAACAAGTTTTGTAGCTTGGTTTGGAAGATGACCACGAGGTTTAAATTCAAGTTGATCTAATTTTAAACGAATACCACCATAACCATAAAGAACAGCTTGTAGGAAACCTCCTGCACCTGTTATAAAATTAACTGCACCTACTCCTGATTTAGCTTCAGTCCATACCTATGCCACAATAGAAAACCGAGCAAAGTTAATATCAGTAAAAAACAAAACAAAAAATAATCAGTTGACTAACATTGAACGGAGGTCTAACGTAAGTTTCATATGCACGTTGAAAAAGTTGTTCAGCTTTGTTGAAATCTCCTAATTCAATAAAACCAATTGAATGCATTGACCATGTCATAGCCGGGCCATCAGCACGAGTCAATGGTTCATAGGCTAATAAATCATTCCGTCTTACTTGATCACTCATTGGCCACATCAATGGAAATCCAAGAAGAACAACATCTGCTTGTTTTATTGTTGTATTCTCTTAATAAATAGACAAAATCAATTTACTTTTTAAATAATTTATCTTCCTCAAATTCACTTACTCAAGTCAAAACCTTCATATTCAAGATGAGTTTGAGTAGAGTTATCGAATGGAAAATGTAAGTTGGATGCAATATCAATCCAAGATTGAGGTGTCTTTTTGTTAGTAATGCAACTGACACTATCAGCTAATTGAATAGATAGTGCAGCAACTGCATTCGTAAAGACAGAATTATTTTTGAATGGTTGAGCATCTTCATCTGGTGGTAAAACAGCTGAAATATTAAAGTAATGAAATGTAGGAATTTTCAAGACAATATTATAGTATCAATCAAAAATGTGAAATATTTTCATTTCATATAAAGAAACTTACTTAATATTTCATATTGTTTTTTATTATTATTGTATACAGCTCTCGAGCCCCAAAATCGAGCAGACTCATAGATAAGATCACCGCCAAGTTCATTCGATATCCAATCTCGATTACCTGTTGCTGCAACATATTGTCTTGCTGCAAATGCAATATCGCCTGTAATATGCATTTGATAGAGACGAACTTCAGGACAACAATCGGGTGTAACATCAACACCAGTTCTGGCGCTTTCCCAAGGGAATCTAGTTAATAAAATTACGTAATATACAAAGAGAAAAAAATTCTTAAAATCTATGAAATACCTCCATCCTTCATAACCAAATAGACGAGCATTATCAACTGCAGAATCACGTAGAGCGATTCGATAGGATAATATTTCTTTAGCCAATCTATTATAATAAAATGATCTATTAGTCAATATAGTTTTAGTTTTGTATCGAATTTGACATAATCTTCAGATATATTAAATGACTCTCATATATTTTTTCAAAATTTATAAAACCAAGTTTCATCTTAATACACTTACGTAGGATAGAAAAGAAGAACTGATGGAAACATCCATGTTTCTGTATCCCAAAACGAATGACCACCGTAGTCTTCACCTAAAAAGCCACCTCTCGAAAGACTACCAGGACTGAGACCATAGAATTGTTTATGTTCACTGCGAGTTGATAATGGTGGTAGAGAACTCAGAATATAATAGAATGCAGAATTAATTTGTCGTTGTAACTCATCATCTCCGCTCACTTCAACATGTCCATCGGACCAAATATCATTCCATCTTGATACATGCGATGATAATATTTGATCTGTCTGTCGTTTATGGGTTGCTATTGAAATTCATCGATGTTTCATATAGTCAAATTAGCTAACCGGCCGTATGCTTACCATAGTCAAAACTTGATTTAGCTCGTGATTTTTGCTCATCAATTGAAGTAACAAAAAGGTATGTTCGACTTTTTTCGTGTTTGCCAAGTTTTAATCCATTGACAGGCAATGGTGTGTAATAAACAAATACAGATAATGGTTCTTTTTGGAATTGATCATTTTCTACTTGACGTGTTTCTCCAGACAAAAGACTTTTATAATTAAAACAAACAAGAATTCGAAATAGAATATGACTATTACTTACACATATTTATCATCATATGTGTCAACTTTAAAATCAATATCAATACTCGTCCTCTGTTCGTTGACTTCAATAGGTACCACAATTTTCTTTCCTAATAGTATCGCATAGAATTGAGTCTTTCATATTTTGAAAAAAATCTAACCTGTAGATTTTAATCGTGTAATTACTACATATGCAATTAATAATTCTGTATATTCCTGCGAAGCAAAAAGATGTCGTTCAATACGAATTTCATCATTTTCAATTGTTTCAGTGAAGACACCTAAGAATGAACAGAACACTTAAAAAACAACTATTTTACTACGGAAAAGTATCTTGCCTGATGAAACATTCAACGTATACGCAGATGATGATAAATTAATTTTAAATTGCCAATTAAGTGTACTTGGAATTCGTGCTCGATGACTGGTACCTTCAATAGGAATACACAAAAGAAACTTACGAAAAGACCGCAGAAGTAAAATACAAACCATTGTCACCATTGTAGAGACCATTCATATAGATGAATTCACTAAATGCAACCGTAGCTAAATGGCCGTTACCAATATATGGTAGAATACGATAGTCTAACGAAGAACCAGTCGAAGGTAATCTATATATAAATCGATTATGAAGAAAATAATTATTTGTTTTATAATCAAGATAATTACTCATTAGTCGTAAAAATTGTTGTAGATTGAGCTTGTTCGGCTGGTGCAGTTTGAATTAGAATAATAGCTGATGAAAGAATTAATAAGAAAAATAACATGATGATAAAAACTATAACTAATCGTGTGTTGCTATTGCGGTTTTTATGCTCATCATAGGGATTAACATAAGAATCATTTGCAAATAGTAAACTTTGAATAGATTGCCGATCTATATCCAATGACATTTTTAATATACTACAGATTGATGATGGTATATTCCACCAACTCTTGATCTACCAAGGTTAATCTTATTTGATCTTGTAGTTGGAATGACAGAACAAAAAAAAAGAAACATATATGCGCATTACGTATCTAATAATACAACAACACTAGTAGCTTCTTCTTGTCTTATCATATAGGAATTTAATAAATCTTTGTCAATTGTGGTTATATAAGAATGTTGTCTATATCCTATGTGGATACGTACATTCTATCTGTCTTGATATCAATCTTATAATGATCTCAAGTACGGAGATGAAGAGTTTCGCTGATAGAATTGTGTTCTACAATAAGTTTTATTTGACATTTCTACACTGTTGTATACTATTAATAAATCTTGTATTTCGCATAATTATATTCACTAACGAAGAAAACAACTTTCCTCGTGTCAATTGATTTCACAATCAATGTGAAAAAATTATCCAGAACAAAATGACTAAGTTTACAAAAAAACATAAAATTTATTTTCTATTGAAGAATATCATTTGCCTTTGCATACTTTTGCACAACTTAAATTTCCACTGAAAGGTATTGTTTCCATTTTCTGAATTTTTTTCACGGAAGCCATGATATCACTTGTGACTAATTTTTTATTAGGTCCATAAGGAGAACCCATTACAGCTTCGTATATTGATTTTCTTCGTGAACTTTGATGTCCGAATCTCCATTCTGAAGTTGCACTAATCATATGATAGAAAACAGCGTTACTACTATCGAATGGCGAAAAGAATACTTCAGGTCCACATTTATCACATCGGTCGAAATGACTTCCAATCCATCGAATATCTTCATTAATCGCGCCCCAAAATAAATCTTTGTCGGTATTAAGTAAAATTGTTTCTTTCATCCATGAAAATGATATGTTCTCATATTTCAATAAATAATCAATTGTTTTACCACCAGAATCAAAACCTTTACCTTGACGACGAGTCGCCGATACATCAAACTCATCAATAGTACTAAACAATTGTGGGCCTAAACAAATAAATCCAATCCAACAAAATCGTGAAAATAGTGCTGGATGTTTTCGGCACATTAAATCTCGAGAGTTTAATAATGTTTGAGAATCAAATGGACTCAATGGAAAAACATCACCATCGAGCAATAGAATCGCAGTACCATTGCTAAGATAACGTTTAGCTCTTGTCGATACAGCCCAATTAACAACCTCAGCATTTTTTTCTGAAGGTCCAGCTTTCGGCGAGTGCTGTTCTGGTAAAAAACTGAAAACTTCAGCTCTATGAGTTTTGGCAACCTTGTGCATGTCTTCCGAAGCTTTTCCATCTGTAAACAAGTTAATAGCTACTAAATCAGTAGTAAGTTTTTGAATCAGATAAAGTTGAAGATCGGCGAGCACGTGATGATGGGTATGAAAGATGAAAACAGCTAGAGAACCTCTGATAGTTTTATTCTTAGTGCTTGAAGGAAGTGGAGGCCTTTCAACAAGCAAAAAAGCTGGATCAAGAGTAGTTGGACGACCAGTCGTTGTCGTAGTACTGATCGTCGATAGTCTAGAAGTAGTAGTACTAGTAGTAGTAGTAGTGATCGAAGATTGCAAGATGGTAGTACTAGTATTAAAATTAATTGGGCGCATCATAGTAGTAAAAGTGAAATTAATAGAATTGTTCATGATAGTACTTGTACGATTTGCCATTGGCGTAAAAGCAGCTGAAATAAACATCTCTAATAATCGAGTTTTATTCAGACTTCGATAGACATTTGTAAATGCCGTCTTTAATCCATAATGATTTATTTGAAAGGAAGCATAATAGAAAATTAATATTAAAACAATGATTAATACCACGGTCTTAATCCAAATGTTATCCGAAGCTTTCATCTAAAATATGAACGTACTTGTTAACTACTGAAAGTCGAACGTATCTTCCAAACATTCTACTTATATATTCGATTAACTAAAAGACGGTTATAAAAAAAATATTCTAAAGCAAGCTATATTCATAGATATCTGCACAATTATAATTAATTATAATTTGATGGTTAATAATGTATGCAGATATCTGTTGTTTCATTGACAAAAATTAATTCAATACTAATGGAATATGTATTTATTAGTAACTTGTAAAGATCGATATATATAGACTTAATGAAATATAATTTATCGAGCCAAATCCCATCAATAGTAAAAGAAAAAGAAGGAAAGTCATATTAGCATGTTTCAACATCTTTTTTCCTATTTACAGTTTCCCTCTTAGAATGCATAGTGCTCAATTCATGACTAGCATGGCTTTATCGATTCGCTGATATCTCCACAATAGATATACATATTAAAGCAAAGAATAAAATGAAAATTTCACCGGGAACAAACCAGCTATTCAGGAGATATCAATGTTTCAAGTAGCGTTGACTGCAACATATTTGAAAAAATTTTATTTTTCTCTTCAACGATAATTGTTGTGGAAAACGTTTTTTCTAACAAGAGCACTATCTATAATTAGCTATTTGTTCATGCTAATGAAATTACCTCATGCTATGATATTTTCAAGTTAATATCATTGGCAGTTTACAGTAAACACAAACTGTGATAGAGTTCATATTGTTCGGATTAGTGGGATACAATAATTTTGAAAAATCACATTAAAATATATTCAATGCGATTGTACTAAATAATAAAATCTATATTGATTCTACCTTATACGACTTCTATTTATATTTTGTTTTCTATTTTAACGGGTAATATGCAGCACGCTTCCGGATATAAAAAAAAAATAAAGTTATCGTTTTTTAAACAGTGTTAGCATGAATTATTACAAAGCTGTTACCTAATTTAATGAGAATAATAGAATCCTTGTGGTATAGTCTCGCTCAACGATTGAAAGAGACACTTCGGAATGTTTGCATTTCAGTGTAAAAAGAACCAACTAGAAGCACATTTTCAGTCGTGCAACTTAAATTAAATAGATGAAAAATATTGACTGTAATTTATTTCAGCCATTTTAAACGATAGAAGAAGTTAAACAAGTAGTCAGATGTTCAGTCTATCAAAACTTTCACACTATCCACTATTGAGCAGAAGAATGGATAAAATATTTTTCATATATTATTTGATCCTGTCACGGCACTTTCACACTGGTTTTACTTATACGGAAACTGTTGCGTCATGTTCGATTACAGACTTACTTCATTAAAATGTTGATGGAGAAACAAGAAAGTTCTCCTACAAAGAAAACGCAGAAAACTGAAACTAATATTTAAAGTACTTGCTTCCAATATTTTCAACAGAACTTGATTATATGAAAAAACTTTCTCTGATAGATGAATAGACTTACTAATTAAAACAAAAAAAGAACAGTATTTTCATCTATGGCATAATCACATATTTCTCCTATAGTGGTCATTGAAAATAAATTTAACCAGTGACTTTTCTTTCATCAGAATAAATATTTGTATTTTTTCCAATTTTTCTCCATAGGAGGCATTACTTGGGGTGGCACTTTAACTTTACTTTAAAAATTAAAGTGTCAAGTAGACTTTAACTTTAAAAAAAGTAGTGTAAAAATGAGAAGTAATTTTTAGCTCTTTATGAGCAATTTTATGTGGTTTTTAGAGTAACTTTAAACTTTAAGCTTTAATAAACAGAGTTTAAAGTTTAAAGTTACTGTGAAAACCATATATAACCGTACATAAAGAGCTAAAAATTACTTCTCATTTTTACACTACTTTTATTAAAGTTAAAGTTTTAATGTATTATACTTTAACTTTAACTCTTAAAGTTTAAAGTTAAAGTGCCACCCCTACGTATTTATTCCACATAAGCCACGACTAGGACTACGACAGCTCCAGCTCACGAACCCGGTTCAAACGAACCGATGAACTGTTCGGAAAAGTTCAGTTCAGTTCAAAAGAACTGTTCGAACAGTTCTTTCGAACTGAGCTGAACTGTTTGAACAGTTCAGTTCAGCTCACGAGAACTGTTCGAACAGCTCTTTGGAACTGAACCGAACTGTTCGAACAGTTCAGCTCAGCTCAGATAACTGGCGAGCTATCCTATAGGGTAACTTTAGGACTAGGACTACGACAGTTCAGCTCAGTTCGAAAGAGCTGTTCTGACAGTTTTCTTGAGCTGAACTGAACTGTTCGAACAGTTCGGTTCAGTTAGAGAGGTTTAGGAAATGAATGATAGAGAATATATAATGAAAGGATATATGGAGGGGGAGAACTCAGCATGCCTACACTGAGAAGAAAAGGTTTCGAATTGGTTACAAAAACTGACACCATTTTAAGTTTGGTAATGTCGCTATTTTCTCAGTATATGGTAAATCTGATGAAAAAGGACAGCACATAGAAAAACACTATGAACAATTTTAACTCTTTAAATCATTTAGATCCCAACACAACCACTGAACCGTCCGCAAAAGATGAAAATAAATCTTTTAGAAATCTTATAACAGTTTATATGAAATTCGCTAGTGGTTTTGCTACCGAAGCAGTTATTCAATCCGCAGATGAGTTCGAAACAAAGTACAGCTCTGTTATGAAATCTCTACTGAATTTTATTAATAAATGCTTGATCGATTCGAACGAAAGCGCTTTCTCAGTAGTGCAAGACGCAATAGGTAGCATTTTAAGTCTAATTTGGAATTTGACCAGCAAAATTGCACTTGTTCCCATGTTCGTTAATGNTTTGGTGTTATGTTTGTTTTTACTATTTACAATACGTATCTGACTATTATTTTTCTTTTTCTTTAATAGTGGAACGGAATGACAAGACGGTAACACTGCCCGATAAAACTTACATGTTTTGACGTTCCGTTCCACTATTAAAGAAAAAAGAAAAAGAAAAAAAAATAATAGATACGTATATTAAATAGTAAAAACAAAACATAACACCAAATAAGATAAAAACTGAAGAAGGAGGAAGATATCTCCGAAACGTCTTAAATAATTAATAAATTTTTTATAAAAAAGAAAAGGAAGAAAAAAAGCAAAACAATCCAATTATAATGACCTTCCTCAACACATATAATTAGTCACACTCACGTCAGTGAAAATCATCTAAGTCTTGGGATCGAGGCGATTATATCATTATAGCTTACTTTGGTAGAGAAACAAATAGCTCATTCAGAATCAGCACGAAAAACTGCATCTAACCTTGATACTTTTTGTAGAAAAATAATTTTTACCGAAAATTCACCTGTAGTGCTCCTCAGCAGTTTGTTTTTCAAAATTGACCTTGGGGTCCCCTTCCGGTGAATTTTCGGGAACGAGACATTTCGCACTAACTTTACATTATGATTTCCCGACATAAAAACATAGATACTCTTCGGAATGACAAAAATTTAAAACAAGCAGGATGTTCGGAATGAAATATGGACAACTTTCATTCCGATTTCTCTGTATTTTTTTTAAATAATATATCCTGACCTACATGTGTTACGTACTCTCTGGAAATGTTTTTAAAGGCAAAAATCAATTCCGAACACCCGAACGGATTACCGGGTGTCCGGGACACTGGTACGAAATGTCTTTGTCCCGAATTTTCGGTAAAAAATATTTTTCTGCAAAAAGTATTATGATTAGCACAGTTTTTCATGCTGATTGTGAAACTGCTATTCGTTTTTCCATCACACTAAGTTATTGCGATAAAAACACCCAGATACGAAGACTTGCCTACGAGGGAAGGTCTCTGGGTGTTTCTCTGGAATTTCAACGAAATTTACGTGGATTTGTGAAGTAAAGCGTTGGTATCTCAAATACAGAAAAATTCGCGGCTGAGGCTAATCCGTTAAAAAAATTTAGAATAAAAGTATTTTATCCTTAGGACCCTGAGGGAGACCACAGGTTGGATTTTTTAAACGAAAAGCCATGTCTTTCTTGAAATCAACTCTTTCATTCCGCACGTCCATGTTTGCCTGCTGTTAGCAGCTTTTATACAGGAGAAGATAATACCTTCGTAAAAAATGTATGCCCGTGTGTGAATATCAAGTAGTCAAGAGACATTTTCTATCTCTTCAAATATTTAGGATAGGAAAAGATAAAGTCAATAAGTTTTTATGATTATTTGTTCTCTATAAAACGATAAAGAGATTCTATCGTAATGATTACTGTTGTAAATCTATACGATTCATCGTATTCAGATCAAATCAACACTCTCGCTCATATGCTAATAAAGCATATGGGCACACAATGGTGACATTTATCCATTCTTGAATTATTAAAATATATGCATGCTTCGATGCATAATATAATGATGTTGCTTGGCAGTAGGTTTATATCGATTCGATAAAATGTAGGGTAGTAATGACTGGATATTATTCCCTAAGCTTACAACCACCTAAATTAAGCGATATACTTTTGATATGTTTTCATAGTAATATCACTTTCATTTTGGAATGGTAACATCCGATAGGGCATTGGATTCTACATCGATTTGCCTAAGAATAAGTCTATCGAAATTCCAACAACTATCTTAAAATTGATTTTTCTTCAATATACAATATCTCGAGAAAGGCGCATCCGTTTTCACTGAAAGTTTTGGACCCTTCTAACATCGATGAGGCCTATTGTTAGGAAAATTTCCACCTCGAAATTCCTTCATTCAGTTTTTCAGTTTTTCTTATAAATTCCTTCCCCATAATCGAAAATTCACTAAAACGGTCATAACTTTGAAAGAAAGACCTGATGACACGAAATCTTTTAGGCCTTTTTTAGTCTCATTGAGTCCTACTTATGAGCGCAATATGAACCCAAACTGTGAGAATCACTTGAGCATGTTCCCTCGTGAGTGTGACTATTATGCTCCTCACTAAATACTCGTCTGGATCTTGGTGATTTTTCAGTGACACATCAAAATATGCAGAATTTCAAGCGCTACCACAATGTATCGCTGCTTTCGTATTTACCTAACTAGACAGTCTGAAAGAAGAGAACAAAAGTTGGTTTTGGAGAAATGTGAGGACTATGGTGTCGGTATTGTGCTTTATTTTTTTCTCATCCAGTACGTGTTGTGCAAGATATTTTTGAATAGAATTGTAGAGAATTTCACGCGCTATCAGGATATGTACGAATATTTTAATTTATAAAAATAATATATTAAAAGTAACAAGCACAACTTTTTGCTTTCATGTGAATTTTTCTCGAAAATATCATAATCTTGTTAAAAGAATTTTCGTTACTGAAAATCAAAATAACAAAGTTTTGAACACATCATTCAACGCAGTTTGATGTGCTCTTTCATACGAGACTATCTTTGAATTCACCCACCTCACTGATGTGACCAATCGGTCCTATACACTGGAGCCCTATTTTCTGAGCCAGATCGATCGCACGGAGAAATTTTTTCCAACATGAGATACTTTCAATACTATGAAACGATAGCCCATTGAGTATACTATTAACGGTGAGAAAAGTTTCGATGCAGCTCTTATCGTTCTTGAGAAAATGAAAATTTACTGAAAATTATCGAAGTACAAAAAAACGGACCTCATCTTAATTCGAGTGCATATATCTCCAGAATAGATCATCCGTTCGAGCTGAAATTTTCAGTTTCTTCCTAACTTTGTTGGCGCTACCTACTGAAAAAATATGAGCCAAATCGGTGAGATCGATTGAGGAAGGTTGGTCGTGACTTATGTGCAATCCCTCATAGGTGATTCTACGGTGACACTTTACTGAAGGCAACAAAAACGCATCACGTATTGTCAACTAGTAAAGCGTCACGGTATTTGTCTTTCCTTAAAATGAAAAAACCTTCATCGTAAATTGTTAGTGATAAAAGTATGTAGTAGTCAGTCACAAGGGGAGAAAAGCTGATTGCAATCAAAGCAATTTTTCAGTAGTGTAAAACGTGAAACTTGAATTCAAGTTTCAAGTTTGATATATATGCAATCTTTGACAATTATTGCCAATCAAAAGTCAGCCCTTTCCTCTTGTCAGTCATTTCTCTTTTCCTACAATAAAATAATTTTTCATTCAATTTGATTGGCATGCAATGAGTAAGAGAGAGAGCAGAAAGCTTAGCTTAAATTAGAAGAAGCAAGCCATAATTGATTGGTGAACTATCTTGCGTATAATTATAGTAGATAACATATATGTTGTAACGATGACACTAAATCGAATATTCAATTAAAACGAATAGCGAGTAGGAATTCTATACTGGTTCGTTTTTCATGATTGTAAAAAGGAATTGCATATGCAATCAATTATTAGCCATATGCTTATCTAAGAATACTTCCTGAACATTTCAAATCAACAGTCTATAAATAGTACCGGAAAATTCCTACCTTACAGCATAATAAAATATAAACGATACCATGTTTTTGTATGAAGATTTTTTTGTCAAATTAGTTCTGAGTTATAAGCTAAACATATAGAGATACTAAAACATTAAACAAAAAGCATCTGACACTTACTGATAATTTTGAAGTTCTTCAATGGCTTCTTCAGAGGTACCCTTTCTCATTGAAAATTAAATCTCTTCATATCACAGGTCACTTCAGTTTTTTTTAATGGATAACAATTTGATGGCAACATATGTGAATCAAAGGAAACAAACCTAGGTTAATATTGATTTTTCTATTAGATCCGATGATGAAGTGATCGAAAAACTTGATTGTCATATCAGTTGTGAAAAATATAAAGAGTATATGTGATTTCTTGAATAGTGATATCTCACTGTGTATAAATACTCATGTTGAATATACTCAATAACAGCCGACTGTTAACACTCAGACGAAAGTATTCCTTTCGCTTGCTCTGGTTATGACGTTGTATAATGAGCAAAAAAAAGTCATGCATCACACATGCTGTGAATCTATTTAGAAAATTGTAAATTGTGCTCAGTTATATTACTGACTGCACAAGGAAGAGAATATTCAGAGTCATAGTAAGCAGCGTATTTCAATGATCATTCAAGGTTTTTTCTCTTTCACTTCCTAGAAGTTGTCACAAGCTGTTTTCATATATGTTGATCATTATTTCGAGACCGGATAAGCCTGAAATACTGATTCCGATGTAACAATGATGTATAAGGCAACGGATCAAACAATAGTCTTACTTAAAAATACGTCAATAATTTTTAATAAATTATTCTCAACACTGAACTACATAACGGATTCATTATAATTACTGTATGACTTCAACCATCTACTTAGTTCTATGGTGGATTTTGTAGTTTTAAATTGTTGGACAGCAGGTGTATCAAATGCTGAATTATTTGATTATCAATATTCTTCGTTTTATAATGCCTTTCATAATGAAGTACAGTTGTGTACCATTACTAATATCATTTGTCATAGAATGGTATGAAGATTAAACGGTATTAGTATTAGATGGTTTTGACCAGTATTGAATACGGTACAATTATGACTGTTATTTGACCGAAATTATTGAATGAACGGATAGTTAGTCGATGACAAATAAGCTAACAGAAAATTCTTCGATTCTTCGGTTTAATTATATCCCCAAGAAAAGTCTATTATGAAAAACGTACGATCGAAGTCAAAGAATTCGTATAGGTAGTGAGCTTTTGTTTATTTTATGGCTTTTTGTTTTTCATGAAAGATCTTGCTGTCACTTATACGATCAGAAAAACCTGATTACATTTTCGAATATGTCTACTTCGATCACATTCCCTCATAGTTCACGGATTGTTGCTGATTTCTCGGAATAACTTCCTCAAAGACATGAATTGCGTCGAGACATATTTATTTACATTATCACTGAGTAAGTTTTTTTTGTTCAATAAATTCGGTAAATAATGATCATCATTATGGCATCCATAATTAATGCCAATATTCCAATGCTGCATTGAGGTTTCTGACATGCTTGGTCAAGTAAACTATCTTATTTATATATCATTACTTCACACTCGAATAGAAAGAGTCTAAGAAATAGAAACATGTGCAAGAACTCCCATTTCTACGTTCAAACTATATTATAACATAGTAGTGTACGAGAAAAAATGACAAAAAGCGCCTGTTACATACTGTTGCCGCATGATTTGACGATGAACAACAGGAAGTTATATTTAACTGTTTTTTTCTAATAACAATCAGCGTTTTCACAAAAGAAAATGTTCGAGCTATCTTTAAGAAAAGTCTCTGCTTTTGAAAACCATCGTAATTAAATAGTTAGTAAAAAGTCTTCTAAAACAAAAAAAAAGGAATATTCCGATTAAGGGAGGGATATTTTTTATATGTATTCTTTGTAACGAAGTTACAGAATCGGCAGAGAAGTTTGTCGAAATGAGTTTCAGATCAGTTTTACTATAACGCCGAAGATGCTAACAAAAAGGCGAAATTTTCCTGTAATAATAAAACTAGATTTAACGGCGTTGCTGCACATAGAAGAATACAAATCACATTCCTTCCAAATGATCTTTATCCTTAGACACTGTAAGTTAGATAGATAAGAATACTAACAAAAGCATTTCTTAAAATAAACTTCTAAACGATACGACTACAATCTCAAGCTTGAAACTTGTGGAGGATTCGTATGCACAACAAAATAACAAAAGATATAAAATATCCAAATCATGACTCTATTTAATGTTAAGTTGTAATTTGGATTTGCATGAATTTCGGCTCATACTTTATTCTATACGTAAAAGCATAACCAAATTTTAACATTGGTTATTAAATTTTGTATTGGTGAGCAGAATGGTATAATGCTCAGCGACATGTCTCGATTCCTTACCGTAAGTCGTAGTATGGTCTTTTGAGATATGCATCTTTTCTCTGCAGCAAGAACGGATGTAACCACGGGTTAGAGTGAGATTGGACTGATCTGTGTGCACTTCTTTTCTCTGTCCTACCATTGCACTCACAGTCTAATTTCGATTGCCAAGTATGCTGTCATGATATTGACAATCTCGGTTGTCGACGGCATGATCGTATGTATGTTAGCATTATTTTACTACGAGGATTTGTATGGACATTGCAACCTTCAAAGGTATGTGAAGTACTACTTTGATATTACAATATTGATATGAAGAATTATTGAAGACAAATTTTTAATCCGTTTATTTGCTTTATAGAATTCGATTCAAGAAAAAAGACTTTTTTTTTTCATGTAAATTTATATCAAAATTAATATAAAAAGTAATCAAAAAACAAATAACGCCTACAAAACAGTATAAAATTACTTTCCTATTCAAAAATATCATTGATCTCTGCACATACTCTTCGGCGCGTCAAATTACCACTGAAAGGTATTGTTTCCATTTTACGAACTTTATTCACTGATGCCATTACATCAGCTGTTATAAATATTTGATCAGGTCCATAAGGAGAACCCATTACAGCTTTGTTGATTGATTTTCTTCGCGAACTTTGATGTCCGAATCTCCATTCTGAAGTTGCACTAATCATATGATAGAAAACAGCGTTACTACTATCGAATGGTGAAAAGAATACTTCAGGTCCACATTTATCACATCGGTCGAAATGACTTCCAATCCATCGAATATCTTCATTAATCGCGCCCCAAAATAAATCTTTGTCGGTATTAAGTAAAATTGTTTCTTTCATCCATGAAAATGATATGTTCTCATATTTCAATAAATAATCAATTGTTTTACCACCAGAATCAAAACCTTTACCTTGACGACGAGTCGCCGATACATCAAACTCATCAATAGTACTAAACAATTGTGGGCCTAAACAAATAAATCCAATCCAACAAAATCGTGAAAATAGTGCTGGATGTTTTCGGCACATTAAATCTCGAGAGTTTAATAATGTTTGAGAATCAAATGGACTCAATGGAAAAACATCACCATCGAGCAATAGAATCGCAGTACCTTCGCTAAGATGACGTTTGGCTTTTGTCGATACAGCCCAATTAACAATCTTGGCATTTTTATCTGAAGGCGCAGCCGTTGCTGAACGTTGTTCTGGTAGAAAGCTAAAAATTTCAGCATCGTGTTCTTTAGCTACTTTATGCATATCTTTTGATGCTTTTCCATCTGTAAACAAATACAATGCGACTAAATCTGTAGCAAGTAGTCGGATGAGATATAGTTGAAGGTTGGCAAGCACATGATGTTTTGTATGAAAGACAAAAACAGCTAAAGAACTGCTGATAGTTTTATTTTTAATACTTGAAGGAAGTGGAGGCCTTTCAACAAGTAAAAAAGCTGGATCAAGAGTCGTTGAAAAACCAGTGGTAATCGTAGTATTGTTATAAATGGGATATTTTGTAGCAGTATATTTACCATTGGTAGCTGTAGAAGTAAAATTTGCAATAAAGATTTTCAATATTTGAGTTTTATTAAGAGTTTGATAGAATCTTGTAAACGATGTATTTAGTTCATCATGACCCGTTTGAAGTAATACATAATAGAAAATTAATATTATACACATAAGTAATATGACTATTTTGTTAAAAACGCTATTAGAAGTTTTCATCTGAAATACATCAATCTTAGGATAGTTTGAATAAAAACTGAATTGTTAATATTTATCTTTTGAAAAAGAAAATAAATAAGAAGAAATTAATTCAAATACAACAGCATTTTCTTAGCGAGATATTTCTATTGAAGATTATATCGGACATGTTTAAAAAGGAAAAGGATTTCTAGCATTACTTATTTAAGTAAAAACCTCTATGATCATTGTTATTGTCAATTTTATATCAAATAACATGTTCACAAGTTTTTTTGGTTTCGCTGTTATAAATGTATTTCAACAGGAATAATCAATGCATTCATTCATGTATCTGGAAGATTGCAGTGTGAATTTAAACAATAAATTTTATCATGCCAAGACATATGAACAATGAAAAGAGAAAGAAAAGAAAGCATGCGCCATTATTACAAGTACTTTTTTCCAATTTAAACGACCTCTCAGAAAAGACAGATGAACTGTTCGATGCCTATTGACAAGTATGGTCGTTTCTGTTTTTTTTTGTTGTTAAACAACGATATATTGAGAAGGAAGCTCATGCAACAAAAAGTATTCGATGAGCGTGAACAATTATCTTAAAGTAATACAATAGACATGTTCAGTTGTTGCATAACTATGTACAGTGTACTGAGAGCACAATGTTAAATATCACAGTTTGAAAATAGGCATCAAAATCAATCAGCAAATTTATATTGGCCTTGATAATAATCAAAAACTCTTTTCTACTATATGTTAAAATATTACAACGCTATAATGTCTCGCAGCTTTAACATCGCCCTCCTGCTATTCTTGCTTTGAACAATGGCAAGAACAAAACTATTCAAATATACGTACTTACATTTGCATTTGGTACAGAATTCAGATATATATCTTACTATTTGTAATAGTATGCTTCCTGTAACGAGAGAATCCTGATAGGATGATCAACTCTGAAATATATTCTGTCGTCATAAAAATAATGATCCAAAACAAATTGAAAATCCTGCGGTAACATAGGAAGTTTGAACAACGAAAGTGAAAGAGAAACAAAATATTCAAAGTAGGTGCTTCACGCGTTTTCATCAAAATTTGATTACAGTGCAAAATCAAACGAGGTTTAATAATGTAATGTTTCCATCGAATTAAAATTATTCTCTATCATTCTCTCGTTGATTGATCGATGCACTAGAAGAGAAAGAAAGAAAAAAAATAGTTATTCTATTAGTAGATATTCATTTTAACTACATGGAATTTTTTCTTTTATTGAGCGGTAAGATTTATGTGTGTAGATTATAAGTATCTCCACCGCAGTCACTTTCATAATCACATTTAGTTTGAAAATATAGGATCATTGATTTTAAAAAGATTTACCGTAAAAGCAAGAAATAATTAATCAGATAATAGAAGAATGTATTAAATTGAAAAAACATATAAAATATGTGAAACAGATAATACTTAATTGTAAATTAGCATAGATGTTGGGAAAAGAAAGCGAACCTGTAGCTCAATGAAGAAAAAGAACGAAGAGGTATTTTTTGCTGATACAATTTCAATTATCAGATATAGAGGAAATGAGCTTGAATTAGATTATATATTTTAGGATTTGCGCCCAATGGTTTCTGAAACGTTTTTAAAATCGATTTCCTCAAAAAAATTCCATACGAAAAAAAGTGGTTTGTTTCAAAGTAGCAGGAAAATATTGGAACAGTGATGAGTGTAATACTTGTAATCCCTAAACAGTTGAATATAAAAGATTTGGCACTAAAGTAGTTTAATAGCTCTTCAAAAAAGACGGACATCTCTGTGTAACGAAGAATGTAGTAGCTTTTGTGTATCCAAAAAGTGAGTAAGCTAGATTCGGTCAGTGTTTCCGTCCGTCCGTTAACACGATAACTCTTGAAAGTCTCATCCAATTGTCATGAAATTTTGTACACAGAATGATCTCATCAATATCTCAGTCGAGTTAGAAGATGAGAAGGATCCGTCAAGAAATGGCTGAGTTATCAAAAAAATTGTCATTATTGGCCAGACCATCCGTGTGGCGGGGTACAGGGATTTTTCAAAAAAGAAATTTTTTCGCAGTATTATTCACAAAATATATAAATCGACTCAGTTTTTGCAGTACACATAACAATCGGATGCGAATCCGATGTTTCCGCATTCATTTATCTGTTTTCTATCGAGTTTAATTCGTGAAATATTCACTAGTCTCTTTTGTTTTTCTAAGAGTTTCTTATAAGCTTAAAAATATTCAGAAAATAAAGAAAATCATCTTGCTCGATAATAAAAATTAAATAAATTTTCTGTATATTTTTCAATTCATCCACTGAGTTCAATTGATTGAAGACGGAAAACAATCGCTAAACTCTCTCAATCCAATTAAATTTGCAAATCTTTCTCTACAACTCAATTTTTTAATTATTTTCAATAGCTTTTCGATTTATGAAATAAATATTGATTTAAATGACTACATGCAGAAGATTAAAGAGTATGCTTCTTCGAGGCGCGCGATGTGCGTACAACCCTTCGATAATGGTATATCCTGTTACTTGTAATTGCCGATTAAATAAATTCTCTTATTGAATATGTATGACGGATTCGAACGTGTAAAAAAGTAAATGTCATGGCTAAATAATGATTTTATGTTAATTTCACCTGTAATTTGAATCTCTCTCAATCGATGTTTGCTGCCTTCTTTATCGATTTTGTTGGCAGCATTCACTTTTAAAACTTCACAGATTTGTTCGAGTAAATTATATTGCTCTTTGCCATAGGCAGAAAAACAATAATACAACACATTTGGTCAAATTTTTGATAAAAGATGATGGAAAATTTTTGCCGCCAATTCATTTATTCTTTGTTCAGTTTTGAATGTAAGACCTAATTTTTGACAAAACATTATACACTATCAGCTACAGTCCCTTTCTTTAGCGTCTGTTTAGTCTATTGATTGGACGGTTTGTTTTAATAACAAGTACAGCTAATCGTTCTATTGTCATAGATAAACCAATTCGAGTCTTGCTTAGGTATATCTAAAGAACAATAACAGAAGAAATTAAAGTATAAAGGAAAACTCTGTCGGTCAGACATAGTCTCGAAATAGTTGTTATACATGCTAACAAATACTTGAAGATAAGCTTACAAGTCTATCGAAAAATTGCAAGCCCTATGATAATGTTGATTTTAATTTCTCTCGATGAATTAAACAAACTATTTTATTTACTCAAACTGATTTGTTAAACAAGTCTTTCTACTGTTAGTTGAATTTATGTTGTTTTGCTTAAAAGTATGTAAATAAAAATACAGTCAAACAATATGTACCAATGCGAGATTGAAATACACTATCATGCATTTCGTACAGATATTTTTGGAAATTCTTTAATTATCGCTAGTCGTATATCGACCACACTTCTTTTGGTTGTTGTTATTCATGAGCGTATTTGATCAAAAGTGAACTTTTTTCTTATATTTATTGAACACTTCGATGATGGCGCCATCATAAATATGATTCATTAATATAAAATATCATGTTACATTTATTTTAATTAAATCCTCGATTTAACCATGTAAATAAGACATTATATTCTTTCTTCCTTTCACATTTGTTAGAGGATTTATAAATATACATTGTCGTCTCAAATTAGGCGCATCTCCTCAATTTGTCTCTTCTTCCTCCTTATCGCTCTCATCATTTCTATTCAATCAATTTGATTGAACAAACAGAGACGACTATATGTTAGTGATGCAATGCTTAGACATAGAAGAACAAAGGATTAACGATGTATATACAATTGATCGATGGTCGGATCGATTTCAGTCAGATATATCGATGAGTTCATCATCAGCAACAAGCTCTTCTCTGTCCTCGTTTTCGGATGAATTCGAATCTACTCTACCAGAACCACCTCCAGCACCACCACAACCACCCCCACCACCGCCTCCTCCTCCTCCGCATCCTCTTATCTCATCCATAAGCAAGTAAGTCATTCGAATACCTTCAATTTATCCATTGAATATTTTTTTTATAAATTATGTTAAATTTATTAGATCAATAAATGAATCTGTTAATAGAAAGAAAATTGTACATAAAGTTGAACCTGTATTCAATCATGATACGACGAAAATACGTATCTTTCTCGAAGATGGATCTTTGACTGAATATTCCATTAAGGAATCGACCACAGCAGAAGTACGAACACGACTTTTGAAAGTAAATATTTCAATTTAGTTTTTCTCTAACATTCTAGCAATTAGTAGAAGAAGTCATTCTTCGTCATGGTCTCGGCTCGAATATACGCCGATATCGATTAACATTAAGTGAAGCACGAGATGCTTCTTGGCGATCAATTCGATATATAAGACCACAACAAAAATTAAAAGACGTGAGCATATTCATATTTGCTTTTTTTCTTTGTCATTATACAATTAAATGATCTGCAAAGGTATCACAATGGTCATGTATAACACCAACAACATTATGCACGCTACGTGTTGTTATTGTTCCTTATCAAGCTGAATTATTAGCTGATACAGAACCAATTACATTCACTTATTTGTATAGACAAGTAAAATCAACAATAACAAGCAAATTTCGGTTATTTTCATATTTTATTGTTTTTGTTTTTCTTCGAAGAGCATCAATGATTATGTTCGAGAACGAGCTGGTAGTGAAATAAGCGTCGATACTGCTGTACAATTGACAGCACTGCTTATTCTTGACGAATCAATATGTACGGGAGTTCGAACAAATACTCTTGTCAAGTATGTGCTTTTTAGTTATTTTAATGAATTCAAATAGAATAAAGACTAAAAGATAGGCGATCATGGCTATTACGACAATTGTTACCACGTTCATTACTAGATCAATTTTCTGTAAAACAATTAATTCATCGTGTTAAAGATCATCTTCATGTTACCAAGGATATGACTCAATTGAATGTTGCAAAACAATTTATACGTATATTCTCTGAAAATGCTCGATCATTCGGCGGAAAATTATTTCCTGTTAAATTTCCGGTGAATAATTTCTTTTTGCCAGCCATTCGAATGAAGTTTTATTTTCGACTAGGATAAACATCGAGATTCAATCTTGCTTGTTGGAGCAAGACATCCAATTGCTATCCTTGACCAAGCCAGACGAATTCATTCACCTGTATGTTTTCAATTTAAAAACGAAAGATTTTAATATTTCATATGTCAATGTGAGAACTAATTACTATAGATAGTTAGCGCTTGTTTGTGAAGCAAAACAGTGATAATCATAAACGTGCTATAATACTAGAAGCAAGCAGAGAAAGAAGTATCTTAATCTCTATTAGCAAAGCCTATCAAAGCTTTAGAGTAGTAAATAATTCATATTTAGGGTGTAAGCATTGAATGTATGTGTGTGGTCGAAATTTGTATGGCAAATGGTTTTTCTTTTTGTAAAATTTATCAAAGAACTATCAATATGTATGCGTCGCGCGTCACTTGGCCTTGATAAGAGAGTAAAACTAACGATTAACTAGTTGATTGCTAAGGATTTGTTCTTTCTTAGAAACTAAATATGTGTATATTTGATTTCTGCCTCGTTCTATTACATGTGTGCATCTCTTTTGTTGTCTTAAAGATTGGCAACTATTCGTTCTTTCGTTTCTCTGCATCTATCAAGTCGGCATTCGTTCCTATTTTTTCACAGCCAAACAAGCATCGATACTGATTTAGATATTTTCTAGTTTTATTTCGTATTTCATAACACGTGAGGTTATGCTCGATATGTATAAGTTGCTGCATTGACATTCAACGTAATATATTTCATCGGGTAAACATGTCAAGTTTATCTCTCTTGTTAATCGAATATCTTCAGTATGGTAAAAAAAAGACTTACCAGGGAAAATTTAGAAAGCATTAACAAGTATTCGGTTTATCGACTTTGGAGTGACGTGCCTGTATTGATGAAGTTCTACAGATAGTTAAAATTCAAGCTCGAGTATCAACGTTTTTAAGTAAACTGCTTCGTTTGTACATCTATTAGTATAGTAAACCTAGAAAAGATAAATCAAAACATTAATAGGTAACCTACAGTGTAAAATATAATGACGTCGTAAATAAGTTTGTTTGCTATATAAATATATAAAAATTAAAAGATTAACTTTTTCTATGGGATTTGACTGATTTCCTCCGAGTTATAAAACTCCTGTTATATTATCAAAAGCCTTTTCTTCGATACGAAAACTTATCCTTTAGGTTATACCACTTGTATCTACTTGGTCTCATTTATCTCGTGTTATTGTTAAACAATATCGAAATGGTGTAGCTATACGCTTACTGACAAATCCTCCTCGAGCCACTTCAGTCGATGATTCATCTATTCTTCAACAGGAAATTTCGTTTTTAATTCATACAAATTTGCTTAATGATTTTATGGCATTCGTTGAAGGCTATTCACAGTTGGAATCATCAAATTTTCCAATAGCTATTGAACGTATATCACATAGAAGTAAATCACCAACATCAAGCACAAATAAATCTAAACTGACGAGTTGTGCAACTGAATATCAAAGTGAATCATTACATCGATCACCATTTATACATCGTATACTGAGCAATCGAAAAAGTCATCGTACATACAGACTAAAAGAACAAAAGCAAGGTCCGCCACTGCCGAGTCCATCACTATTGGAATTAACACGGCAATTTTTTACACGACATCCTCCTAAAACTGTCGAAATCGATGAACGAGAAACAATTTCGAATCTACCCAATCGTACAACACTTGTTACATGGCGTTCAATAGCAGATAATCAGACAACAACAACAACGCCACCACCCCCACCGATTTTCTATCGAACTGTCATTGATGTTAAACAAAAAGGTAGATGCATTTATTTATCAATAGTCGGGTATCCGTGTTCATTCTTTTTTTTTCTCTTCTTTTCGTATCATAGCCAAAGAACAAATGAAATATGTTATTGACGATGACGAAGACTATGATGGCGCACCTGATATAATCGGTATGCGACATCTTTTATTTTTCTCTGCAATCTGGATTTTGAAATGATTTCTTGTTCATTAAATTATTTTTGCGAACAAACTGAATTTATCAGCATTTCAATAGATGAATACCGGTAATAGCGACAGGTCGATATGTACACTACAAAAAAAATGTGCTATAAAGGATAGGACTCTGAAAATATTCACAATAGACTATTGCCATTGAGAAATGTTGCTATAGAAGTTTTCGAAACAAAATTCTAAAATTTGTTTTTATAAAGTTTCAAAAATGACAGAAGCGCAAATAGTTCACCAGATATTCTATTTCATCGATTGTACTTTTTTTTTATGACAATACATGATCATTCATCAACTATTTTAACGATAAGAACAAAGCGACTTCGGTTTGAGTAGCATAACCGAAAAGATAAAAGATTCTTCTTTTCTTCTTCTTGAATAAATATCATTGAACATTGGTGCCTACTAAATGTTCTCTTTACTACAATAAATATTTGAATTTGGTTTAAACCAAATAAAAAGAATAGATTGATGTAATTATTTGACAAAGAACACTTCTTTTTCATTCTTGTATATTAGATTTAACAACATCGCGCGGTTACTATGGGACTGTTAGCTTTCCTATTCGACCACCATCATCATTCACTGATGGTCTTATGTTATCACAGATGACAAATCAATGCAACAATGAATATGACGATACCGATGGTATTGTTATATGGTCGCCATCAACAAAACAATTAACTGTTCATTATAATTCCTACAATAGTAATAATAATAATAATAATAGAATCGGTCCTTCGCCTGTACTATCACATACAGATAGTACATGGAAACGAACATTAGATCGTATTCTTAAACGAACAAAATCAGGAAAAGGTTGTTTTTTCTCTTAACATTAACAATAATATATCGAACTTCTTCTTCAGAAATTCCACGCGTTACTACTCATCCATATGATTTCGGTGATGGAGAAGATTCAATGGCAACAACTCAAAATGGAAAGCATGTTCGTTGGATCGATAATGATGAATGTATCGTAAATGCGTGTCGTCGTTTTGTTGAATATTTAAAAATCTTTGTACAAAATGTTATTAATGATCAAAATGAAGAAATCTATTTGCAGAACTGTCAGAGATATTTAAATGAACTTAATTCTTTAATTGATTGTACAGAATTAAAAGAAGCATTTCAATATTCCGTCGAACTAGCAAATAAATATGAAAAAAATCAACTACTTCAACAACAAACATTTATTGCACAACTAATCTCTCGTACTATTCTATCTTCTTCATTATATTGATAATACACTAATAAAAATTCACTTCTCATAACTATGTATATAGGTTATGTTGTTTTTTTACTCGTTTCTCAAACAAGAGAGAGAGAGAGAGAACAAGGTCACGAAGCGGTCATTGTGATTCTGTGTTGATCATCAGTTTCTATTTGAGCATTGAGTAGAAAGAAGAAAAAAACAGGATGGATAGTCAGTGGCATATTCGACAACAAGTAGAATTTTTGTCTTCACCTACATCGATTCACTATCATAGAATTGAAAAATATTCATCGATTGTTGATGGTGTTCGACGTATAAGACGGGTTTTAGGCGGTGATCATCAATCAGGTTTGATCTCTATTTTAATAAGAAAGAAAAAAGTAAGTTTATACTCTTGATTTTCTTAGAGAATGAACGATTACTTCGAGCATGTTGCCGAAATGACATCGATGCTGTACGATGGTTGTTCGATAATATTGATACTGATTCATTAGATTTAAAAACAGGAATAAATCGATCAGCATTGCATGAAGCTGTTTTAAATCGTGATGGCCGACCCCTCGTTCGACTTCTATTTCAATATGGAGCTGATCCGAAACAACGTGATTCATTAGGTTAGTTGATTTTTCAATGAAAAATTTATCTAAGAAATTATACCCTGCGAAATTATAGGTCGTACACCTATTCATTATGCAGCTAGTTGTGGTCATATAGATATAATGATTGATCTTATTGATTTTTCAAGAGTTTCAGTATCAACATTAATTGATATTGACGGTCGTTGTCCATTAATGTATGCTTGTGGTGAGGGTCACTTATATGTTTGTCAATGGTTAGTTGAACATGGATATGCTGATTATCATCGAAAAGATGATCGAGGTCGTTCGTGCATTGCTTATGCATCTCGAGCTGGTCATGCTGAAATTGTCGAATGGTTTCTATCGATATTACCTCCAGAATCAACAAATACGGGATGGCATCCACTACATTATGCGTGTTCAGCTGGACATTTAGATGTTGTTAAAGTTCTTTTACAATACGATCAACATTGTGGACATGTTATAACACATAGTGGCCATTCTGCATTATTTATGGCCATGCATTCAACTAAAAATACTATTGAAATGGTGAAATGCCTACTGGATTCGAATTCATCACTTGAATTAACATCACAAGATATTCACGATTTAGATTGTGACAAATCCTTAATTCTCTTGTTTGCTCAACGTCGTCATTCGTTTTATTTTTTATTTGCAATTATTGAAAAAATGTATTATCCATTATCACTTATTCGTCTTCTGCTATTAAGTGAACATAACTATTGTAAAGAAGATCTACTCTCTATTTCTCAACATCAATCATTCATTAGTCAACATTTTCGAAATCCATTGAAGCTTAAACAAATTACGCGTTGTTTAATAAGAAAATCACTCGATAGAAGCAACAAAGTCGATCTACTAGAAATTAATCAAAACTTAAAAAAGTATCTTCGTTTTGAATATTTCGATTAATTATTTGTAAATAAATAAATTGCATTGTAATTGAGCTAATAGTACACCTTGAAGAGCTGGATCAAGATTTGTTATTTTATTTGCTATTTCATTGCAAGCACCTGGCATACGTACTTGAAAAAATGCATTTAATTCATCAGTAGCTGTCGTAGGTGAATGTGTTATACGAAGACCAGTAGCAGCAGCATCTAATAACAATGGATAATCATCCATATAGACTGTTTTTACACCCCATTCATAGTCAAGTTGTGCTTTTGCTGATTGACAACGAGCAAGAAGACCAACAAAAGCGGTAGGAACTTGAGACAGTAGCGGATGAGAGATACTTTCAGATAGTTGTATTTGAATTTGAAATGATTGTGATGTTGACATAGATTGTCGAATATAGATAACGATTGAAAGTGTCGAGCCATCATAAGTATAACCATTTGTTGTTCCATCTTGTCCGTTGATTAATTCATTGAAGGGTTCCATAGGAATCGGAACATTATTTACAAGGACATTGGTCGCAGGAAAAATACCTCGAAGTTGAATTTCATATGTACGTGCTGTTGGAAAGGTCGAAAATGAACTTGTTGCTGCTGATACAACTAACCGAAAAGAAGCAATTAGCATAATATTTTTTTTTCTCCTAGGAAAATAAACTTACTGAATTGTAATGTATCGCCTGTAATATTATAGTCGAAACGTGTGACAGCATTGGTTGCATGAGTTGAATCTTGGTATGCAATGGTTGTTCCATCGTCATCATAGACATATCCTCGTCCTTTCGACGATCCACCAACAAGAGTATATAAAAGAAGACTTTGTGGAATTTGTTGGGCTCGGCCAATTCGATCTCGACTTGATCTTGGCTCAGGTAAAAGTGGAATAATGGAGCCTGCTTGTGCATAGGCTGGCATTTCATCAAGAGTAAACGATTTTGTCATCGATGACGAAGCAAGATCACCAGTAAAAAAATTTACCCATTCAGTATCAGGTGGAAACCAGATAGGCCAATTTTCAACAAGACCTGTACTTGCATTGATTGGTTGTGATATGGGTGAAACAAAAATACTTTGACCAAAAAAATACTGATTTAAATATGAATAAGCTTGATCATATTCTGGATAGAAATAATAGAGAGGTAAAACCACGGATAGGCCCATATCGTAAGTACGTCTTGCAGCTGTATAAATATACGGAATAAGTGCTTGCCGAAGTCGAGTAAATCGTGCTAAATTATTTTGATAGATCCAAGGAAATGTCCAAAGTCGTCGATCATTGTTTGCATTTTTAGTACAATGTGTTCTAAACATAGGTGAAAAAGCGCCCCATTGAAGCCAACGAGTGTAAAGTTCAGGATCGGGTTCTTGAGTGTGTCCACCGAGATCATGACTCCAGTATCCATAGCCAACATTTGCTGCTGTTGCTGTAAATCTTGGTTGAAATGAAAGTGTATCCCATGATGGTACAACATCACCGGAAAAGCCAACTTGATAACGATGATTGCCAAGACCGCCCCAACGATGTAGTAGAGCGGGACGATTGTTTCCAAGATTGGGATCGGTAAAAAAGACATGATTTAACCAAAACGTTGGATTGGCATAAGGTATATCATTCATCCAACCTTCTTCACCTTGTTGCCAATCTAACCACCATAGATCGATGCCAGCTTCTTGCAGAGCATGAAGAACAATATTAACCCAGGATGAAGCATATTTTTTATCGGTAACATTAAATGGAACGTAGTGACCGGTCGAAGGATCAATACCCATAGCTATAGCCATGTCTTTGTATTTTTCTTCCCACGGTTGAATACCTAAATGAATAGAATCGCGAATGAGTCGAGAAAAAAACAATCCCTGTTTAATTTACCTGATGCTGGATGAAGATTGAGGGTATTTTTGAGACCTAATTGTTTACACCATTGAAGAAATTTTTGATGATTCGGAAAAAGATGATCATCAAATGTAAAACCTGTCCAGCCAATATCTAATCCGGCTTGATCTTTTGTACCGTTTGCAGTTAATTTATAAAATGTAATATGCCAATCCATATCGGTAACAAGTACATCTAATGGAACATCATGTTGAATATATTCAGTAATAATTTGTCTTTCTTCATATTCAGCATAAGCCCAATAGCGACTAAAGAACACACCAAATATATAGCGAGGTGGCAGTGGGATCGATCCAGCAAGACGTGTAAACTCAAATAGGGCCTGTGAATATAATCGACCATGACCAAATAAATATAAATCTTGTTGAGATTGTGATGAATAGAAACACGATGATGGTGCTTCGAAACAACAACCACGAAGTTCACATTCATGTCGATCGGTATTATTCGATGAACCACAACTTCGACGTTCTGCAGATGAAACGGCTTGACATTGTGTCGGATCAGGAATTGGATATCGTTTACTGACGATCCATGGCCATTGAACTTCATCGTCGAGTTGAGGTTGATGTGTATCATCGACTAAAGCATAGCCACGACGAGAAATAACACCATAGGCACAATGAAGATCACTTCGATGTTGATTTTGACAATCCAACTCTAATTTTGAATCACGATTTCCGTCCAATGTTCGTAGTGTACCTAAAAGATTGCCATCATATTCTTCTCCAGGTACAGCATTCCAAGCAACGGTTTCTCCTGAAGTAATATTAACGCGAATAGTAACACGAATATTATGTTGATTGAATGTTGTTACAGCATTTCTCAAATATTCTACTGTAACAAAAGTCGTATCGATTCGTAAATGAGTATCGTTGCGCGTAACATTGAATAGAGGTGGAGTTGGTTGAATTTGACGCGATTGAACAAGCCAAGTTTTACCATCGAGAAATTCTTTTGTTGGCGACCATTCTAAACGAATAAGATATATGGACAAAATGGTAAACCGAGCTTGGCCTTCATAGACGATTGTTGAAGGATCAGGAAATAAATTATCACTTGCAAATGCCGTAGCAAATAGAGTTGCACAAAGGACAAGCCACACTCCCATGGTTGTGAAAGAGCGATAACACCTCGAAATGATTCTCGATAGGTAATATGCTACAGTTCTTATCAGGAGCGCTAGATAAAAATAATATTTACACGAGTCTGAATCTCTTGTTTTATTATATTTTTTTCACTGAAAAGGAAAATTATTATTATTGTTTACTCATAATAAAGTGTATAGATGTTTTATTAAAAATGAAACCTACGAAAATTATTTATATTAACAGTAAAGAAAATTTATATCCTATGATATCTAATAGAATGAAAGTTCCATAGAGTCCAATGTACTGATGAAACCAATATGGAAGTATGCGTTGATTTAGAAGAAGAAATCACTCGCCAAAAGATAATTACCAAAATAGTCAACAGAACGCGTTCGACCTTTTCCCTTATTAAAGTAGGCGTATAACACCATATCTTATCATTATTATAAGGAATCATTTTTAAAAAGAAAGTCCAAGTTTAACCTGCCTCCCATATTTTAATTTAGTACATCATCAATATAAAGCTGATTAGTTAGAATATTTTTTCTTCATACTAAATGGATGAGACTTCAATATGCAAAATGTTAACCACTGATTTTTCATCAATCGTAATTCGACTAAAATATTAACATTTATTTGCGATTGTTCTTTTTGTATCTATCATCTTGTATAGTCGATATTACTTTTCTCAATCGTGATCAGTTGTCTTTATGAGCGTTAGTGGCGTCTAACTATGAAAAACTACGTCTCATATCATATTTTATATCATCTCTGTTTTATATCGAAGTTTGTCTCCAAAACATTATTAGATCATAATTAAATAAGCAAGAAGGTTATAAATCACATTGTTACTGAGGTAGAGATCAATTTTATTTTATTGAAATAAACAAAATAGAATTATGTGTTTCCAAACTGATAATAAAATTTTGAAATAAAAAAAAGCTTAGTCGCGAATTTCCAACTTGAATATAAAATATAATACGCCGAACAATAATAAATTTATGATTAGTTTTCATTTCTGAAATGTTTTTTAGTTTTTTGCTTAATATTATCGGCGGTCCTTATACGGTCTTGTATACTTTCCGTAGCCTTGAGGTGAGCTATAATATGTAGAACCATCTCTATTTTGGTAGTAGTAAGAACCGTCTCGGTTACTGTAGTGATATGTTCCTGAAAAGAAAATCGATCAAAATTAGTGTAGTAATATTTTTTGACAACAACCAAGATGTTAGATAGACTTTGGTAATAAAAGTTTCATATCTGAATCTTGATGAATTTGATAAAGCAATATAACTTCTATTTCTGATGCTTGAGCATATGTTCTTACGGCATACCTCCTCTCGCCGCTCCGTCGCCTCGGTGGTCATATTGATTACCATCTTTATTGGTACCACGTTGCCATGGAGTGTAGTTGCTATTTGAAGACATGATGGTAGATTTTACACACAAAAATTAGGTTAGGTGTTGTTCGGATGTCTGTATTTTAAAGATACAATGACAAAAAAATAGAAAAGGTCGAGTAAATATACCAGCTATCAGCAGAAAACAACAAACGCAATAAGCTCGCGACATCGATGATAAGGTTCGTTTTCGAAAAGATTCTTTTTTTTGCAAAACAAACAGACGAAAAAAAAAAGAATTTGCTATTAGCAAGTTACCGGTTAATTTTATTTCTCTCATGCTTTGAAACTTTGTAAAATTGAACAATACTATAGGCATATCATGACTTGCCTAATTCTAATTCTAAATATAAATGAGCTTCGCAGTGTATAAGATGAATTTGACTTTAAATAAAAAAAAGAACACATGCCAGCACTTCTGTCTCTGCGACAAACAAAATGCCGAATTATAAATTTATGAATGGCAGAAATGTTTTTGCTTTTCTGCCGTAGTCATAAGAAACATGTCTCAGTTACAGATGTGTGTGTAAATGACAGTGTGACGATTTCTGATAGAAGGAATGTAGTGCTGATGGGATTACATTTTATTCGATTATCAATGACATTAAAGTAAGAGCGATGTCCAACATAGGATGATGCAGTAAGATAACGTTAAACATTACCCATAAAATGCACTCCATTAGGACCGTTACAGGCAAGAGTTTTTTTCTGCTGGGCACCAGTGCTGGCATGTATTTTGTTGTTGGAAATCTCATTTCTATTTGAAGTTAAATTAAACAGCGAGGCGGTGGTATTGGAGTAAAAATTGTGAAAAATCTCCAACGAACATATACAATATTATGTAGGTTTCTTATTGTTGTACATTTCTACAAGGTAAATCCTCAATGATGAGTTTTAAAGAAGTTTTTTTTATATGTGATTCTTTAATCGCATAATTTTGTTTTTATTCATTTTCCACTGAACTTTTTTTCTAATTGTCGAAAAATTTTCGAAAATATTAAAATGACTTGCAAATTATATCCTTGTAAAACGTGACAAGATAAATTTCATGCAAGTAGCATAGTTCATTATTAAATTTCGATTGATGTCTATTGATATTGAAACTATTTTCTTGATTCACTTCATCGGCTGAAAAGCGAAAATTTTAATTATGAATGTCAAGCCTGCTATTTTTCTATTATGTTAGTAATGTGAATAATAAGCAACACTTTATTTGTTTCTTTGAAATAGATTTTAGTAAAAATATATTTCCTCGAATTTGATTCATTCACTACTTATTTAAATCAATTTCCGTTACTTAATGAATGAAAAGAATCGATTAATTCTATCATTCAATTCTCTAGAAAAAAAAGCAACTGAAACACTGATCAGTGGGCTATCATTTCTAACAGAAGTGAATCATCTTTTGATAGACAAGTAGAAACACATCATCGCCAGGGCACATGTGATTTCTCTTTTCTTTCTGCTTAAAAACAGTGCTCGACAATATATATGTATTATACTATATGTATGTATGTGTATTTAGATCAAGGCATTGTTTACATACAATGGCAATGTATGGAGAAAGCGTGAAATAATAACATATACCATATATCTATCCTATATCATTGTTAAACCCTCGAATATTTGTCTTTTATCTTAGTTTGTCATTATGAATTAATCAACAGTGACTACCATATTCGTTTTTTTTTAATAAGATAATTCTAGAAGAAATTGTACTTGTTCCATCGAACTATTTTATCGTTCTTGTAGAATTCATCTCCTAAATATTTTAAAACGAACAAATAGAAATTATTTTTTTTCTCAGCTTGAAATCATACATAGAACTCCTATCAATTACTATTAAATTGATTCGTCTGAACAAACAATAGATCTAATCAGATATTCGCTACATATAAAATATTTTTATTAGCACTTTGATAAGATGAAAATGTGAGGATTTTTTGCATTAATAACCTATACTTATCGTAGAAAGCTTTTCTCTACCCAATACAGTCTATGATATGCTGAAATACTGTTTATCAGAATCGTATGGATCGAATCCAATTTTATTCACTTGTCGATTGTGTTATTTATGCTTCGTTTTTACTATTAAAATGATTCATGTCGCCAAAATCAAAACTCTACATGAATGAGCGAATAAAGCACTTTATCAATCGTTGTAGATTAATAAAATCGGATTCAAGTTAAGACTATTCGAACGTGTTAAAAATAACAAAAAAACAATACAAGGGATATTTTTAATTTTGTTTTCTCTAATCGAAATATTTGGATCGTATTCATTAAAGACTTTCGAAACATCATATGATTCTCATTATTTTTCGTGTTTTGTTTATCTATCAACAGAAAGCAGAGTAACAGAATAAAAATTAATTGTCATGAAAAATTACATACAACTTCATTATGGCTCAAAATAGTCTCTATTTCCTATGTCTAATTTACTCAATATGAAACTTTATAATTAATATCGATTCGATCAACAGACGATGTCAAATTCTTTGCAATCGTTTTTCTCTTGATCATAAGCCTTAGTCAATGGTAATATCTAACTCAATCTTCGATGAATTTGAGATTACGTCAAAAACAGTAACATGTACACAAGACTAGCATTCATCAATAGGATACGAGTAAAAATTTGATTGATATTAATTTTCTTTAGTTCATTTTAAAATTATTTATTTGAATTCCTCGAATTAACAAATAGTAGCTGAATGATGAGGATGAAATGTAGTACCACCAACGTTATAACAAAGAGGTCGGGGACCCGATAATTCCTGCGAAAAAACTTCACCCCATTTACCAACAAGACGTTGATTTTCACAGCGAATTTTCATCCATGAAATATCATCAGGTAGTTCCATGTTAAATGTTTGGCCAGCATAAATATTTCCACTCGCCAATGTATATGTACTTGAATCATCTTTTATATCAATAAAACATCGAGCAACATATGCACCATTTGATGATACGGAAATTTTCTTAGCATAAGATCCAACCACTAAAATGGTTTTGTTCTAAAAAAAGCTGAATCTAAATAAATATCTACTTACCAAGAAGAGCTATGATAGCAATTAATTTGAACATTTTGTTTTAGATATTTTTTCCTCTTTGCTCGATCTATTGATTAATGTCTTACATGTAATTGGTTTTTATATAAAAATCTGATGGTGATGATGAAAATCACACCATCTTCGTTTATTCACCTGTTTTATTTCTCACCCCCTATCTATGCTTTTTAGATTTTTTTTCATTTAATAGACATAAAAATAATTTATGACTGCAACAGTCAATCAATGATTAGGTTCTTTTTCTTTAGAAATAAAATAATAAAACTTATACAGGAAAACAAAAGTCAAATAATAAAAGTAAGCATTTGCAGTTGTTGATCATAACGATGGAACATATTAACCCTGTCGAGCAGAATTTTGCTGATAATACAAACGTGGAAAATCAATTAAAACTGGAGTTTGTGTGTCAACCGCTTGCGATGATGTATACATTGGTTGATTATAAGGATATTGCACTCCAAATCCTGCTCTTGGTGATGAACCAGGATATTGTGGTAATGTTGAAGGAACCAAAAACTGTTGCGATTGTGGTGAAGGCATGCCAAATCCATAAGCATTTTGTCCTGGATAAGCACTTTGTGCTAATGCCATAGCTGATTGTTGTGCCATAGCTAATTGTTGTGCCATAGCTGATTGTTGTGCCGTATAAGCTGCAGATGCAGCGTGATTCGTTGGTTGAGCTCCTGCACCAGCGGCTATTGACACAAAAAGAAAATTTTAGTTATTTGAGAATATCTATTATCATAGAAAACTAACATTGTTGACCGTATGGTGTTAAGTATGGATTGTAAGGCGATGGGTTAACTAGAAACAAAAATAAAAAAATGTGTGCTGGAAAAAATTCAATAATAAAAATATACCTGGACAAAGTTCAGATGTAGCTGGAAGAAAATCACAAGGCAGAAGATCAAGTGAAGGGGCTACACATTGACTTTTAACAGCTAAAAGAAAAGTTATGTTTACTAGAAATAGAGTTCATCGGTTAACAAAACCTCGGCAAAATGGTTGACAAGGAATAATTGGTTTAGGTTCGTGTCGTGTTGGACATGGTGGAAAAAGTAATGGGCAAATTAAAAGACGTAACGAACGATTACAAATTGGATTATTTGATGTTGCTGTTGGTGAACCAAGAATAGTATTTAAAACTTGTGCTATTTGCCATCGTTCAGAATGACCAAATGAATTTGGTAACGAATATCGAATTTGTGGTAGAGCACCGCACATATCCGCAAATAATGGATATTGCACATCAACTAATGAAAAACATGATGGATCTTTGTTTAAAAATGGATTATTGCCATGAGAGCTTGGTGACATTGGTGGTACTGGAATAGGTGGCATATATTGTCTATAATAGATATAATAAGAAATATCTATAAAAACAAATTTCATTAGTTTACTCAGGTCCATATGCTTCGAATATAATTTCGCCTTCATCATCGTCTGTATTTCGTGTACGTGATGGTTCTCGAGAGTTACCCTTGGAACTCTTTTTTAATTGTCCTTGATTGCCATCATTTGCTGGTTCAGTTGCTTTATTTTTATTACCGGATGCACTACTAGCTATTAAAACAAAAAACAGAATTTTCATTCGAATCAATATTTCAATTTTTTGAAAATAATAATTTTCCTCATTTTTGTAAATACTTTCATCATGTTTGAATTATAGTTTTTACAGTCATATTTACCCTTGACATCGTTTGTATCCGCACATTTTGATTGTATAACGATCAGTAGAAGTGCCACAAGCAGAAAACATAGTTTAGTTTGCATAGTCATTATGCGTATAGTTCACTCGATAGTTGAAAAAATGAAAGTGACTAGTGAATATGTACTTGTCCGCAATTCATATAGAGAACGAGAAAGAATATCTATCTAGGTCTATGTCTTTCTATCTCGCTCTCTTTCTCCTTGCAATGTCTTTCTTTCGTTTATTTCGAAAAGAAAATGTACGATACCTCGATTTAAGTCTTTATGCATACAACGAACGTAGAAAATCGTGCAAAGACTATCTATGAGGGATAAACAGCTCAAATACCCCAAAAAGATATAGAAAAAAAAATATATAATAATAATGCCTGTTTCAACTACACCACGTTTTTCAATATCTCCTTATTTTGCAGCCTATGATCCAACTAAACCTACACCGATTATAACAAAAACTGTTGAACGATTGCTATCTGATGCAGGCATAAAATTTCAAAGAATAAATTCATTCATTCATTGTCATAATTTTTACAGGTTCTTTTGGTATTTATCAAATATTTGTTTTTCTTATAATTGGTCTTCTATCTGTCGTTCCATCGATGGTTAGTTTTTCCTACGATCTTAATGTTGGTACGCCCGATCATCGTTGTCGTCTTTCTAATGACGATGCATATAACAAATCATCCGAAACCTATAAACTATTTCTTACTCATCTATCTCACACACCGACAGATTATGATAAAAAATGTACAATGTTCAAAAATGAATCTGCACGAACATTGAAACCTTGTGACCAAGGTTGGGTATTTGATATGAATAAATATGGTGAAACACTTTCAACAGAACTTTCACTTGTTTGTGATAAATTTCATTTAAGAGCATTAACACAAAATATTTATTCGGCAGGCGCAGCTGGATCTTTATTAACAGGTCTTTTATCGGATCGATGGGGTCGTCGTAAAACAATATATCTACTTGTCATTTTATTAGTTATTGCATTGAATACGATGCAATTATTTTTGTATTCACCAACACATAAACTTCTTGTTTTTACAATATGTCGATTTTTTCAAGGATTTGCAGTAACTTTTCACCAAGTTTCACTTGTTCTTCTATTAGAATTAACTGGACCAAATCGACGCGTTTTAGCTGCTAATACGCTTGCATATTCATTTGCATTAGGTCAAATTATGTTGGCTATTGTAGCAAAACAATTAAAAGATTATAAGTTAACATATTGGGCATTAAATCTCTATGTTCTACCATTTGTATTTATATATGTACTTATACCGGAGTCTCCGCGATGGCTTGTACAACAAGGTCGTATTATAGAAGCGCGAAAAGTAATTGAAAGAATATTTTTAATAAATCGTCGGCCGTTAAATGATCGATTAGAATTATTTTATGCTCGTTTACCAAATGATGTTATTGCTGCTAGAGAAGCCGAACAAAAATCTCCAACTTATTTCAATGTGTTAAAACGACTTTGCCAATCGAAATTAATGAGAAAACGATGTTTACTTCTTATTTTTGTTTGGACAGTGGCTCTCTCCGTTTATTTAGGTATATTTTTTTCCAGAGAATTCTATTAGAATCTTGATTCGATAAATTAGGCTGTAAAATCTATTTGAAAATTTTCCCAATAGTCAATCATGACAAATATTATTTAAGTTTTCTGTGTGTTTTGCAATGATTTCTAAGTTGTTCATTTATTCGAAAAACTAATTTTGTTTTTCAGTTTTTACAATTGTTCTTTTTTCGGTTGAATTAGAATGCTGATGTTTCAAAAGTTTATATCAAACTAAAATAAAATTCATTCACGAGTTTATTCTTTCCAAATCAATGATAATGAACAATCAATTTGAAAAAGAATCTGCTCAAGTCTCAAAGATTTTGTTTTCTGTTGAATACGAGAACACTACCGCTTAATGTTCAATTGAAATTTTTAGAATAAATGTCATCTCGGAAAAAAAAATACTGTTTATTTTATTTTTTGTAGGTCTCAGTAGTGCATTACCTGCAATTACAAACGAGCCTCATGAATTTTTCATAGCCGGTGCTATTTGTGAAATGATTGGTCTCAGCGTATGTCTTGCACTTGCATCGAATGTCGAACGTCGTCGCCTTCTTATCGTATTTTTTGTTGCTACTGCTCTTGCTTCGGCACTTGTACCGTTTACATATGACAATCAAAGAAATGGTAATAAGTTTTATTATGAATTCACTCTATCTAAAATAATTTTCTTTTAGTAAGCATTTCGTTTGCTTTACTCGGCAAGCTAACAGCATCATCGTGTCAATTATTAATTGTTGTCTATACAACTGAAACATATCCAACGGCACTTCGTTCAACAGGTGTAGGTCTATCAGCATGTATAGCACGTCTTGTTGCGATGATTGGGCCACAACTTTCAGCTACTCAATATTCTATTTGGTTTCCATTACCATATATTGTCTATTCATTAGCTTCATGCTTAGCTGCTTTAGCTGCTTGTCAATTACCGCATATGCATACGCCATGTAAACTACCTGAAACAGTTCATGAAGTTGAAAAACAACATACACCACGAACATCTATTATACCAACACCGATACAAACATTCGATCAACGGAGACCATCATCAGCACTTATTAGAGAATTAGGTGTAGTCAAACCGAAATCTCCAAAACCATTTATACTTTCAGCATCAATACCTCCTTCACGACGTTATTCAACAATAGTTAATCTTTCTCAACATGAAAATACTCCGTCTCGTCTTCCGTCGATTCGTGATGAAAATGAGAATGAAGATGAAGTTCGTTAATAATCCAATTTTGTTTCATAAAACATTTGTTTTATATTTTTCTTTTAGGATGAAAATATAAATATTGTAAAACGTCCTCTTTCTGTTCTTTCTCGTATTAATTCATTACCCACTCGTTTACTTTCAATTCATCGACGTGGTACTAGTCGTGCTGTTCCAATTCAAAAAGTTTAAATTACTTTTCAATTTAATGAATAATTTTTTTTTTTTTGAATATTATGCTTGGCTATCGGAACTATTTATTCTAGCGACTCAAATAGATCAAATGAAACCATTAAAAATAAAAATAAAAGCTCAATTTTAACTATATCAAATGATGTGAATTTTCATGTTCACCAAAACTCAGAGGGAATATATTGAAGGTGGCCGTTCAATTCGTCGCGATCAGTTCATTGCATATATAGGTGAGGATACATTAATTGAATTAAGATATTTAGTGTAGAATGTTATTTAATTAATCATGTAAATTGTATACGCTGTTATTGAATTATCAGATATACATGAGGAATATAAGATGCGCTTCGAAAAAAGCAATAATTTATTTCTGAAAAGATTTCTTAAAGAATTTTCTCTTAGAATACAAAGAGTCTGATGATAAGTAGTCCTTTCAGGGGATACATTCTGATGAAATCCTCATCTAAAAAAAGAAATCAATGAAAGCAAATTTCACTTTTTTTTAAGTATATAATTCGTTCAGTACTATCTGGGACAGTTTTCTGTGATACGTAAAGATGCTCGGTTAGTGGATAAAGTGGTTCAAACATTTTCAAAATAGGCTTCACGTTTATGCTCCGAAGATTGAAATTTAAAAGAATTATTGGATGGAGGAATAAATATTTAAACCCTCATAAGAATTAGAATTGAAAATTGAAGTTAAAATTGTTGAAATTTAAATTGGAAAGAATTTTCAGAACAGATGATCAAGGTTGGTTTAGACTTTATTGAGAGTATTTCAAATTATTTTTTTAGCATTTTCTACAAATAGAAGTAGTGTTTCGTCTAAAAATTGTGTTAAGAAATAAATGTTGTCGATTATCTTTGGGATACAGAAGGTTGAATTTCAGTAATCATGCATGATTTGTTGAAGAATTTTGATTTTTATCAACGCATGTGTAACTCAAATACTAGATTTTCTTATTTTTCTTATGTGTTACTTACTGCTTAAGTCATATTTTTTCCAAATAACGATAACTAATTTGCATCATTACGAATCTTTGAATAAAAAACATTATTTCCTATGCAATTTTAATTTTCATACTAGAAAAAATTAAATTCATTTTTAATTCAATTTCATTGAGTTTTTGTCATTTAAATTCTAGTTAATTTAATTTCAAAAAAACCTGCAAATTAAGATCTCTGTTAAAAAAAGTAGTATCAAGAAAGAGCCATTATTCTCTGAAGAAAAACATTTGTCCGAGCGATTAATTAAATAAAATTCTACACAAAATATCCTAATTCAATTAATGTATTCTCACCTATATATGCGACAAACTGATCGCAACGAATTGTCGTGCGTCGAATTGTACTAGCGCCATATTGAATCGAATAGCTTCATTTTCTTTTACAACTGTTTTGTTCGATTTTGTTATCACTAAAGTATTCAAAGAAAGTCTAATAATGAATGAGTTTGCTTGACTATTCGAACTCGTCGCGCATCAACGTTCCAAATTCTCGTAGATATTTTCATTGAATGGAAATAAATTTTGAATCTATTGGAAAAAATTTTAAAACAATATTTATCAGTATGAAAACACATACACATTCTATATACGGTGCGGTCTTGCTGATTTTGTTGGATGAAAATATTATCAATTTCTTATTCAAAATAAATAGATTAAATTTCGATAGGTTTTTCTTTCAATGGCTAGTGAAAATGTTCTTTCTATTTATGTATATTATCTCCTAAGTCAAGTCATTTGATGACTAATTCGTTAATAAATGAATGAAGGCCTTAAATTTAAATAGAATTTTCTAAAAGGAGTATAGCTTACTAATAAGCTGTCAATCAACCGAACAGTTGTAGAACTAAATATCACATAGGCGAATAACACTCATTATTTTCTTCATTCTACTTTTTCAATTTATGTCCATAAAATCATATATTCAAAAATTGTTTTTCTCATATCTATCCATCTTATTGATTGATATATAATATGCATGTTTACTTTTTAGAAGTATTTCATGTCGCAAAAATATATTCGAGAAGAATCCTTGAGTTGCAACATGTTTGACTACATAATCAAAACAAGAAGAGAACGAAACCAGAGAGAAAAGCAATGAGGCGTAACGTAGACAGATGCATGTAACGACAGTCGTGTGTTTTTTTTTACTCTCCTGAATATTTGTTTGTGTAAAATATGAAGGTGAGCTATTCCATTGATAAGTCACTGTTCTAATATTTATTCTGTATCTATTCACTCTCCACACACCTGTATATGTGTTTACGTCAACCGCAACTATAATAAAAACAAGCAAAAACAAGGACAAGCTGCATACTTCAATATAGAAAATTTCGAAATGGCAACTAATACGAGTACAAATCTTGAAAATGTGGAGAACTCAAGCAATGCCGATGTAAAAGACAATCGTGATAAGAAAATAGAAAATGAACAAGCAAAGAATGTAGGAACATCCTCAAAGATTGATACTCAAACAAATGAGAGTAATACAACAACAGAAACATCAATATCTGAACAGTCGATTGTTATTAATGATCCAGTAAAAGTGACGATAACAGTAGTTAAGTCCGCTAGTACGGATAAGTCACAAGATACTAATGCTTCATTATCATCATCAACAACAACAACACAAAAAGAAAATACAAATGATTTAACAAAACTAGCAAATACTGAAGCGTCATCATCAGAACAATCAATTACAATTAACGATCCAGTGAAGGTAACAATTACTGTAGTACAAGGTCATCATGATGATAAACAGACAGGACAGTCATTATTGTCCACATTGTCAACAGCAGCAGAAAAAGTATCTGACCACGTCGATGATTTGACAAAAATTGAAAAACCAAAATTAGTACTAAGTGCTCAACCTTCAGTCCTTTCGGATCCGATAACAATATCCGTAGGTACAAATTCTGCTGATGAGAATAAGAAACCAGAAGAAACAAAAGTAGCAGTCGGCGCAACTGTTGAAGAGAATAAGGAAGCAGTATCTGCACCAACGTCTGCGATTCCACCTGCAGAAGATACGGCAAAAACCACAGAGACACCTGCTCCTAGTACAAGCACTGAAGACAAAAAAGAGGAAGCACCAGCACAAACTGCTACCACTCCGGCTGTCGATGAAAATAAGAAGTCAGAAGAAAAAACAGCAGGTGAGAAGAAAGATTCAGAACCTGCTCTTGCTGCCGCTGCTCCAGCTGTTGATCAAAGTAAAGAAGCTACACCAACTACAGAGGTCGTTACAGAAGAAAAGAAATCCGAAGAAACAGTATCAACTCCAGTGCCTGCTGCGGACACGAAACCAGAAGAAACAAAAGTCACAGTGGGAGCACCAGTTGGAGAGAAAAAGGAATCAGCATCTACAACTCCCCCTGCAGAAAGTACAATAAAACCAGCAGAAACTAGTACAAGTACTGAAGACAAGAAAGAAGAAGCACCAGCACAAACTGCTACCACTCCAGCTGTGGATGAAAATAAGAAGTCAGAAGAAAAAACAGCAGATGAGAGGAAAGATTCAGAACCTGTTCTTGGTGCTGCTGCTCCAGCTGTTGAACAAAGTAAAGAAGCTGCAACTGTAACAACGTCTACTGCAGAGGTTGCTAAAGAAGAGAAGAAGCCCGAAGAAACAGCATCAAGTTCAACACCTGCTGCAGAAACGAAGCCAGAAGAAAAAACAGTAATAATCGTCGCATCTGCCGAAGAGAAAAAGGAATCAATCCCTACACCAGCAAGTTGTGTTCCAGCTAATGATGCTGATAATAAGGCAACAGAAGCTGTTAGTTCTACGGACAAGAAAAAACCAGAAGGCGCAGCAACCAGTACTACTCCTGTTGACGAAAAGAAAGAACCCGAACCAGCGTTAAGTTCTTCTGCACCAACTGTTGTTGATGATGCGAATGCCAAAGAAGACAATGCAAAGACACAAGCACCAACATCTTCAACAGCGACATCAGTTTCGAATGCAGAAGATGAATATAAAATTGCTGATAATTTTCCAATAGTGAAAGATAACGCGAAAAATCTCACCGATTTTCAACAAAAAAAGGCCGAATACTTTTTTAATGTCAATCTCGGTATGTTTATTTTTTTTTAAAGAGTATTAGGATCATTAGCGTGTACTTTAAAAGACCAGTTTGATAGAAAATTGAGCGTACTGCTATTGATATATAGTTTTGTTCTATTTATTGAAAAATATTTATTCTAGACATCGAAAACAAGAAGTTCATAACCTGGGAAGATGTTGAATTTTATTTATTGGTAAAAAGAAGAAGAATAGAAAAAAATGTTCTGTTAAATAAAGGATATTGCTTTTATTCTTAGTTTCATATTACGGCTGCAGGAAAAGAATCTTCAGGCAATAGTGACTTAGAAGCACGATTAAGTCGAGCTGCACGAGCGCTTTGGGAACATATTCATGATCAAGTTCCGTCACCCGATGGCGAACAAGATCAATTATCCTTGGACCAATTTCTCGATACATGGGCTAGTCTTATTGACTATATTATGCAAAATGGTAAATTTCCAGGTGTAGTTCAAAATTTAGTTGATGCTGGATTCGAATTATATTCAACAAAGGATCGTGATGAGAAGCCACCTACAATTCAACCATCTGCTTTCGAGCAACTCTTTCAAAAAATGAATCTCGGTCGACCTTACGCTATGATGGCCTATACATTCCTTAGTGAAGTATGAATTATTTATTCTCTCTATTGCTAGTTTTATTTAATTTCATGTATTTTCTATCCAGAATAGCACGAAACCGTTGGATGCTGACAAAATTAATTCAGTCGTGAGAGCCGTGGTTACATCTTCAGATGATGGACATGATTCGCATTTTATTTTGCCAGGTTTTTTCAAAACAATTAAGAATAAGAGCACTGAAAAAGATGGCACAAATCCAACACCAACGCCTAGTGAAGGTAAATTATATGAATATGATTGAAATCATTAGCATTTTATTTCAATATCTATTTGAGAAATCTCATAAAAATTATTCAATAACGAATGACTAGCAAAATTAATTTCAATTTTAGTAGATGAAAAACAATAAACTCGAAATATTTACAAAAGAGAGCCATATAAATTTTAGACTTTTTCGCTAGATGTAGACTGCAAATTTTTCATATAAAAACCGTTTTTCCCAACTTCAATATCGTTCATTCATGATTTGTTTGACCTATCGAATATATTTTCATAAATAAAATTATATAATTAGTCAATATTGTCTTTTTTTTTCGATCATGATCAATCAGAAATTAGTGAAAAACAGACACCATCACCTACTCCACCTCCGACGCTAATAGCTTCTCAACCTCAAGAACCGTCAGTTAAACCACAACAACCAGGTGGTCCACAACAAAGTGGACAACAACCAGGTGGTCCTCAACAAGGTGGACAACAACCAGGTGGCCCGCAACAAGGTGTGGTGCAACAATCAGTTCGACCACAGCAGTCAGGTGGTTCACAACAAGGTGGACAACAACAAAAAGGTGGACCACAACAACAAGGTGGACAACAACAACAAGGTGCGCTGGAACAATTAGTTCGACCACAGCAGTCAGGTGGCCCACCAAGTCATCATCAACAGCTTGCGCAACTTCCTTCTGGGCAACAAAAAATTTTACTCCAAAAATTGGACACCGATGTTCGTCGTATCTTACAATTTTATCATATAGACGATGGTGATCTTGTTGAAGTAGATGATGGACCAATACATCGTTTAGTTTTGGTGCATCCTGAAAGACCTTTACCTTCTTATATTCAACACGACAAAGGTTTACTCGCACAATTACAAAGTTTGTATACAATCTAAATTATCGAGAAAAAAAAACATTTTGTTTTTCTAAATAGATTTCGGAAATGTCATAGCTGCTCCATCAATACCGGCTCAATACAAGACAGATGATTTAACATTAAGCAAGCCTCAAGGCATTGAAAAATCTCCAGCGGAAGAGTCTAAGCCAAAAGTCACACTAGAAGAACGTCTTTCACGAGGTGAAGCTGAATTAGGTCCAACGATACCATCGAGTCAAATACAAGAACAAAACAAACAACTACCAACAGGTATTCATCAAGTATATCCAGCAGAGAGTGAAGCTCACGAACAAGACCAACAAAAACTAGATCAATCTCAAGCTCAACAGAAGCAAGATCAATCTCAAGCTCAGCAGAAGCAAGATCAATCTCAAGCTCAACAGAAGCAAGATCAATCTCCAGATCAACAGAAGCAAGATCAATCTCAAACTCAGCAGAAGCAAGATCAATCTCAAGCAAGTCAATCATCACAATCACCAACATTATCTTCAAAAAATGATGAAGAGAAAAAGAAAGCAGAAGACCAAACCAAATCAGAAAAATCTGCCTCACCGAATGCATCCGTTCCAGAACAGACGGAAGCAACAACGTTATCTAAGGAAGAAGAAGAAAAAGTTGTAGAAACTGTTATAAAACAATTGACACCATTAGTTGAACAATTAGTTGCAGCTGAACTACGACGAGTGCTGAGTGGTCAAAATAGTCAGGACGCTGATAACGATTTTGTACCATTTCCATTTATGTTTGCCAGTAGTGCACCCATGTTCGCTTCTTCACACGGTGATCCATCAACGCAAAATTTTCAACAGCAACAACAACCAACTAATAGAGTAAGAATGTCAAAATAAAAAGCCAATCAAACTGTTATTTTGTTGATTCTTTCTAGCAAGCTAACTTTAGCGGAGGTCCAGGTAGCTCACCATTCATTCCTCCCGAATTACTTATGACAATGATGAATGACATAACACGAGGAGGTTTTCGAGACGGTATGACGTCTGGCTCGTTCAATGTGTCTCCTCCTCGTGGTGCTGCTGGTGGACCCGGGCATGTTGAAGGTTAATCAATTATACTTGTATAAGTTTAAGATCTAGTTTCATTTGTATTGTGTAGGTTTTATGATATTTGGTGATGACGACCAAATGATGGGTGGTCAGCCTCGCAATCAACCAACACGTCCTGGACCTCGCTAATAACTTTTATCTTTTTTTAAATGAGCAGTTTACTACTTTTTCGGCATTCGACTTATTTTTTTTCTATTTTATATCAAATAAATAAATATAGCGTTCAGCTGAAAATCTTCCATAAAGTGTATACATTATTTTGTAGCGTGAAAAAATATATTTTCGATAACTATTCACCCTGTTGATCATGTTTGCACAATAATGAAACTGTTTATCATTATTTCATGACTAGTTAATAAAAAGTGGTCGTCTAATTTCTCTATAAAGACAATAGTTTTTTTCCTAGAGACAAATTAATATATATTTAATGCATCCTACTAATTATATAAAAGATTCATCTACATCTGAACCTAACTTTAGTGAGCATACGCACGAGATGAAGCTTCAGTAATAGAGTTACAACTATTTCACACTCATTCACTCGCTTTTTTACGAATTCAATTCATATAATATGTTATAAGTAGCATCTAATTAAAGATTTTCTTTTAACTTGACATCTTACATTTCTATTGATTATATTATTTACGATAAATAATCATTATCTTTACTAATCATACAAATATAGATATTAAGAACAGCAATACTTTCAAGAACAAAATAAGATATAGACGATTGATGCTTTTTTTGTCATCAATATTTGTTGTCCTTAACATTATATAAAAAATAGATCGACTCGATTGTCGTTATAGAAACGCTATTCATGATAAGACTGTATTATTATTCTTATTACCAATGAGAAAGAAGAAAAAAGTAATATCTGACTTTGACATACAATTAACAATAGAGACCACATATCATAAGAAAGCAATATATGTTAAGGTTGTGGTTAAAATATTGACAGCACAATACAACTACTACTCATGTTGTTAAGCTTTCATTCACAAAATAATAAATTTTAACGATAAATACGTACATGAATTTTCAAAATTTTTCATATCAAACTCTTACTGGTCCTTTTATATATCCACAAGAATATTTTCCCCTTATAGTGAGGGAAGTGTAACAAAATGAAAATAGTATGATTTTATTTTATTATTTTGGCACATAAAAATTTGTTTACGTTTTACCGTGCGCATATATATCACTTACACGATCAATCCTTGAGTTTTTCCTATTTTAGATTTTACAACAGATCAGTTAAATATCAAACAAATAATTTATATCTTGAATAGTTTTCTGTCATCTCAAATTAAGCAATATATAAAGTTTAGCTACATTTATGCGTACAATAAAAAGACGTTATTCATAGTTTCGTATGTAATAGGTAGTTTTTTTTCACATTTCATCAGATACATGTTCTCTAATGGTCGCTGTTTTGATAGGCATAAAATGGATAATGGGCACATATATCATGTCAAAATTAATGACAATTAATGAGAATTGATATATGTTTTGTCATCAAAGCCTGATTGTAAATATTTGTCAATATAAAATCTAAACAACATGTGCACCGGTCGCAACAATAAGATCAACAGATAGAAGCGAATTTAATTTCATTACAGTACAGTAGTCGTTCATTTAAAGATAATGATTATCCAATACCTAAAAGAATTAGATTTTTGTTTTTATTTATAACTGTCAATCAATTTTGATCAACTATTACTATTGATTAGATTAAATGATCATTTAAAAGTGCTGGTAAATCATGCTAATTAGCGAACATTGAAATCTATCAACAATATATATGCCCTTAAAGTTCACAGCCAATACAGCCTTCATCAGACCTATGTTTCTGTGCTGTGAAACTCTATTATGCTGCATAAAGCTTTAGCCAAACCAAGTAGTTGCCTGTGGTTAGTAGACTTCATCCTGTGAACGGATTTTGTTGTAAATACTTGTGTCAGGAAAAACATTGAAATTATAATACTATCCAATCGATTGATCAAAGCCACGTTGTTAATGGTTTGTTCGATATTGAATCAGTCGGAAAAAAATCTTCAACTGAATTCAACACAGATTTTCAATTTTTGATCCAGTAAAACTTGATGAGTATATATATGCAAATATGACGGTCATTATCGATACAACTTGAGTACAATATATATTCGAATTTCATATATCAAGTTTCTTCGATTATGAGTATCATATTAACCTATATGAATGAGTAAACAAAAATATCAAATAATTCCAAAAAATGTTTGCTTCTTCGTTTTAAGTTATTTAGTAGCCGACAGATACTTTATTATTATTATTGTACTTGCTACTCTTCATTTTCATTCAACCTAGATGTCACTACTGTTCAGTTGATAAAAATATTATTTTCGATAAATTCATACGAGAAAGAAAATTTGAAAATCATCACTTTAATTTAGACCATCTGATGAACTTATGTTAGAAATGAGGTGTGATTTTAAACAAGCAATATGAGTAGTAACTGTTCCTTTATTACGACCTCCGATTGAAACACTCTATATTTGGTTAGGATGTATGCTTATTTTATCAGGAATCCTTATAGAACATTTGCATGGGCTCAATTGGTCAAACTGATTTACTTGAAAAGGTGATCGAATACATTTTGAGAAACACTCACTTGATAACTTCTCTTTACTGAAAAGGCGCGTGCTTCCAATAATCGATAATATCTTCATAATATGTGACGAGTTCTATGGCTCATTAAATTTCAATAATGATTCAGATGGTTGGAGTTGTGCTGCAAGCGAGTTGGAGATTTGAAACTAACGATGAGAGTAATAAATTCTCATACAGTACAATCATTTTCAAAAGATTTAAGGTGAAAGAGACATACTCATGACTTCATCAACTACATTAAGTAAGTCCTTCTACTTTAAATTTGGTCAGTACACAAGTTCTCGAATCCCAATCGATGAACTGATAAGTACACATGACATTGAAAAATATACAGAGCAATTCTTCGGTGAGAAATTGCCTAAAGCTCGTCATGCTCAGTTTTACTGTTGTAAAACAAGAAAATTTACTATTATCAATGACGAAGTATTACTAAGCGAAGATAACCCATTCCTAATCGATCTCCCAAGAACTGTAAAAAACGATGATGCTGGACCAGATGATTTAGTTGTGTATATTGTTGATGACACTGATCTTATTGCAGAATCTAGTGTACCAAAGGGTATGTAGAAGTTTTTTGAAAACAAAATCAGTAAATATTTATATTTTTTTCATTCAGAAAATACAAACTGTCAAATATTGTCCGTTAATCTCGATGATGATGGAGACGACGCATTGTTAAATCTATTCGATGTCGATGGCATTGAAGGTGATGAAACTATTTTTTGCCTATTTAAAAATTACAAAAAACAAATGCTGGTATTGTAGCTACATCAAAGAATAATATTTCGACAAGTGTCAATGAATATTTTTGCGATGCTGATTTATCACCAGACGCTCTTCTAGGTAAGTTTTTTCTAGAAAATAGCGCCCTTCCACATACATTTTAGTTAATTTTATTCATTTATTCAATAGGACTTGTCGAGAGAATACAATATGAAAATCAAAATCCAGCTCCTATTTCGTTCAAAGAAAGCACAGCAACCATAAATAGTATTGAAGAAAATCATCACCTGCCAATAATTCGTTTTTCCCATGACGTTAAAAAAGTAGGTAATAAACATAATTATTTAACCAATGCATTTCGATTGGATCAACTGGCTATTAATCAAATTATTGTCAGTAGTACCAAAAAAGGTATCAGCTTTATTCAAGGCAACAAGACGGAACATGAAGAAAGAGATCAAGTTTTGCCCAGAATTCAAGTACGTATGTATGATTAAAAACGTTCAATAATAAAATGAATAGATTAATATTTTTTCTGTGCCTCTGATAGATTGATCTCGTTCTTGAATGAATCAATTTCTTTGATTTTCATTTCTAAATAGACATAAATCAATCATCTTAGAAGTTAATTTTAAAAAAACTAACCACGTACGGGACGTATAAGATTATTGATATCTGGAAGAGCAATAGAACTCTTTGAAATAGGCGTCGAAAGTCGCTATAATCAACAGTGTTATCAGATCCATATCGGAAAACATTCATTGTATCCAGTTCTTGCTTTTTCTTAAGATATTTGAATTTTTCATTGAAATTTAAAAGCAAGCCTTTGAATTCTGCAAGCTAGCAGAGAAAATTATTGATAACTCGTGAAGAATAAGCAATAGAATGATTATACTTATCTTGTTGCAGATTTATTGTATTGAATTTTTTTCTTAAAGGGTCTTCGACAATTCAAAAATGAACCCTATACCAATCTATGCATATATGCCGTATATGAAGAATTAGGAGAAAATGGTGATCGAATTTGGTATGAACATTTAGATAAAAAATTTTTGCCAGAGAACGAATTGCAACCCGATGCACAACCTTACAATCCAATGAAATTTAGTTTAAGCACAATTGATTTAACCGAAAGTGGAGAATTTGTGTAATTTAATTTCAAATCTAAATTTTTGCTAACTTTATTTTGAATATATTTATTTTACTTTAGATTGAAAATATATATGCTAACAAAATGGGCTAAAGATAAACGTAAGACATTGCTTTATCGATTGGATGAAGCAAGTACTCGATTGCTACATGAAGCTCCTCATGAAATGCAAGCACCAAATAAACGCATTCCACCAGTTCGATTATTGGGTGTCATCGAAGATGGTAATGGTTTTATTTGGAATAGCTTATTTCTATCAGATTTTATGCTACCATTTACGTAAGAAATACTCGAAACAATGACAACAAAAAAACGTATTTTACTCTATGCACTTTAGAAAAGTTCCGAAACGAACTCGTTCCGATTCTTTACAAAGTAATTTGATCTCATAGATCTCATAGAAATTGATCTGCTTTTTTTGTAGCAACCACCGGTGAATCCAAAAGGAAAAAATAAAAAAAAGTAGGATATTGAAAATAAACATTCTTGCTTAAATTGCATTTTATTTATTAGACTAGTCGTACAGCTGTTTATTAAATTATGCGAATTCCGGTCTTACAAATCTCTTGTATATTTTATTTTTTGACAATAAAAATCTAGCCAAAATAGTAGCACTGTCTTCGATTATTATTTTTACGATTACAATATGGCACGTATCCTTTGTTGAAATTTAGATAAAAAATGGCATGCTTTTGAACTACTGTACGATATTCAATGCTGCCACTATGAATATGTGTCATATACCAGAGTAATTCAACCATACTGTCCAAAAGAAAAAAAAATCGTTTTTAGTATTGATGAAGTACGTTTCATAGCGTTTATTTGTAATCAAAGAAATCTTATTGCTTTGTTTCTAAAATTTGCTGAAATCAATGATTACTATGCAAGTATAATTGTAATTATTTACGGGAGTATGCTTCATAATTTGTCTTATGAATGAACACGGTCGATATTTGTTTGATTCAGAAAGAAAAAGTCAATCGACATAAACTATGCATGGCAGAGATAAAAGCCTGAAAATTGTACGACATTGAATATTTGATTGTACTATTGCGTTCGATTTTTGGAAGCTAGCTGCATGTTCAATTCTACGAAATATAGTAATTGTCTATGAAAACGAACTTCAACGAATGTATAAAATTCTCAAGGCATTGCTTTGCGTACTAGGGACGCATGGTTTTTGTTGTTCTAAATACGAGCAAGAGATAAGAATCGATACGTAATCATATTGTTTATCTATTTCGACCAATTAAAAATAGTCGAGTGAATTCAACTGAAAATATTGTGAATATATTTCGAGTTTCTTAGAATGATTATAAATTTAAAATAATAGAAATCAGTAATAATTAAAAGGAAATCGTTTAAGTTGACTAAAATTTAAATCCAATATTGTTCTTTATTCAGTTGAAGTAGATTCAAATAGCTGCTGCTGATGTTTGAGCATGTGGATTAATTGAAGCAATATGATCGCCGTGTATGTCGAATCTCCATTCAGTCATTGGACACGTAACACCATCAAACGGTTGTTCTAATGTTAATGTTTGTTCATTACCTTGAACATCAATTCGAGAAACAATTTTACGGCAAGTAAATGTAGCTTCAGGTGTTGGTTGATATTCTCGTTCAGGTATAAACGCTCGACCACCGGAATCAAGTGTTACAGATATTGATTCGTCGTGTTTATTCTTTGAATTCGACGAATAATAAATTGTACATATGACTGATTTATCTGTTTTATTGGATACAGTTCCAGCGTAGACATGACGAGGTGTAATAAATAGAGCTTGCGAAGTAGGCATATTCTTACTGCTTGTTCTCAATCGTAGAGTTAGTTACAATAAACTTCGTCTGCAATGATACTTGATCCACTCACCGATACGTCTATGTTTATTTTTACGATTCTTCACTCACCGAACGCAACAACATAATGCATGAGAGAAATAATGTTATTACCATAGTATGCGATATAATAGCGAGTCATCGGGATGATTGATTTCGTTTTTTCTTTTAATTGCATTTTGTCTCCTGACATTGAAAATTGCACTCCTACTTCTGTCGTGAATCATAAAATTTGGTCATCGGCATTTAGTTTTAATCGTATTTTATATGATATATATATAATAATCATTATTCTCTTTATCTCGCAAATATTTGATCATATACGAGCTTATAAATACTGAAAAAAGAAACTCTTTAGTTTTAGTAGGAATGCGAGTACGATGAGTGATGATGACAATGACGAATATACAAAAAAAAAAAAGAGAAAAGAAATGAAACTAAATGAAGAATGAAAAATTATTGTGTACGAATTTGATAATCGCCATTTTGTGTTATATATCGAACCCAAGGTAATGCTTGATAACCGCTTTTTTCGATTATTTTTAAATATCGGACCTAAACACACATTTTTATAACAAATCAAAACAAATAATTTCTCTTTTACTTGAATGCCTGATGTAGTAAAATAAGGTATTTCAAATTTTACTTGAATAGGAGGTTTCGCTTCTAGATCTTGACTTTGAACACTTGGTAATTTAAAATGAGCACGCATCAAAAATTCTTTTCCACCCTACAAACAGGTTGATTAACAAAATATGATATGAAATATCAAGAGTGAAGCAACAACTAACTGGAAAGGATTTAATTGACCAAACCATAGAATTTTTTTCGGGAACATATTTAACAGCTCCGCTTGTTGTTTTAAATCGTCCTGTATCCGCATCGGATGGAACAGAAATAATGATTTCAACATTATTGGCTGTAGAACGACGTTTAAATTGAGACTTAGCTTTGATCATATATTCAACACGTGAATGAGAATGTTTTTCAATCGATGATTCAATCCAAATCAATGGTTTCACCTTAAATAGTTTAATTATATATGTATGAGTTCGTTTTGTTTTATTCGAAACTAAAAATATCTACTTGTGTATTAAGTCGATAAGACATTAATTCAAATTCGCCATCTGGAGGAACGAATGAAATTGTTCGATCATTTTCAAACCGAGATAAACGAACACATTGATGAAATTTTACATCTTCTAATTCAACACCTTTGTTTTTGGTACCTAAATTATCAAGATAATAAAATATTCTAATCAATTCATTGCTGTAAATAAACATACGGCCAGTAGTTTCAAAAAGAATTTTATCATTAAGACCTAAACGTAATTCTGGCATACCAGTGAGATAAACACGCATTTTGATTGACCCATTAATTTCCGAACGAAGAACATTACCATTCGAACTAACCTATTTAGAAAATGAACAATAGTCAACGAATCTTCTGATACATGACAATAGGAAACTTACCAAGAGATTAACAGATTCAATAACATCAAGAAAAACCTCATTCTTTCGATATTTCAATCCATCCGATCGCCAACTGACTGTTTGAGTTAATGCTGGTGGCGGACGAACTTCTTCAAGTTTATGTCCTTCTTGCGTTATATATTCTTGGAGAATTTTTGAATCCGTTGATTGAGGAAAACCGAAATCCATGAGTTCATCCAATAATTCATAAACAATAACAAAATTATCTCGAATGGATTCTTCTTCAAGTTCTTTAAAATATTCACAGAATACACGGACACATTTGTAAAGAAATGATAAAACCATAATAACATTTGCATTGATCTTTGTAGTGCATACGACTATAATTTTTAGAAATAAATACTTATAATATATTAGAAATAAAAGGAATTGAATACACACGATAAACATTATTATATTTTATATAGACAAAAGCAACATCACCATGCTGAAATATAGGTGATAACTGAGATTCATCTTCTTTTTCTAATAATAGTTGCATGAATTTTTCAATAACATTCATTTCAATATCGCCACGATAATTTCGAGATATGAGCACCTAAATAATATTGAGATTTCTTGGAGGGTAAACAACAAACTTTTGAACTTACTTTGCCCTTCATATCTAGGATGTAGATAGCCGATGCTGACATTGCTTATTGATTGTGTGGTACTTTAAAATAGAATGAGAACTAGCAAGTATCGAGAGAGAGAGAGAGAGTGGTAAGAGATAAGAAGAGATTTAAATTTCTTGTTACTTTTTTTCTACTCTATTTTCATCTCAATTTGCTGATTGATTAAGGCAATGAAACTTGAGTCTTAGTCATTCATTCATTCATAGTTAACATCATCTAATCAAGATAGTTCGATCGATAGATGGCAGACGATGTCAGGCGTTTTGCTACAGCAAAGATATATATATATAGTATATCTATCTTCGTCTTGTGATCATATCAACTAGAACTAAGTTATTCAGGTCATTCTGTTTGATTTTGAAAGCCATATTAAAAAAATCGGTTGTGTTGAATAGACGGGAGCTGCACTAAAATTAATTTTGAACTGAAGGAATACTTCGTCCATATTATGAAAGATTTTGAAGACAAATTTAGTTATAATTATTTCTGTTGAGAAAAAAAATTTCAAACAAACAGTCTCTTTCAGGATCTTTTATTTTTATAGAGGAAAAGAACATTGATCTGACGTTTGGAATATAAATTTTCTTATACTTTTAATAAAAAAAAATTCTCTTTATAAATAGATTGTCATATTACCAATAAAAAAAAACATTTTTATGCATCAACTATGTACCAACCACTGTGTTTCACGAACGCGTTTAGAGAAAACTCATTGTTTCGAAGCATATCTTTAGACAAAACGCATACCTGCATGTTTAACCTTTTATTTTGAAGCACGCTGAGGTTGAGACGAACTCATATCATTCTGTGCCTCTGATCACGTTTACTAGTGGATTGAAGTCAAGGGGGGAGAAGCATATTTCTATGTATTTCTGTATTTCTGAAATACATAGAAATACAAAGAAAGTATTTCGAAATAAATGGAAATACAGAAATACGCTTTTCCTCCTTGGTGCGTATTCATAATTTGAAATTTATGTCGCATCACAATCATGAAGGCGAAAAAGCAAATGTTGAAGACGAACCTTTGCAAAATGGTAATCATCAACATGAACCTTCAAATCAAAAATTTTTATCGATTATGGATCATTTAAAAATGAGAGTGCAACGAAACAAACTAGCAAAATTAAATTCACCGGATTCACCTGACGATGCATCATCGGTGAACATAAATGGGTATACAAGTAGCAAGAGCAATAAATCAGAAGGTCAGGAATCAACTCGAAGTGAACGTAAACAAATTGGAAATTCAGTTCGTTTTCATCGAAGTTCAGCATCGCTGTCAATTTTGGATGAAATGACAACCAATAAAGATTCAATCGACAATGATCATGAAAAAAGTATATGATAAACTTTTAAATAAGATATGTGAAAATATGAAATACTGTAAATTTTTAGATGACAAGATTGCGAAGGGCTTGCACAATTATATATTGGCTAATGGAAATAAAAAAAGTTCACCGTCCCGAAAACGGTCTTGAATTACGAACAAATTCTGTACCAATTAAAATGAATAAAAAGACAGATGAATTAGAATTCAAATTCTTCAAAACAAATACTTTCTTTCTTGAAATACTTTACCGATCAGGTTTAAAAACACAAACTGAAAAAATCGAGCAAAGGTATGATTGTTTATTATTAAAAACAGAAAAAAGAGATTTCCTCGTTGTTTTGTTAAAATTTTGATAAATTTTCTGAATGAATTTCATATCAAAGTTTTAATATTCTCAATCGTTTATTTTTTTATAGAATTTTCAAATTCGCGATGAAGATTTTCATACTATATTCGGTAATGTATCATCTAAAGAACAGTTAATTGTTGGTATGTTATATATCGTTCAATATCATTACTGTACATCATCATTTTTTAGCTTATCCCTGTGCTTGGCAAAAAGAGATATCTACGCATGGACGTGTTTTTCTCTCAACGAACTATCTATCTTTTTATGCATGTTTTCTACAATCGGAAGAAAGTGTAAGTTATTGTCATGTGCTTCTTTTTTTTATTGTTATATACGACTAGAAAATCACATTCATATAGGTACAAATTCCTTATAAAGATATAACCAGTGTTACAAGAGAGGAATCTGCAGTTATTATTCCAAATGCCATTAAACTGCGAACATAAAACGACGATGAATATTTATTTGGTTGCTATGTACCAAGAGAAAAAATTTTCGCCAATATATTTCGTATGTGGCAAAATGCTCTACTCGATCGAGTAATATTATTTTATTTTATCATTAAGAGAAGAAAATAAATGCGAAAACCTCGGATTTAAATCCGAGTGTTATGTGTACTTCAAAAAGTGAAAAGGTATATTCACTTTTTTTTTCTATAAGACATAGATCTCATCAAGATAATCCCTTGTCACTAAATTGCAAGGAGAAAATACAGGCGTGCTAAGTTAGCATGGACCACACTGTATGCGACCATATCCGGTGACCACTGACTCTACTCTTAGAGTGATATAATATCTTTAGAAATCACAGAAATTAAGTTCAGATTCGTGTTTAGCTTGGAAAACTGGGCAAGAAGAGTTATTTTTGAATGGATTTGCGCTTGTATCTAGCGGAATTACGATCGTAAGGAACCTCATGAATCTATAAGAGATATATGATAGATACAGGCATCAGTATTCTCCTAATAAATCGCCAATATTAATAGCTATCGAGTTCGGATTTTTACCTTTCGATAGTCCTTTTGACTAGCTACAAAACCAGGCATTTGAGAAAGCCCAAAACTACTGGTCATCTGAAATATATTTAGCCAATTTGGTTTCTGGATGCAGTTTTTGTGCATTTTTGAGACCTTTTTCAGCCGATATTTTGTTAGAAAGCTACGATTTCGTTCAAAATTAATATCAGATTCGGAATCAGCGTTAAAAACTGAGTCGATTTATATGTGTTGTGAATAATTCTAAGAAAAATTGTTTTTTGAAAAATCCCTGTACCCCCCCTCAGGGTTGGATTGGCCAATAATGACAATTTTTTCGATAACTCAACCATTTCTTGGCGGATCCTTCTCATCTTCGAACTCGACTGAGACATTAATGAGGCTGAACTGTGTAGAAAATATCATCATGATCTAACTCTCCTTTCGAGAGTTATCGTGTAAACGGACGGCCGGACGGCCGGACGGACACACTGACCGATTCTAGAGTGTACTCACTTTTTTGAGTACATAAAAAATAACCTCATCGGTTCTTTTTCTAGCCATTAGATTTTCATCAGTTACGAGCGATCATTGTTGTTGACCGACGGAGTCCTAGTGAATCAAATATTGATAGCGAAGAAGACATTAATACAGTGAATAGCGACGATTATATTCATAAGGTAAAAATATACTTGATTACTTTGGATGACCAGTTCGTTAACAAAAGCAGAACTGGACGGGGCCTATGCGTATTTATTTTATTTTAAAAATATCGTTTGTTTCCTTCCCATACGTAATTTGCTGATCACCGTTTTTTCGTAATATATTTTGACTTTTTATCATATACAGTATTTATCCTCTCAAAGCTATTCTCTGTCGATTATTAAATCACTACAAGTAATATCAACTGATCATACGTGTATCTATTAATCTTGTGCTTTTAAAGGTCGCGAGGTTACTGTATGGGATCGAACCAAATAAAACGAGTTAAAATTATTACTTTGATAGTCAATGAAATCAATAGCAGTAAAAACATACTTAAATTCATCTCGAAGATATTTTTATTTTTTATAAAACACTTTTTTATCGATATTACCTGTCGATAAAAGTAGTTGCATATGTTTTTCTGATTGTTGAGATTTTCTACTGCATTTCTCCTATACATTTTTCTACGATCTATTAGGTGAATAGCTTATTGCATTTTGTTTTCATCGTTTATGGCCCGTTTCTCTTCCTGTTTTTTTTCACGCCCACTCTTCAATAGTTGACTGTCAATGAATAATAGGTGTGAAAAATAGATAGTAAAACTGCCTCATCCGACTGCTCCAGTTAAATGTGTAATTATACAGGTCTAGTATTGTGCGATTTGTTCTATGTAATTGGTTACACAAACGTTAAGTGATAAAAAACAGTTATTAATCGTCGAATTGTATTGGAAAATAATTGCAACAATTATTTACACAACGAAGAGTAAATGAAAAATGAATGTGACATATGTCCTTGAGTTTGTATAGATCGGAATGCTATTTCCAACTTTGAATATAATAGATACTTGACGACTTTGCTTATGTATTTCTTTTTCTGATTTAACTGGCACTATAGATTACGACAATCACCCTATCATACTAATTACAATAGGTTAAGGTTTAGAAAATTTACGTAAAGCACAGTGCAAATTGCAAGGGTAATTTATTGTGTGAGTTGGCCGCAATGGGGGAAAAGCGCATTTCTATGTATTTCTGTATTTCTGAAATGCATGGAAATACACAGAAAGTATTTCGAAATAAATGGAAATACAGAAATATGCCCCCCCCCCATTGATTGAAACGCAGTAAAACCCGAAAACGCGACATAATCCTTCTGCAAGATAGATGAGTTTGCACGCGTTTTGGTTTTTAAATGTATGCACACGCCTGAAACTGCTGCATTTTGGACGCATCCTAACGTGTCTTCACAATTGTGAACGAGTTATGACTCGGTTAGATACTGAAAGAGTGTATGCGCTAGACTAGTCTTCACGCGTGTATAACCCAGGAAATGTTGCATTCTCGACGCATCCTGATGTATAGAGTATTGTCGCCTATGAACACTCAGAGGCATTGTGAACCGAAAAAAGTTACAGGCAGTCAAGTATTATTACTCGATTCTATCTTAAAGATATTCTAAAGAGAAAACAACGAAACTACACTAAAAACGTGCACCGCATGAAAATCAAATGAAGAATATCATCATGACAAAACAAAATTAGGTGATAAGCATAGTTTAATTCAACAGAACTCAACGACAGTACACTTTAGATAGGTTATGGTTGCGAAAAGAAAATAAACATTTTTTTTGATAAGAATCTAACATGCCCTGAAATAATGACATCTTTTCAATTATTTATTCTGACGACCTCTGCTTGCATCAGAGAAAGAGCCTTTTCGATGTTGAAAAACAATCGTATTTCATGATGTAAAATAACGTCGAAGAATAAATGAGCATACTATGGATATCTTAAAAATATTCAGCATAGTTTCTAACTTCATGTATTTAAATAGTGATACTTGTGTTACTCTTAATGCATAAGAAAATATAACTGTGATAAAGTTCATATGTTCCTTTATTTCGAATTGATATTAAATATTCATGTTCTAGGTTTCGCAATTGTAGAGATTTCCGATGACACAGAACAATGACTTAGATCCAACGAACAGTCTTACTCTGAACAAACCAATAGAAGATGATAATGAGAACGCTACTGTAGATTTTCAATCAGATATACACGCCAATCAAGCGCTTATCTTAAAAATCAAATGTGTGAATGATGCTATCGATGAAATCGGGTTCACTAGGTATCATTTAAAGCTTTTTTTTCTAAATGGTTTTGGTTATGCAGTGGACTCTTTATTACTTCTTCTCAATTCTCTAACTCAACCACAAATTACTCTACAATATCAGCCAATTATTACTACTGCACAAACAATATCTGTCGGCATTGGATTGCTTGTCGGAGCTTTATTTTGGGGTATCGGAGCCGATGTAAGTTATTTTAATATAAATTGTTCATTCTCATACTCTTTATATATGAACTTGAAACATTAAATTTCACATTAAAGCTCATTGGTCGGCGATATGCGTTCAATATTACCCTACTTTTGTGTGCAATCTTTGCTATTGCTACTGGTGCTGCTCCAAACTTTATCTCCGTTTGTATTCTGATCTCGTTGATGGCATTTTCAGGAGGTGGTAATTTGATTTTAGATACAGCAGTTTACTTAGAATTTCTTCCTGGTAAGTACCAATGGTCTTTGACATTTATGGCAGCTTGGTGGGGTATTGGCCAAATGGTGGCAAGTCTAGTGGCATGGCCTTTCATGGCTATGTATTCATGCAGTAATAAACATGATTGTACGAATACTAATAACTCTGGATGGCGCTATACATTCTATACGTTGGGAGGATTTGTGTTCATTTTATCTATTCTTCGCATTGTTGTCATACGTATGAAGGAATCTCCGAAATGGTTACTTTCTCAAAATAAGGACGCTGAAGTAGTACGGATTATTCATGAAATAGCTCAAGAAGCAGGAAAACAGAGCTCATTAACTTTGCAACAACTCGAATCATTTGGATCAGTACGCAAAACAAGTGACATCAAACAGTATCAACCTATGATTGTCATTCGTAATATTCGAGGTAGCAATTGGCACAGATTGAAATAGCTTGCTATTGAATTTGTTTTACTATATAGGGCTTTTTCCAAATCGGCGAATGGCCTACTCAACATTTCTTAATATGTCTTCATGGGCTTTGATCGGTCTGGCTTATCCTCTCTACAATGTATTTTTACCTTACTATTTACGTTCACGAGGAGCCATCGTTGGTGATGATTCTATTTATACTACCTATCGTAATTATGCCATCACAAATGTATGCACTATATTTGGTCCCGTGGTTGCAGGAGTTCTTGTAGAAAATCATTATCTTGGTCGACGGTATACTATGTCTATTGGTGCTCTACTCACCATGGCTTTCCTATTCGCATACACGACAGTTCGTACTGCTGCACAAAATTTAACTTTTGCATGCATGATTAGTTTTTGTCTAAACATTTACTACGGTACATTATATGCCTATACACCAGAAGTACTTCCATCAGAACATCGAGGTACCGGTAATGCTATTATTGTCGCATGCAACCGAATCATGGGCATAGTTGCTGCAGTTGTGGGCATGTATGCAGATCTGAGTTCGAATGTACCCATTTATGTGTGTGCTGCTGCTTTTGGTGGTTTAGCATTTATTAGCTTTTTGTTTCCATTTGAACCTCGTGGGAGCACGAGTGGTTAACTGTGTTACTAAGAAATACATTGGGAAAAGGGCATTTAAATTAAATAGCTAAAGTGTTATTGATAAAATCCGAAAAACATATTTAATATGCAATCAGAAAGAACAACAGTAGAACTATATACTCATTAGAATTTCTTGTATGCCAACAGTGTCTTCTGACTAGACAAATCGTAAATAACAGTATGAATGTTCACGTAAAGACTTATTTTCCGTAGAGAAACGTCCCGTAGTTGCAAATCTCATTGTCAAAGAGGTCACACATTATGAAACAATAGTTGTTTATAATTGAGTAATCTGATGAAGCTTAAAACTTTACAATTATTTTTAACAAAAAATGCCAGTCATATGTGACGATGAGAATCCTCTTTTCAACTAATTAATTAATTAATGTTACAATTATTTCAGGACGCTTTTCATCAATCACAATTTTTCAAAAGAGCTCGATAGATACCATGCAAATCTGTAGACAGTTATATTGAAGTTTATTTTGAATATATTATAAACATAGTTTCCATATCATTCCATTTATAAATAAAAAATTGTTTGTTCATTTTTTGAACATGAGCGCACGGTTTTTTATGTTTCGATCTCGAATTCGTTCTACAAGTAAACTTTTATAAGCTGCCCAGTTGGCTTCACATTGTAATTTGTTTTGTAATTCATTATCTGTTAGATAAGGTCGAAGCTAAATGTATTAGAATATGAGAAAATAAAATATTGTTGATAGTGATTTCAATAGTCATAACTACGTGCCTCTCGACGCAATCGATCTAGTTGACTGCCTGGCGCCCATTTAATGAAAAAGCTTCTTCGTATCAGAATACATTCAACTCCATCCGAAACTAACGTCAGACTCGGTATTTTCTCTACTTCATCAGCAAGAACATTAAATAAACCCTTAATAATGAGCAGCAGCATTCTAGATTATGAACTATCATCAAATAAAATAAGTTACTTACAAAGACACTTTTTTCACACAGTTGCTCGACTTCAGTAAAACATGCACAGGGCTTAGCAGTTGCTGCACGCTAAAATAAATCAAATATATGAGCAGATACCATGGCAGTAAGCTTACGTAGCGATAAGCACCAAGTGCTTCCATGCTATAGGGTGAAATGAGTTTAGTACCTGAAAATTTAGTAAGAAAATACTTCTAGTTTTAATCAACAGAGTCAATGGTAAAAATACTGAATCGATCGTAAATTATTTCGGTTTTCTTTTTTAATGTCAAATTTGGCGTGACTTGTGTCAGTGCTTTAATGGCTCGGCAACAACCAGCTCGTATAACATAAATCCAATCATCTTTGTTCGAGTCCTTGCATATCACTGTTCCCATACTAATTTTAATGCAAGAAAAATATTGAATTCATAAATATACACATGATTGATGATATTTAAAAGAAAAAAGAAATTACTGATAGTAAACCACATGACAAAAGTAGGAATCGTTGTGAGGAATTTTCTCCATAGGAAAGCCACGAAACTAAACTCGAGAAACAGGAAATAGGATGATTCTTTTGAATCCATATATTTTTACCTGTGGTATCTGCCGTAGATATGTTATAAAGTCAGGCTCCTTCTCGTCTTTGTTTGACATAAAAATTCTGACAAAATCTTCTTGTTCAATAGCAAGCATTGTCACGTCGGTTTGGCATGTCACTGTTGCAGTACGTCGCTTTCCATGCAACAGAGCTATCTCCTGAGAAAAGACAGAGAGTAATTATTATAATATAGCATTCTTAAAATCTGTATACTCCAAAAGCGCTTCCCTTCTTCAACACAGCAACCAATCTTGAACTAGACATTTTCGTTACTGGATTCTCCAATAACTTATAAACATCAGCTAGACCACAAATCAAAGAACATCAGTGTATGATCCTAGGAAACGAAAAAATACACTTACTGATTCCATCGATGATTAAATAAAATTTTTCAGCTCGATGACCTTCCCGTAGGATAACACGGCCCATTTCGAATTCCTCAAGTCGCCCCACACGAGCGATAGAGTACTGTTGTTGAAGAGGAAATTCTACATAATAACATTTATTCAATACGTATACTAAAGATTTTTCATCAATGAGTTATATAAAATAATTATAATTATTTATAAATCGACATAAATTCATGTTGATAGCTACATTTTACTCATATATCCAAAAGGCATTTTCAGTTAACTTTAGACATAAGATCTTTTTCACGCTATCAGCACAGAATAAATTAAAAAGTTTCATCAAAACCTGAATAACTCTTTCCACTTATGGTACGAACACTTCGCCATTATTCTCTACAATCATACAAAACATAATGTTTTTGCACGCATAAAAACCTGTGAACGGTCGTATGACTTGACTCAATGTGGAAACAACCATACGGATATCATCTTGGGATCTTGCTTTTGGATCAGATTTGAGAATTTTTCGAATGTGACGTCCAATTGTGTCCTAAGAAAGACAAGTTGAGAGAAAGAACAATTATCATACGATTACTTCGGCAGGACGTCGAAAGTGTCTCAGATCAAAGAGAATATCCTTGTTTTCAAATACTATTTGCTCATCAGCGCGATACAATCCTTCATTGGCATATTTGCGAACGACCAAACAGACACGAACGGCAAGGCGAATAAGACGAATAAATTTACGCATTTTTCGGTAGAACTAAAAACGCATATTAGAATGTACGAGTTCGATTTCGTCATTATAGACTCACATAATCTCTACTGAATGATGGCGAACGTTGCATGAGAACCGGCTTTGCAGTCGATGGATAATAAAGATTTTGTGGAGTTCTACGCTGTCGCAGCGTAACCGACGTAATACCACGCTGCAGCATGACTAGTCGATTAAGTGATAGAACTAAAACAAACGACTGACACAATTGAGAACGTAAACTGATTGCAGGCACGTATTCTATTCTTTGACGATTGTCTGCCGGCATGAAATAAAAAAAAATTGATTTTGATGCGCTCATATGGTTTCCTCGTGCATTCGTCACCTAGTGAAATTCAATTATATACAAAAAAAGTGAAACACAATTGCAAACAAAATATATTTGCTCAAGTCGAGCAGCTATATATGTGTATGATCAGATCGACAAATATGAAGCAAAAAAAAATGAGAACACGTGATCTTTCCTATATGTTTCGGCTAGTTTTGTCATACTATATGATTATTTATCTGTAATCATAGTTAATAGTATTTTATTCATAAATATTATCTCAGAAGCCAATCAGTCTGTAAGCCTTTTCAATCAATTTTTATCTGAAACAATTAACCAATAGCGAAGGCTCTATTTCTGACGGAGTTTTTTTTGAAATATCTCATCTATGAAATTTGAATTCAATCGTTCGAAGTTGTAAATCCTAAGTGTGTGAGTGTGAGTCTTTGATTGTCTTAAGCCCATCCACACCCACAATGATTCACATTGGGAAACGTCGAAATTAAACTGTCCAACGTTTCTTAACAACTATATATCTCCCAGCACGCTGTCGGAATAGATACAAAATTAAAATATTGCAAATCATCACCAGCAGCGATGACAGTTCCGATTGGCGAAAAGAAAAAACGTGGTCAACCAGTAAAGCTAAACCGGCTCTATTGGCGTAATAATATAATTCTCATTCACTACCAATCCATAAATTTCTTATTTAATGTTTCAGTAGCTTTCTTGTTATTTTTTCTATGGTTCTTTTGCTAAAGTATACCTTATCCTAACAAAAGATATTTTTCTACTATCACTTATACATAATAAACTGACTACTTAAGAATTATTAACTGATATTTTTAATACTGAGCAAACAATTCAATTGCAGTACCAGCAAATTTATTCCAACTATAAGCGTATTAGTCTTGAGATTTCCATCTTCACGTTTCACTCGATAAAAAAAAACATACAGAAGTAAAGTCTATCGATTCGAATAGCTACTGATAACAATTTCTTCATGAGATAAGATACACATTATGCACTTAACACAATTTCTGTCATCTGCTATGTCTCGTTTCCAATTTGAGAGACCTATTGAATAATTGCTTTGAACCAAAAACATTAATTTCATTTTCAGTCTTTATTAAATTTATTATCGAATGGCAATTTCTCATCAGGAAACGCTGATAGATCGCCAAAGTATTTATCACGTGATTCATTTTCTTCTGGTATCAAAAGAAGACCATCAGTCGATCGTCAAGTGTAGACAATCCAAAAATATTAAAATGATCATGATGAACATCGAAATAAGAAAAAAAAACCGGTAAGACATATTTTCATATGTTCCTTATCGATATTTACCGGCTCATGGCGTTGATCTTGACCCTCAAACGACATTCACAGAAGTCAACTATTCATGTTTTGGACGACTTGAATAAATTTATCTTTGATTTTATTGACTTATATCCAAATATTTATATAAATATATATTTTGCTTCTTTTTTTTATAAGCGCAAATGCATTTTCATTGGTATCAAAAGTTTACAGCGAGACAAATAAATAAATAAAGCAATATTTTGGTGTATAAAAATGAGCAAAATTCTTTCACCATCGATTGCTAAATGTAGATTCACTTGAACTTTAAAAAAATCGTTGAAAATATTTTTTTCAACAGTTTAAAAACTGATGGAGTTTGTTTAACTTATTATGCTTCCAGTCTGGTAGGTGCCTAATTATAATTATGCCAAAATATAATTAAATATAATATAGTTTTTCAAAGCTCTGCACTAACGCCATCTTCTGTCTAATTATTGCCCGCAATTATATGAAAAACTTGTATGAAAAGAGACATTCGTGTATGATAGTTTGTGTTTCACTAAAAAATATCTAGATAATATAATAATTAAAATTTCTGACTGAAATCACCTAATAACTTGTCGCTATAATTCATCGTATATAAATTTTCTCTTTCTGCCAAACGCAACGTAAATCAGATATAAATCTCTCTCATTCGCTATTTATAAATACAAATATGTAGAAACATAAAAAGAATAGTTTATAATACATCAGAGCGATGTCGTATTAATGATAGTGAAAACGATACAGCTGAATTTAGTAGTGAATGATATTGTTCTTGTTTTTTTTCTGAGCGAGAGAATGATGTATCATTGATTAATCATCAGTCAAGGACATTTTCTCTCTTCCTTTTCAATAACAAAATAACAACATAACATTAATTTAGTTATATTTATGTTTTTAGTCGATTAACGTCACTTGAGATAGACTTTTTTTTGTTATCATCGTATTTGAAAGTAAGAGAAAAATGTCTACTCGATCTGCATCAGGATCAAAAACAAGCACCGCCTCACCATCAAGTTCTAATGCGTTTAATGTATCTCGTGCTGAAGAAAAAGAACAATTAGAAACACTGAATGATCGCTTGGCTGTCTATATTGATACAGTACGTCGTTTAGAACACGATAATAAAGAATTAAAGGTAAATATAATATTTGTTTTTTATCATCAACAAAATGAAATCATTCTTACACTTTATCAAGAGTATCATTTCATCATATACTGATACATATGAAGTTCAAACATCAAAAGTAAAGCAATTATATGAAGGTGAACTTGATGGTGCAAAACAGTTAATTGAAGAACTCGCACGAGATAAATCACGTTTAGAAATAGATGCTGAAAAATTTGGCGCTGAAGCAAAAGACGCGTTAACAAAGTGAGTTAAAATATTTTGATTCGATTTAACTATAATTATATTTTAGGCTTGCTCGTAAAGAACGCGAATTACGTTTGTCTGAAACTCGTATTAAACAATGTGAAACAGAAATCACAGATTTAAAAACACGCAATGAAGCACTTGTTCTTGATAATAATCGAAAAACAGATGATAATGCAGTAAGTTGATATATGGCTATTTTTAAGTCTAAAAAAAGATGTCCTAGATTCCTAACAATCAGTACTATCGAGTTTATATACCGTTTGACCTGAACAAAAGCCGTTTCATAAATAGAAATAAACATGAAATCAATCGAAATAATGCATCAATGTTTCTTTCTCGCCATTCATATATCGTAGGAGTCTATGAAATTATGATAAAGACTGCGTATAATACGATAGGTTACGATTTTTTATCTAAGTAGATTATCTATGGAAAAAATATTAAGTCGGAGTATTCTGTCATGTTACTCTATAGAAATATTTCATTGGATTGTAAACAATGTTTCTTTTTGTAGATTTTACGTGGTAATAGTGGTGATCTTGTAAAACAAGTGAATACATTGAAACGGCAACTGGAATCTGAAACACTTTTACGTATTGATCTAGAAAATAAAAATAAAACATTACGTGAAGAACTTCATTTTAATAAACAAGTTCATGAAACGGTAACGAAAAGTAGTTCAGTTAGTTTGTGTTTGAAATATTTTTATTTCAGTCTATGGATGAAATTCGTCGACAAAAACGTGTTGAAATAAAATCATATGATGATGGTTTACGTCAACAATATGATGATCGTTTACTACATGAATTACAAGCGTTACGTATGCAAACTGATCAACAAATGCAAACAATACGTGATGAAATAGCTGAACAATATGAACAAAAACTTGAAGATTTAAAAAGTACGATTCGTCGGAATGCTGATCAGTTTGGTTCATACAGATCTGATGTTGTGTCATATCGTGATCGTATTGAAGATTTGACTAAAGCTCGTGATATGTTAAATGATAAAGTTGTAAGTCTTGAGCAACGTTGCCGTGATCTAGAAGATCGTCTGCATCGTTCACAACAACGACAAGATGAATTGTTAGCTGAACGTGAAGATGAATTGCAACGTTTAAAACAACAGATTGAACAGATGCAAAGTGATTATCAAAATTTACTCGATATTAAAATAGGTCTTGATAGAGAAATTGCAACATATAGGAAATTACTTGAATCAGAAGAAGATCGGTAAATAAATTTATTTTTCTTCTTAGAATAATATAGAAACTATTTTTCATAAAATTTTCAAGTCTCAATATATCGGGTATTCGTATTGGTGGTGATGGTGAAAATGCATCTTCTGGTCGTGCTAATGTAACAACCGCAACAAATAGAACATGTGAAAATAGTTCATATCCATCGCGTAAACGACCACGCCATGATCTCGACGAACGATCATCAATAAGAACTCAACTACTTGATGGTATTAATATAATTGATGATGATAGTACGCATGCAAAATATATTAAATTAATTAATAACTCAAATCAAGACATTTCTTTCAATGGATGGATACTCAAACGTAAAGTTGGTTCACAATCATACGAATTTAAATTTCCTAGAGGAATGATTTTAAAAGTTGGTGCTACGACGACCGTAAGTAAAAATATTTGCTTCGCTATTTATTTTAATTCACTTGAATAAATTTTAATTGTAGATTTGGAGTTCAGATGTCAATGATATAGCAGTTGATCCACCAACAAATTTGAAATTACGCACAACTAAATGGTTTACGGTTGGCAGTGAAAGTAAAAAGACGACTTTAGAAGATTCTGAAGGACACGTAAGTTTAATATTTTTCTTTTTCATTTTTACCAAATAAAACGATTGTTTGTTTAGATCATTGCGGAGAAAACAGTTACTATGAAATAAAAAACGAATAGTCCTGTGTTGTTTGCTTTGCTTTATCTGTAAACAATATTCTCAACATCATTTTTTTTAAACCAATTTTATTCATATTTGATATATTTTTATTCAAGATGCTTTTTCTTCTGTCGAAAAACATTTGGAATCTTATTTTCTCCTTTTTAAATTTTATTCCAATGTAAGCATCCTCATAGTTTTGTTTTTGCAGTGCCATGCTGGTTCGCCTTGGCAACTGCTGTTTTTTTCTTTTTCTGCTGAAACTTTTGTAATATTATTTTTTTGTTTTTGTCGTCTTTTACTTAGCAAAATTAAACATTGTTCCGGCTAAAAAAATCAATGAAAATATAACCATGTCCTTGATTTTTGCATTTAATTATAGGCAATCAATGAATAAATATCAGTAGAAAAAGTTTTTGTAGAAAAGAAACATAAGCAAGAGTATATCGTATGCAGAATATGTTTTTATCTATGCGCATCAATCATGCATAATTTAATGATTGCACTTGACAAAAATACTTTTTCATGTATGCAAGACAGTGAAAGATTCATACTTGTAAGAGAATATTGATGATCAGTATATTTGAAAGAAATCCATGCATTAAATTTGCTGTTTATATGACAAAACTTGAGATTGAAAATGCACACATACCAAAGAATATTTAGGATAATAGGACAAAACCATTGAAAGAAAAATCAATAAGGCTAAATGAAAAAGAAACTCGTTAGAATGTAAGAAGTTGATTGCGATTTTTTTGTATTTAGAAAAATCCTATTCATTGGTCAATGCGAATTTGAATGCTACAATACTTGCATAATCATTACATATTCATATCTGATTAAACTACTATAATTATAATCGCCATTTATTCAATATTATCAAGAAAAGTGATTGATTCACAATCAAATAGTACAACCGATCATAATTCAAGGTGTTGGTATATTCATTAACAGATCCATTATTTTGATAAAGACATATTAGTAGTTATTATTAATCGACAAAAATATAAGGGCGTGGGAAATGTTTATCCCATTGCACATCCACGCCCTCTAGTTCAACATTGTGGAATAGGATGTATTCTCTATTATCATCTGAGTTAGAATCAAATCAACATCTTCAAAAATCTATAAATTTGGTTGATTCTTAATCTTCACGTTTGTTCGTCGTTGGAAATTTCATCAACGTCAAACAAATGCTTTTCTGTTGTCATTCTTTTGTTCTTTTCCTTTTTATGAAAAAATGACATAACACATAGTACAAGATAACAAGTGAGAAGAATATTCTCGACTGTTGCGATGTATATGTGACAAGACAAGTGAGCTTAGGTACTCTTGCACAATATCGTCAACGAATATGAAATTTCTTGTTATTTCTCATTTAAATTTTTTCCAATATCCTCGATATTATATATAGTTGCGTGCACAATGATATTATCCCATGTTGGAAAAACCGGAGTAAAATTGGCGGTTAACCGCGGCATTACCGCTCCGGTTACCGGCTCCCATTTCATAAAAATTTACTGCTTTTCTAAAATTACCTCGGTTTACCGCAAAAATTGAAGCGGTATTCGCGAAATGGGATAGTTGAATGAAATGTTCACATGGCGTCTAAACCAGTATCCGATACTGTCGATTCTATTCGTTTGAAAGAACGTAAACCACATGCTTCAGTGACTGTTGCTGATTTTCCATCACAACCATTACCTACCCAGTCGTCATCTGACTCATCTGACTCATTTGATCTTGATATCGATGCATTAGATGCCGAATTTCGAAGTCTTACTCTTGATCAAGAAAAGAATATACAACAACTACGCGCAGATCCACATAATCCAGCAAAAAAAACAAGCAGTTCTTGCGACGAAGCAACGCATGGTTAAAATCAAAGAATGGACTTCAAAGTTAAATACAGAAGAGGGACGACGGTTACTTGATGAAAACGAAAAAGATCTGGACCAACGGAAGTATGAAATCGATCAAGCCTTAAAAGTCATCAAAGCTCAGTCAGCGGCAGATGTATGGTTTATCATGGATTGTACTGAAAGTATGGGAGCATATATAGCAGCTGCAAAAAATTCTATCAATATTTTAACAAAAACACTCACGGCCCTGTTTAAAATCCCACCACGCCTGGCTTTCATCGGTTATCGTGATGTCAGTGATGGAGCGAACAAACTGATCCGAATGAATTTCACAACTGATGTTGGTACCTTCCAAAAAGTTTTGGGCAACATTGCTGCATTTGGTGGTGGTGACGAGTGTGAAGACGTGTTCGGTAAGAAAAAGTATTCTTTTTACTGCTATGTGATTAAAAACATGTAATTGTGAGCTGATATCTGCTATACATTCGATGTGAATACATATCATGTGTCTTTATATTTTTTTTTTTTTGTCAATAATAGGCGGAATACAAGCAGTTGCAGCTCTTCAATGGTGAAGTCCCAATCGAATTCTGATTCATGTATGTGATGCACCATGTCACGGTAGAACCTATTATGATACAAGCAACTCTGGGTCTGACTGGGACCGTTATCCTGATGGTGATCCAGAACAACGTGATATTTGTTAACTCTTATTGGATGTCAAACGTCACAACATTCAATATTTTTCGGTTCAATTAAATGGAAAAACCGAAAAAATGTTTGCAGAGTTTCAGCTTATATACGGCCAAATCTTCCCGCTTGATGTTAAAAATCCTGATGATTTAATCAAGAGTGTTTCCAAAACAGCCACACACGATTATGACAACGATTAATAACACCATGTCAGCATTTAAAACAACTGAAAAGCGCAAAACTTATAGTCTTAGTAGTGAAGAATCTGATTGGAATACTTTAAAAGTTTGTTCCGTATCAATAACAGAATGTATCTTACCGAAATCTATTGAAGATTTGTTTCGTCCCTTATGTATCGGTACAGCACAGGGCAAAATGCAAATTGGGACCAAACCATTTGCACAAGGAAGTTTACGATATGCTTATTACGGCAAATTAGTTCTCATTGATTCTTGTGTTTTTGATGTTGTTTATAAAGAATTAATTAGTGCTGATTCAAAATATAGTTCCCTTACAGCATACAGACAACATTTAGAAATTCATACTATTGCACAATTTCTTGCTCATCTTTTCAATCAAACTCTACAAAAAGTCATTCGAAATCCTATTGAAATTGTCTATGCTGATGCTGATATCGTTCAACGAGTCGACGATGAAACAAAAATCTATCAAGTAGAACGACGATTAAATCAAACTATTCAAAAATGGAATAATAATTGTGGCGGTGTTGATTTTGTTGATTATTCCACAGTCTTACAAGCTTTTTCACATTGGACATATCATCAAACAGCTGGTCGTATCATGGTTGTTGATTTACAAGGTGTCAAATCAGCAACAGATAATAAATATTTACTTACGGATCCAGCAATACATTTTGATGACATAAGACGTTATCGAGAAGCGAGAACAAATCTTGGTGTTAAAGGAATGAAAGAATTCTTACGTACACATGTTTGTTCTGAAGTATGCCACGGTTTGGGATTAGAAAAGGTGAAGAATGAAATTGATGAAAATGTAGCAAAAGAACTTTATAAGCCTAGTCGAATAGGAACAGTACTCGAAGAGGCAGAAGAATATTGACAAACTGCAGAATAGGAATAACAATAATAAATATTAGGATGTTCTTTTTAATATTTAATGAATAAACTTGATATTTTGAACAAAAGCTAATACTTATTTCTCTCACATAAGATAAATCTTTATTTGCTATTTTAATTTTCAATAATATTCATCACAGCAACGATCGTATTCATTTAGAAGTTGGTGAAAATGAGATAAAAATTCAGATCGATTTGCTAGAATTCTTCTTTGACAATCCAGCTGACTCAAAAGTCAAGTATGCTTAGAAGAATATTGTGTTTGAAGTTCAAAAGTGAAGCGTTAGGGAATAATATAATTACTGTTCCTATCACGATAGACTCACTTTCAAAATAAATACGCAAGATAAGATGAGGACAGTATCAGTATAAGAGATCTAAAATAATAATTCGTTTCTAAAGCAATACATATGAGAATACATTTATGAGTGGCATAACTCACGAGTAACTCAATGACAATTTCAAGTGGGAAAATGTTTGATTAAAATGTTGATTAACTTTTTCTATAATGAAGTACAAGAAAAAATTGAGTGACACAAATCATACAAAGAGATAGATATTTAATTGTCAATATTATCCTGATCCCTTTTTTTGGTTTGTGGGAATATTCGTGCCAGCCTTTATTTAAAAGAAAAAAGATACAAGACATCGGTTGTTGTGCGGAAAATGAGTTTTAATGAATAGCTACCCATTCGATAAATTATAGTTCGTTGTTGCCAAAGTGTAGCGTTACGTTGATCTATGTAAGTGGATGTGGATGAGAAAAAGATGTACACCCACATCTACCATCCGAGTTCTAGCTTATGGAGACGTCATGATTCTGCTGTATAAACATTAGAAAATATATCAAGTAACTATATAAATAATCTTTAAACATACAAGTAATATGACAGAGTAATGTTCAATTAAACATCACTTGTAGTAAAACTATCAAATACTTCTGCTTTTCAAGATGAATGAATTTTTATTTTACATACAAAATTTTTGACTTTTTTCTTAAATTTAATTTAAATCAACACCCCATGAGTTATTATTGAAGTTCTCGATCTCCCTCAGATAATCCATTATCGATATTAAATTTTAAAAAATGACTAAAATAGAACAAGATCAAATAAATGCACTATTCTCGTTTTCTTTTTCTTATCGGCTAGTCATCGTTCGATAGTGTGACACGGAAAAGGGTTCAATCGATATCTATTTATAAATATTCTCGTATCTTTTTCTTCCTGTATCACTATCGACGAGTAACTCGTCAAGAAGAAACGAACAAGACAATGATCCAGATCCAGTCTATTTAATTATATTTTATTTGTTATTCATCTCAAATGAAATATCCAATGAAATAATTTATCATCAAACCATTATGCACATTTTTTGTTGTATTAAAAAGAGCAGTACTTCTCTAAATGATTTTGGTTTCTACACTATACCTATTAATTATTATTATGATAATGAATCTTTAACTAATGATATCTGTTAACACTTCCCAGGCCAATGATTCCGGAGAACGGATACTGTGGGGAAAACCACCATATCCTGTAGGAAAACGCAGGATATCGCTGGGAATTCACAGAACAATTCCAAAAATTTCCTACCGGCATACTGCTTCCACGTTCCAGTGATTTCTGGTGTTTTCCTGCCGTCTCCCGCCGTACGAGATCAACCTGGATTGCTCATTATTATGATACGCCATTCGAAAGAAAGATCACCTGAAGAATATAAGTAATTTTTGATAAGCAAACGACATTATATTTTAATTCACAATAATCGATTTGAGATTAAAAAGATTCATGCTTTCAAAATGAACAATTGACATAGTGTAGCTGCTAATAAATAGTAAAACGGTAAAGATGTAAAACAGCTACATAAATTTTTGAAGAAGTCATTTAATATTGTGTATTCAGTGCAAAAAATAGCGCAAGTTGAAACACGAAGAACAGTTAACGAGGCGTCACCTTAGAAAACACGTAGAAAATATTGTTCCCATCAAAGAAAGAAAATTTAGAGACACAAAACAAACGAGTATTTGATCAACGCTTTTCAATGAAGCTTCATACAAGCATCATACAGTCGCTTAACATGATAACCGACTTTTCCCGGTATCTATAGTGTTTAGTATTATATTAGTAATTTATTAGAAAGAAAAATATTACATATGAAAAAAACACTGTACAGCTCATAGTGAATTTACAATGTTTGGTGCAACTTAAATAGCTGCATCATCTTATACATATCTTTATTATTGCAAGTTTGTTACATCCTGCCATCTATGTAGTTAATTATAACTTTTTTCGTGTATGTGATCGTTTTTTTCTTTTCTCTGTTACCTTGTTGATATATATAGCTATGAAAGAGAAATAAAACGTTAGTTATGCTTTAACTAAAATGAATTCAAACGTCCTTAGGTATAAGTAAATAACAAAGCATAACAAAGTTACTAAATCATTGTCTAAGATCTCTTCGAATACACCAACGCAGTCATTCGAAAGTTATTATTTTTAGGGGAAAATGCTCATAGCACAAGGATATCCATGATTAAAATATAAAATTAGTTAAACTGGCTTAACTAATGCTATTGCTATAATCTTAATAACCGTTGCATAAAGCATGGCTATCTTCCATTTAACACTACTGTGGACACAAAGGAAACAGAAAGTTTTAAAAAAATAATGTTTTACCAACCAACTTATGAAGAAAACAAACTGTCGTACAATTTCTGCATCTTCTTGCTTGAAGTATGATAATAAGTCCTGTCGCGCTGCAATTATTTTAAAAATGCGCTTTTTTTATATCAAGCCTTAATTTAATTTAATGTTCTAAGAGTTATACTTGTTGATATTAGTCATATGGTTTGTACGACTATCAGAGTATAGTTTGATATACATTAGATTAAATCATGTATCGTATTACACTGTATACAGTAAACTACAATAAAAACAAGTATGGGTAATTAAATAAATTACGCAGCTGATGTGTCAACATGACTGGAAAATGGTAGAAGTCAACGCTAAATCGTGCGGATTTTATCAAAAATGCATTAAATCGATGTTATTCAATTAGCTAGGAACTTTATCGGAAGTTAGCAATCGCTCATAATAAAAGTAATATTTAATATCCAAATTCTTGAGATATGTAATACAGAACAACAACGTTTTGATATTAACGAGAACATATTTCAGACGATGAAATTTATCATCATCTTCCATTTTAATATGGTGCCATCAATATACAGAACAAAACATAAGACACCTCATTAAATGAATTATCGAACATTGTTGTTATGAATTGCAAGCTGATGTGCAATAAGTTATTGCGAACAAACATCTCGTATCGATTGTATTCATTCATTGTAAAACTCGGAAAGTCCTATATGTTGAATAGAAGAAAGAACGGAGCCCTATATTAACCCAGGAGGACCATTCCGACAATCGGACCCAATAAGATCCTATAGGATTCCGATCGGATTTTATATAAATTTCCAATAAACCAGCGAATTCCTATCCGATTCCGGTTTTTGGAATGACATTCGGATCCCTAGTGTCGGAATAACATTGTATAATCATCGGATCTAACGCTCAACTCGGACTACCCTCCAATATTGGCTTGAGGTACTAATTAGTGGTCAATTAATTAAGTGCTTTTTTCTGTTGAATCCGTTAGTGGTTCCGTGGCCAGGAATCCCATCGGATTTTATAGGCTGGTTGGATCCGATATAAGATTCATTCACCTGGGAACATTCAAAAAGTTATTGACGAACAAAAAGTAATAAAGTTGTTAAAAATAATTATTATATGTGCAATTAAATATGTAATTACATAAAGCTAACAACTAANGCCCTATATTAACCCAGGAGGACCATTCCGACAATCGGACCCAATAAGATCCTATAGGATTCCGATCGGATTTTATATAAATTTCCAATAAACCAGCGAATTCCTATCCGATTCCGGGTTTTGGAATGACATTCGGATCCCTAGTGTCGGAATAACATTGTATAATCATCGGATCCAACGCTCAACTCGGACTACCCTCCAATATTGGCTTGAGGTACTAATTAGTGGTCAATTAATTAAGTGCTTTTTTCTGTCGAATCCGTTAGTGGTTCCGTGGCCAAGAATCCCATCGGATTTTATAGGCTGGTTGGATCCGATATAAGATTCATTCACCTGGGAACATTCAAAAAATTATTGACGAACAAAAAGTAATAAAGTTGTTAAAAATAATTATTATATGTGCAATTAAATATGTAATTACATAAAGCTAACAACTAATATCAGTTTCTTTTGTTATAATTTTTAACATAAATATACTATAACACTGATGATAATCGTTAATGATCGAAACTTGAACTAAATTAGAATAAAAATATCTCATCATTGAGAAGGATCATTGACAACAATGAATTGTTGCTATGCTCTGTTACTATAAAAAAAATTTATTAATTTATTTTTCACGTGATCTTGTTTATAGTTTTAATAACTTGACCTTTCAAAAACTCCGCCATTCTCTGAATAAATCTGTAAAATTACATCTACGGTATATGAATGAGGAATCAAGTCAGAATTTTTTTTTGCATTAACTGTACCGTGAAATCCAATACTTTTATCATATATGACAGAGTCAGAGAATTTGCTTCTGTTCGCAATAGACTTCTTAATGTTAAAAAATCTTGACTAAACAAGAACCCTATACGATATAGATAAAATTACATGAACATAATGAAATAACTGATCTGCAAGCAATAGCATGAAATAGAGTTATTATAAAAACCATGAATAGAAAATCGAAATTTTGTGTCACCATGTTTTTGTTTTTCTGTTCTAAATAAAATTCTGATCAAAATATAACTAAAATGTTGTGATGCATCAGTAAGCCTTACGATCAAATTATTGAGAAAAAAAATGAACATATTCAATTTGATGGTGTGAGGTGTATGGATATCGGTGTCGATGTGGATGAAAGTATTGATATTCTCTTCTCTTACACTGAAAACATCACATACGCCCACACCCACATCCTTCTAATGCGAGTACGTAGAACGGTAATGAAATCTGGGTGAAAGTAGTTTTAGTAAGAAAATTTGATTGTTGTTTATTTTTTATTGCACTTTGATGGCAAGAAATTGATATATAATAGCGGAAGAAAAAATAAATTATCTCATTCATTCAATTTTTCCAATTGGAAAGGAATTACCGTTGTTCCGCCGGGAAATAGTTCCAAGGCATCGCCAATTACATTGTCCAAATCGATTTGTGTTTGATCATCATCCATTAAAATTAGTCTGTGCATTGAATGACAGCTTTCTAGAATGTGAAATCGCCCACAAATGTCTTTCATAATTGCTGATAGCAGCGTCCTTTCATTACATGGGAGCATTATTGTCTGATCGCCGTATGTTATTTTACTTTTTAGTGCGGCCTTGCAATTCAATGCCAACTCGTATTCAGTTTTGGATGAATCAATATCATCCAAGCTCAAATCGCCATCTAATTCGCATTCACCATCGTTTAGTCCATAGTAGAAATCATTTACGCCAAATAATTGACAAACAATCTGACACAGTCGTTTGATCGTGATTGACATTGAGCAATGAATAGTAGTTGATTGTTTTTCTTCATCATTCGAAATCTTAATGGATATTGGTAGATTATTATTAATTACTTTGAAATGAAGCATTCCAGATCGGAATGACGCCAATGAAGTATCTATTGATGGAACAAAATCATCCGAATAGAGAAGATATTGATAACTCATATCGATATTATTACATTTGCATACATCAGCAATAGTAGCACAGATTACGTATTGCTTTTGGATTTTCTCATTTTCAAGATTAACTAGTAGAACTTCTTGATTATTTTCTATCTCAACGATACATATTTCATTGTCTTTGGCGAGAATAAAATTGGCTTCATTCGAATCGGATAAACTTTGATTGTTTGAGATTATTTCAAATGTCTCATTTAATGCTAAATATTTATAAACATCAGTAGTCATTCCCGTTTTTTCCAATAATTGTGTAACAGTCAGATTTCTATTGGAAATCGGTATTTGCAATGACTTTTGATCATCATATTTGAGTATTATTATTAAAATTACTATTCGAAAACAGATTGATTCATAATCTGTATTTAAATAGTCACTAAGAGGCTGTTGCATATCATTCTGCATCAATATTTGATTATTTGTTTCATTCAGCATGAGAACACAATTTTTTGGTGAAATTTTTAACTCCAATTGGCGAAGAAGTTGTTCATTATTCAATAAACGAAATATCGGAGTCGATTTTAATGTGCAAATAAGTTGTTGGTTTGTTTCATAGAGGAAAGTGACCTTAGTTGTTTCATTTTCACTAATACCATCAAGTGTAGTCTGATCATGTGCTGAAGATATAGGATGATTTTCATCGACAACTATTTTCTGTTCTGGATCCCAAATAATATAATTATCAATGGATTCATCTACTATGAGAGTTTTAATCCATCGATTGATCTGTCGCCACGTTGTCGCCGAAGAAAATAAATTCATATAATTTTGATCTATATAAAGGTAATCAATAATTTAATTGGTGTGATTAGATTTTTATTTTACCTTCTTTTAATTGTACAGTGATTTGACTTAAAAAGCTAATCTTATGATCTTCTTCTTTCACGAAGATATCTACCGTCGAGTTATTTTCAGTTCGGTCAATATCACCAACCGTTTTATCATCTATACATTTACCGACTTCATCAAAGAAGCAAAGACGAACATCAGATGACGTGATTTCCAGTTGACGATCTTCAGTAAAACGATTGATGATCGCTAAAATTTCACAAGTAGATGTCGTTGAATATTCAAATGAATTTGTTCTAAAATGAATTCGGAGATCAACGAGATGAGTCCTTTCAATGATAGAATATTCTGGTGACATTGATCGTAGTACACGGTTGTCAGCATTGTTGAAATCGATCACTATTTGACTTTGATCGATTACGGCAAAAGTTTCAGGATTGTATGCGTTTTCACTAAATGATTTTTTAAGATTTTCGAACAATTTTTCGCTTTTGCACAAATGAGAACTGGGTTTTCTTCCATCAGGATATTTAAGAGAATATTTTTGAGCTTTTGTCGCAAACGTCGATAATATTGGATGTTCTTGTTCATGAAATTTTTGAACCAATGTTGAATTGGTTAATGGAACGAATTGTATATTTAATTTGAAGAGTGATCTGTATGCGGAACTAACGTTGTCTTCGATGACTCGAGCGGCTTCAATATCAAGCTTTGGATCTGGTTCTCGATCAATATTACTGAAGCTTTCATTATTATCAATATCAGCCAAATTATCAGTTTTTGCCAGTAGTAAAGGCCACTCATCGGTTTCATTTCCAACTTGATTATTGTCAACAGTAGTCGTTGGATTTAAATAAACTTGATAACGATTTCCTTCTTTAGTTTGTTGTTGATTGTCACATTGAACATCAAAGTTTTCACTCCAAACTTTTCTTTCTCTTTCTTGAATATTAATTGCTCGTTCTTGTAAAATCGATCGCAATTGAATCAAATAAATATTGAGTGAAACATAATGTTCACATTTGATTGCATTAGGAATTAATTGAAGTATTGGACTTTCAACAGCTAAGAATCCGCAAATTTCTCTCAATGATTTAGTTGATTGTTGAAGGAGCGTGTTTTCGATAGCTTTCAGTTCATTCGAGAATTTAGTGATTTGTTGTACGATCGATTGAAGTTCATCAATCTGAAGATCTTCATTTGTAAGATTGAACACCGATTCAAATATTTGACATAGTTCATTTCGCGACTGTTCATCAATCGAAGTATGAAGAAGATGGGGCACATCAGTAAACAAATATTGAAATCCACCAATCGATTTTTCGTAAACTCTACGTACATGATCGATATAACATAATTGAAAATTTCTTATTTCATATCGTTCTAATTGTTCTCGAAGATGATCATTTTCATCAATTCCTTCTGATTCAAGAAATTCATATAATCCTTTCGAAGAAAAATCATCGGTATTATGTCGTAATATTGTAGCTATTTGTCGAAGAAAATTATGACCATGATAGAGTTTATCCAAATACATTAGTTTCAAATGTTTCCAATCGGTTTCTAATTGTCTTTCGTCTAGCAATACTCCATAGTTTTCGCCTAGATCTAGTATTTCAGTATTTTCTGTTGTATTCGTATGCTGTATTTGTCTTACGTAATATTGATACTTTTGAGCAATTTGCCGATAATTAATGTGACATCGTAGAAGATACGTACGAATAATGTACGATTGCAAGTACATAAAATCGACAGTGAATTGTGTACCGAATTTTGGAAAATACTCATCATCAACTAAGAGACTTGCTCGGCATAGTTCTTCAATCCAAGAGAAATCGTCGTCAGTCAATGTGACAAATCCATTATTATTATTGGCAATGATTAGCACAGATACTTCTCTAGATATCAGTTCATTAGTCAATATCTTCAACATACCAGCACCATCATTTGTGCCACTACTCATTGTTTGTTCAATCAAATCTAATAGACTGTTGTGATAATCGACTAGAACACTAAAACAAAGAAACTCACATTGTCAATAGCTATCGATTGCAATCATTTAAAGCGGCCTATGAAATGAGAAAAATGTCGTCGCATACAAATTCAGCCATTTTTATTTCGATAGTTACACTCTTAAAAATTGCTACTGGCTAAAACAATTCAACGCTTTAATACTTGTCTGGCACTCTTTTTACAGATCGCGTTTTAGAAACTTATTTACATAGATTCGAACTTCAATATATGTTAAATATATAGATTTTATTACAGTTGCACAATTGCAAATTTACCTGAGTATGCGCATTGTAATATCTCCTTCATCATGATTTTCTGTTGTGACAAAATGATGCACGGGCGTGTCGTGTGAAACAGTTGAGAATCGTTGAGTTTCATCGCAAGCACCCGGTCGAATAAGACCGTCCGTAAATTTATGGTAAGCATTGATTGCTTCAATACCTTTACTAATAATAGTATCATGATTGTTAGTCTCGTTTGGATAATGCTGATGACGAGAGCTAACAAAAAGTTTTTGCGCTCGCTGGTACAGTTCTTGCATTGTGATATTTATGAATTCGTCACTTTCAATTAGTTGAGTATATGTTTGGTGTAGCAAAAGATAGAATCGACTCAAGTCAGGAATGTATTTCGTCATTTTCAGAATACCAACCGAATCCAAAATATGTCTTAAGAGTTTCAGCGGTAAACATGCGTGCATTGGATTACATAATTCGACTTGGAAATGTGAAAAGTCAATGGTCATAGGCATTTGAGTAACGAACTGGTGTAAACTGGTTTGAATCTCTGATTGCAATTGCAGTTCATTGATGTACGTTTTGTGTTTAGCTATACTTTGAAAAGCAAGAAAAAACACTTCACTCTCGTATTTCGTTTCAGCGTTGAGTTCATCGTCAAGTGTACTGTAGATAGGTTTGATCCAAGAATCTTGTTGGTTTATAGTTAGAAAAGCCATTTGTTCGAAACAACGTCCAAGTAGAATGCACGTCTCATCGGGATTCGAGCGAATCGATAAAAAGTTAAAAGTTGACAGTAATCGAGCACGAACGAAATGACAAACTTTTGTTCGTAAATTGTCACCACCAGCAATGCGAACATCAACTGTATTATCTTCAATAGCACTCGGAGATAAAATGGGACCGTGCAAATTTTCAACGGACTTGTCAAACAAGAGTAAATTCCACGCCTAAATAGCAACATATTACGAAAAAAAAACAGATAAAATTTATGAGCAAACTCACCATAGCACCGAAAGTTGAGAATAAGACAGTGTAAACAGCTGGCACATTCATGACACTGTGATTTTCTCTAGTTGGAAATCGGGTAAGATCCCCATTCAGTGTTAGAACACAACCACAGTCATAATGAATTCCATTATTCTGAATGATGAAATGTGTTGTCGATCCGAAACCTATTTTTAGTCAGATAAAAAAAGACAAAGCATTATTTTTTCCCCCTGAACAAACAAATAGATGTGGATAATCTATTACAATACTCACCGAATGTATTCTCTAGTGTTATTGGTTCAAAAGCAAACGTCCACAGAAAGCTCTGTTTCCCACCCATCAAAATCATTACCATAAGATTGATTAGACAATGACGAATGGCTAATTCATCTTCCTCGTTGGAGTCGAGTTTAAATAATCTATTTAAGCAGTTGATATCTTCATTAACATTCTCTTGCATATATCCGATAATGTGCTGCTCGGGTTGTAATAGTGCTCGAAATACTTTTAAATCTTCTGGCAAAGGTTCCAATGTATCATTGACGATTTCTAACAGAGGCTGAACTGATGCCAAGTGGTTACTACAATAATAGTTGTAGTAGATATTCAGTAGTAACATAGCTTTAATTTCATTCGGCTTGAGTTGAATAGGATCGGAATTGAGCTTGGTTTCAATCCAATCCGATAGAGGCTTCCATCGTTCTTCGGGTGTATCATTTATAACACAGTTCTCAATAATCTTGCATAATTCATCATAGAACAAATGAAGATGTGGGAAAATTGATGAAATGTCCGGTTTTGAAGCTACAGTGAATTGTAGTTGATGGCATCGTTGCAAGTCTTTTTTCAATCGAGCTGGCTCTTTTGATTCAAGCAGGCGATGCAAATGGTGTGCCCATTGATTATTTACGTTTCGAATATGATCCGAGTTGAGAAGATCCACAAGAAAAGACCATGAATGCTTTGATACAATAGTGGCAAGAAAAAGCTGTAAATGAGGACTAAATCGAACTATTGGGTCCTCAATTGACAAGTATTGGTCGATCAAAGTTTTAACGATATGCATAAGTTTTTTTGTATCATCTGGATTCAGATTCGTATCACATAACAGTAAGCCAGTAAAATGTAAGATAAAATAATCCTTAAATTGTTGAAAAATATTACTAGCAGATGATAGCAGATGTAGGGATTTGATAGTTGGCATTTTCAATAGCATTAACTTCGTGATCAGTTTAGTATCTATTGTCGTATCATTGGCGTGTCGTTTCAAGTGAAAAAAGAAAAGATCGATTAGTATTGGACGTTCTTGTATTTTTCTATTATCAATGGCGATCGGATGATAGGGAAGTTGATAATTTTGCAAAAAATTATCGTCCGAGAAACATTCCACAATGGTAGAGAATAAATTAAGGCGATCGAAGAAATTATTGTTAATTTTGATCGTTGTCGGTCTATTTTGTTGGGCACCTTGAGCTGAGAGGTTTGCTAATTGATCGAATGCAAACTGTTTCATAGGTAAAGACCAGTGACATAATGATTGGTTTAAGTATTTGAACAAATAATTGATTTCATCTTTGCACGATTGTGTATCAGTTTTCAATGTTGATACAATCCATTGTTGAAGATCAATCATCAATGTTGACTCATTCTCATTTTTATCGATGAAATATTTATGAATAGTTTCAATGATGTCAGGTAACAATTTAAAGAAATGCGATGTATCATAGCTCACATTGTTTTCATTGCCATGAGAATTCAAGAGATCTAACAAACGAGACACAAGTTCTTTTGGATGAGAAATTTTCTCATTTAGAAAGATGAGATAAGCCAAATTCATCAATTCCAATTCGCTCTTGATTTCGATGAGTTGAATTTGCCCGAGTATTTTGTCTGATGGATAGTATTTGGAAATGAAGACATAGCTTTGAATCCATGTTTCGCTATTTTCATTATCATTCAAACATATTTCTCTTAGACTCTTCCATAGAAGATCGAACATATGTCGAAGCAATTCTTCGCGTACTCTTGATCGATTGGATCCGTTTTTATTGAATAAATCAATTTGAAATGATTCTGTTGGATTAAGCCGATTGATTACTCGACAAGCTGAGTATAATGATAAGACATCGTTTTGCACATATTCAAACATGGTAAAGGCATACGCAAGCAGAAAAATATTTTGATTTACACTTGATTGTAGCAATTGAAGATCGTCATCGTCGACGAGTTGTATCCATTTTGCAATGAAACCGATCACTTTTTCAGATTGAGCATGATCCGCAGGGAACTGTTTTTCTAAGACTAAACAGAACGTTCGAACTAAATCATTTAAATATGAATTGAGAACATGTTCAGTGATGGCGTCAGCTAATGTTGTATCCTTCAGAATAGATGTTACCAATTTAGATCGGAATTGCTCTGCAGACAATATGCCTGTTTCGTTTAGTTCAGAATCAGTATTATCAACAGTAGTGACTCGTCGAGTTACATCATGGCGTTGATGAACAATTATGTCTTGTTCTAGGAAATAAATAAAGTTATTTTTTACATTATAGTAGGTTAGCCGAGAGCAATGAAAATAATTTCGTCGTCGGAAGTGATTACTAATAGAAAAGAGACATCGAATAGAAGTGAGCTTTTTAATTTAGAATCTGAAAAAATTCCGATGACGTTTCAGATTTCTCAGAATATTTTCGAAATTAGGTCATAGAAGTAAATAGTTGTGAGTTGCGTGTTCTAGTCTTTTGAAAAATGTGAAAACTCAGCGATTCAATGAAAGCATTTCGCTCATTCTAAATCAGAAAATGAGCTTTATTTTGTGAAACACGATTGAGAATAAGTGTTGCAGTATACAGTGAGAAGCTTGCATCCATCCTCGAACTCCCGTAGGTTCTGATGACTGATAGATAGACAACATGTATTTTCCACTGGAATTATTTTTAGTCCTGATTCTCCAATTCCAACACTAAGAGGAATGCTTTTCAGAATAGAACAATATGAGTAATATTATGATAAAGGCGCACTTGATTTGTACGTATAGTAGTAAAAATTGATGCACACTGGCGAGAGGGACCAAATGGTTTGTTTTTTTACTCATATAAATAAGAGTTCTTTAGAATATACAAACCTTTATTTTCATTTAGTTTACTAATATGCTTCAATTTGATGTCTTCAACGTGTGCTCGAACTCTCTGATGGAATAAATGATAAAGCGGCGTTTCGGCAATACAGGAATATTGTGTCACAATTTGAAATGTTCTATGGTCCAGCGGTGATGTCAAGACATTGACACTCTCATCTTCGGCAGTAAAAGAAGAATAATCGATTAATTTCAACAATGAATTGAAACCAGATTGATTTGTCGACAATTTCAATAATGCATCCAACCCATAATTATTAATAGTAACTTTTAAGATATTTGAGACGAACCTTGTAAAGGAAGCTCGAGTGTAAGAATGAATAGACTCTATAAGACCTTCGAAACGTTTACCACAAATGATATCTTTCGAGATTCGATAAATCATTTCGTAGATTTTATGACGAGAATCTTTTTGCTTCGATAAATATTCATGATAAATATTGACAATATGTTTTTGTAATTGAGTTGATTGTTGCAGAATTTGTTTTAAACATTGAACACGTCTGGTAACACTCGTTCCACGTTGATAGAATTGATATGCACGTTTATCTTTAAATGTTTCTTGTGGTAATTCTTGAAGAAAAATTTGAATTTTTGAACAAAAATCCCATAGACAATCGTCAAAAGTAGTATTGAGATCGAGGAGGATATTGTCATATGTTTCTTCTTGTTGCTCGGTAGACGGTGATAATATTTGTAGCATTTTTTGTAGGTGAAGTGAGCTCCCTGATATATAACTATCAAAAAAATAAAAATTCCAATCGTTCAAAAAAATTGAAGCAAAACAAAATTGATGATAAAGTTGCCGTGCAGGAGAATGAACAAGCATAAGAAAATATTTTGCTTGTTTTTGCATATCAGTATTGTACGTATATTGAGTATGATCAATAAGTTGTCGAAGAAAAGGAATATGATGAGATTGTTGAGCATCAATGACAATGATGAGAATAGCTTTTTGTTCGTCGTGCCCAAAAGCATGAAATCCATCTTGTAGTTCCACAGAGTTTTCTATGGATGCCTAAAATAAATATTCAAGAAATGGATTAATTTTGTATTTTTATTCTAATCAAAGAGTACGTTTTTGTCAGTATAGGAAACACGTGATTTATATAGATAGAACTTGATAAAAATGAATAGTTGAGCTCTTCGAAGGGTACTGTCTCGTCTCATTCTTAGACATGTGTGACACCAATGCATTTTAGTCTAGATTCCGATCGAATTCTGGTAAGCGCTTTTCGAACTGTTCCATGTGAAGTCACATGTGAATATATATGTGCGAGATTAAGCTGTTATTACACTGTAAAAAAAATCTGCAGAACAATAAACGGAAAAAAGGGTATGGTCACGTTGCACTTTCATAAACCCTTTTTTTTTACAGTGTAGTCCTGATCCGGCTCATCTCTACTCATGATTTATATACTGGTTTATTTGTTAAACTTGCTCAAGGCGATGTGTACGATATTTCAAGCAAGTAAATGATCGAAAGAACTAACAAAATAAATGCAATCCTCCTAGATTTATATATTAAATATTTCTTTATTCCAATGCAAACGTTAAAAAAACTAACTAGATTTAGAACATCAATTTTATCGGTGAGGTTTCCATCATAACAGTTAAAGTCATCATTATTGAAAAATTCCGATTTTGTTTGCTCATTGAGACCATCTAAATAAGACGATGTTCGTGTAAATATCATCACTTTTTTTGTTATTTTAATGTTGGTCTCCGTTCGGGATTCATCCGTAGAATTTTTCAAGCGTTCACTATTATCAACATCAATCAATGGTTGTGAAATTAATTCTCGAATAAAATTTTCAATATGGAAATGCTCTTGTTGTTGAAAATAATTTGTACAAAGAGATTGCGCTATGGTATCTTCTAAAGTTGGTAATTTTAAAATGATCGATTCTGGAGAAACAAGTTGGATCAATTGCGAAAGAATTAATCGTACAAGACACTGCTGGAGGTCAGTCGGATTTTTCTCAATGAATGATTTCGATTTAATAGTGAGCTGATTATAATGTTGGTTAGGATTCGATAAATAATATTGTTGGTTGTCATTGATTTTTATGAGTGGTAGAAGACACGAATATAATGTATTTTCATTTAAACCATAAAAATATTGTCGTCCAAAATGTTGAATGAAACTCTGTACCTTTTCTTCGACGTTTTTTATAATTGTCTGTTCATTTTCAACAAGACGTTCTAGTTGTATTCGATAGAAATCATTGAAACTCAATGAGTACTTCTGAAAGAGACTTAGGAATGGTGATGGTATATTTATCACGTCTTTTCGTTTTACATGTATGATACATTGAAAATCTTCATGCACCGCAACATCAATAGTTTTAGGACCAATTGCTACTTTAGAAAAGATCTTTCTTGTATCATCTGTAGCCATAATTGAAAAATTTTGATTAAATACATCATAAAGTGAACCATGAATGCGTTCCGTATTGACCATCAATATTGTTTTGCCTGTTTCCATACACAATTTGATATTTGAAAGAATTTCAGTATTTCTAAGTTCATTATTAATATCTTCTGCAAAGTCAGACATTCGAAAGACAGTCGTTCGTTTCGGATCCGAACTGAGAAGACAACTTTGAAAGAGAAGATGAACGGCACTTTCGTCTTCGGATTCGTCGATAATTAATTTGTAGCGACCATAAAGGCGACGACGACTCGATTCAAGTCCCATTGATTCACGCATAATCGTCGGTACATTTCGATAAATGATATTATCTTGTTCTCTAGATGCTAAGACAAATTTATCACATTCTTTTTGAACAGCATCATAAAAAATTTGAACCAATTTTTTAAATTGTTCTTCAGTGATTCCATTGAAATTGTCTTCAAGTGCGCGTAATAAACTTATCGGTGTGATTCCATCAGTCGATACATTTTGATCTGTCGAGTTTTTTGTCAGTTCAAAGCGAAGCTCTCGTAGCATATAGATGAAATCTCTATCGTGAAAGATTTTTAGAATATCTGGACTCATGAGTACCTCACGATAACCTTGACAGAGGCCGTGCACAATACCACCTATATGACTATCAATCATTAGTTGTTCCGTTTTGATATCTAGACCAAGACAACCGTAGGCTAAGATTTTTTGATCGAATTCTGATGGACGTGATCGATAAACACAAATCATTCTGTTTGAATTAGCAGCATCGAACGACTTATTAGCTACAGCTATGAATGACACTTTGCATTCATCCAAATAAGGATGTAATACTTTCAATATCATTTTCTTCTCGTCGGGTAATGAAGCTTCATCAAGAAAAACGACCTAAATGTGTAATATCAGCAAAATCGCCATATCTATTTCTTAAATCGAATAGACTTACACATCGTGTATTCATTCTATACTGTTTATATTGTTGTTCACGTTGTATAGCTCTATCGAAAACATATGCAATATCTTCTGAACGGCTATATTTTGACCCAAGACAAAAGAATGGATCGATGGACGGTAGACGTTTACAGAATTGTTTTGTAGATAACTGTGGACCTTGTAAATTTTGTAAGGCAATTTGAAAAGATAGAGTTTTCGATTGTCCTATAATGATATGTTTATTTGTTTGTTGAGTACTATTCAATGACAAAAGGTGACATACCTGGTGCACCAATGATGCAAAGAGGTGTCCGAGTGACTACACTGACTACAATCGCAAAAAGATGTTCACGGACCTAGAATTGAGGGTAGTGAAGGAAGAATTTAACAAAAAGAAATATAACTATACAGCTTGATTTATTGCAACACCGTGTGGAATAACAAAATTATCAGCATTGACAAATTTTTCAAGTTCAAATTGAACGATTTCGAGAAAATCAGGAATGATATCGGAAAGTAAATTTCCTAATTCTTCACGTGTTGGTGTATGCTGATCATTACGTTGTCGATTATCTTCCTCTGTAGGAAGTCGAAAATAGTAGGTCAATGCTATTGATAATGTGATACATCGAATCGGATTGGGCTGATAGCTTGCATCAGTTTCGTCATCATATCTCATTTTCCAGAAAAATTCAATAAGATTGAAACATCTTTGTATTTCTCGTTGTGATACCGTATTTTTTCCTAGAAAAATAATTGAAAAAATAATATTGATTTATTTCAACAGATTTTTTTCTTGTTACCAAGACGTGTTTCACAAAATTCCTGTGCAGCCAAAATCAATTGGCAGAGTATATCTTGCGCAAAGTGCTCTAAGGGCATTTGAGCTTCGAGATTGTTTGATGAACGAACATCAAACGTCGAAATTTTTTTCTTGATATAACCGCCCAATGTTTTTGACTCCAATATACCATAGGACACTATCAAGCCTTCAAGCGCCTGCGGTAGTTGATGTACGATATAATCCAAACGATGGACACAATTGTCAGTGCTCGCTGGTGTCGATGATGGATTGATAGCAGCAGTAAAAAATATATTTTCTGGTAGATTCTTTCCATGTAATGTTCGATCCATGAACATTTCTTTGAATAGGCCGAGACATGATGATGTATTAATTTCATCAAAGAAGACAATTAGTTCGATACCATGTAATTCTCTAGCAAGCTGAATAATAGGTGACATGAATTCTTCGAGCTGCTCTTCGGTTACGCCTGGATGAAGTAAAAGACGATAGAACACTGGTTTCACTTGAGTATAACACAAATATTCATTGAACATTCGAATCGAAATTTGAACTGATGACGAATGTGGTTCATTCAACAGATGCTTTAGAGAAGAACTTATTTCGATCAATGGTAAAGTTGACAACTGGGATGTTATATAAATGTGCAACGCAAGAATAAGTTTTTCCGTAATGTTCATTTGATTTTCACTTGATGTTGTGATGATTGTTTTCCAAATATATTGTAAAATGTTGTTGTCATATTTACAAGTATATAATGCACGTTTGATCGTGTATAAAAAATCAATATCAATGAGATCAATCAATCGACGTTGAGGCACGACCTGCAACAATGAAGCTTGTGGCATTATATGAATTTCTTGGTTATCTTCATTTGCATTGATATGGGTTGGATCGGTATTCTCAAGCTGAATCTGCGTAGACTCATGGAAAGTATGTTCATCGTCACCTTCATTATTTTTATTTTCGATTTCAATTCCCGGTTCGTCATCCAAGTTTAACGAATGTGCTGCAGTTGCGTTTGTCTCCTGATCATCGTTTAATTTTTGTTTCATCCGACGAAGAATTGTGCCCAATAAATTTGGTTCATTGTCAAGAATAGCGATAATAACATTGCGTAGCAACCATATACTTGTACGTTCACGAATACGTGGAGATACATTATCTTCAAGTGAACTATTTATAATATTTGCATTCAATAGTGATGAATAAAACAAAAGAAGAAATGTCTTTCCAACACCTGTTTCACCTTCAATAATCAATGGCAGTTTTGTCAGTTTTCGTTCGTGTATGTGAAACAACTTGTAAGCAAAACTTTCGGTCAAAATAAATTTTGTATCCTTCATTATTTTCTCAAATGTTTCATATTTAATATTAATCAGCCAAGATAAGCATACGACTAAATAATTCCTATTGCGATATTCTTTATTTAGTCTGGGCTCATTATAATTGAACAACTGTTTCAATCCATCAGACACATTATTCCAATCATCGTACAGTAACTGTAATGAAAAATTCGGATCATAAACTAGATATGTACGAGGATAATTATCATGACGAAAGTCAATTTGAGCAAGATGTTTGGCTTCGTGTATCATTTGTTTCATGGCTATCGAACCAAGATTTTGAATTAACATATTGAAACGATAAAAGTAGCCAGTAAAAAATCGAATTCGTCGATATAAAAATTTGACAAAAGATATTTCATATATTTTATTTCTTGGTAACTCTGCTATATATTTATCCATACAATCATAAATATGGTGACGACATTCATCTAATTCTGATAATTTGTCGAATTCAACAGGTCTCTCAATTTCCTCACACCCTATTAATAGACGATCGATTGTTCCATTTTCATAAGCTTTCAAAAAGCGCGCAACTAATTCTTCCTCTTCACCGATAAATAGTTGATAGTTCTCACGAGTAACTCCACCGACTGAGTTCGATGCTATGATCGACATTAATGGTAAAATGTTATCAAAATTTTGTTTGATATTCATTGAATTTTTATTCCTATCAGGAATTTCTATGATGAATTTCCATGACTTCGTGTTCGATAACGAAAAGGTGAGACCACTATCGACATCAGTAAGTGAGCCACAGACAAACAATGAAAAAAACGCTCGATTCAATTCTTCAAATGGCGCATGAATCGAAATATTGAAATAAACAGTTGGTTGGTCATTTGTCGTTCTTGAATCATACAATAGCAACGAGCTGACTAATGATGATACATTTAATCTATCATTAACACTAAAAGTTATCGTATCATCATTTTTGTAGTTCCTGTTGATGTGATGAGTTTTTCCTATAAATTAAAGATATTATTTGAGACACCAATTCATACTCGATAGTATCTCACTCACCAATTCCTGCTGTTCCACATATAATTTCAAATTGGGGTTGGACACTGCTACTATTCTGCTGACAGAGTGTAAGAAAATGTGTGAAAGTTTGATGTGGATCTCGATGCTTAAAATCAAGTTCAAATGGTCTTAGATTTTTTCTATTCATGATTGATCCGCGTGCAACATAATAGATAACTCCATGAGGCTCTTGTAATCTTGTTAATGAGTCTTGTTCATTCAATAAAAGTTCGCGAAGTCGATGATGCATTTTGTCGATATCCATAACAACAAACGTTGAGTCTTGGAATGTTCGTACACGAGAGAAGAATAGATGAATATCTTCTTCAGTTGTTGTCGAACACCATAATATTTGATGAAAGGATGGCAATTGACTTTGAAAGGTATTTAATAGAATACAACATGTGTCCATGTCAAGATCGAGCTTTAATGATGTCTCCTCCATTGCAGGCAATGCAACGAGATATCGTTGATTCTCATTTTCCGTGCTATCATGCCGATAGAGTTCTTCTTTGTTGTCAATAAAAGCCTGTATAAAACTACATAGTTGTTGCAGACACATTTCCGCGCTTGCATCTTTGCCGATCTTGTACCGCGCATAAATATGAGAGACAGTGTCTTGCGACAACCTAGAATTACTTATTCTCAAAGAATGTAAATAGTGTGATAATAACTGTAACGTTAATTTGAGTTCGTTGGTATTTTGATTGTTGATATCTATTGATGAGTACAATTCGCTGAGAAAATGGCATTTAATTAGATTTTCAGTTGAAAGTAGAATGATCATGATCATGATTTGCCTATTGGAGAATAATTTAAGCGTCGAGTTTTCTTCTCTAAATCGACTCAAATTGCCTAACCAAATCGCATAATTTGTTTCTAATGTACGATAGGTCAGTTGTAAATGATCTGTTTGAACTCGAATCGCTTCTTGTAATTGTTGATCTGTTATATTTTGATTGTCTCGTATTTTGGATAATAGCGAACTGATTTTGCCTTCGAAAATATAAAGATAATTATGAGCGAGGATTTTGATACGCTGGATTCTTAGTTGACCTGACTTTATTCTGTAGACAAGAGTCACTTAAACGAGCTTTCTCTACTAGAGAAGACTTTCGATATAATTTTATTGGCACGGTTTGATTGCTTATAGAGAGAGAGAGAGGCTCAAAGCTCCGGTGGGAAAAGGACTCTAGCTTTCTTAGCCATATCTCTCGGCTATGCTATTTACGAATGTCTTCAAATTTATCTATTGATAAGAAACCCATCCAATAATACGCATAATAAGATCGAGAAGTATCTTAAATGTATATACTTGCTGTCTGCCAGTCGTGAAAAAGCTAAATATCATCATTGCAGATAGCAGTATAGCAATGGCAAGAGAAATGAAAAAAACGGATTGATTCTCTATGGACAAGTGAAATGATCATCAATCGTAAAATTTTAAAACTACTTTTGAAATGCTTTTTCTATTGAGTTTTGGCCTCCGATAGGGCTATGGGAACCATACATTAGTTTTCTATGGATTTATGGAACGATCGCCTTAATCACTTTTGCTCATTCTATTCAAATGTGGTAAATACTTTTCTGGTTCTACGATTTTGGCTATTTGACATCGAATATCTCGGGAGCACATCTGCCGAAAAGTATTTGATTTTGCTGAATTCAATGAAATGTCTATAATTTTCATAATTTGAAAATTTTTGATATCGTACTTAAAACAGTCGACAATGTCAAAAACCTGATTGCAAGGGTTGAATACCGCTCTGATATGAAAATTATAGACATTCCACTGGATTCAGCAACACCAAATATTTTTCGACAGACTCCTCGCAAGATATTCGACGTCAAATCGTCTAAATCCTAGTACCAGAAAAATGTTTATCACATTTGCATAGATTGATAATGAGTGGCCAAGATCGTCATCGCATAGATCCATAGAAACCTAATGTGTACTTCCAATAGTTCGATCGGAGGCCAATACTTCACAGAAAAAGCATTTCAAAAGTAATTTCAATATTTGAGGGCAGACAATCATCTCGCTTGCTCATTGAGAATCAATCGACTTTTTTCTTATCTTTACATTGCTGCACTGCTCTGTGAAATGGTCAAAGCCAACAAGTTGTTAGTTTCATTTATTGATGAATTATACGAATTTTAGCTATGATGGTAGAAAAGTTTACAAAATCTTCTTTTCCTTTTCAAACTGTTAGTAGGCTGTAGTAACCTACTTTCACTTAAATAGAAATATAAACGCATGCGAAAGAAAACAATGTCGCCCCACTACCGGCTAATCTTACCAAAGATAGATTGACCCTTCTCAAAATATCAACTCTGCTCCAAAAATGTTCGACTATTTGTCAAGCTTCAAAAGTAAGTGTCTCTTCTCCCCTCTCTGCATTGTTTCCATCCTCCTTCCTGATAGTTAAACTCAAAATATGTTCATACTTGTCCTATCGTGAATTTCGTATTGCTTATCCCTGAGCTGGCAATCTGGATGACCGGCAATTTCTAGTTTGACAAACATCGAATATATTTTCTCAACAATCTCCAATAATCGAAGTTGTTCACTCAGTAAAACTTTCTTGTGAGACATATTCGATGGCAGGTCGACGTTGCAAAATGTAAGTTGACGTTTATGATCGTTGATATCAGCCATAGACAAAACAAATTTGGTTCTTTTCAGATCTTGCGGTCTATCTTCTTGCTCGACTTCTGCATCGAGATTGTCAGTATCTGTCGATGCTCTCATTTTAACAATCGAATATTCGATTTGAAAATAGGATGGCTTATTTATCAAACGTCCTAGCCGTATAGTAATGATGCCTGTTTTATATATGTGTTCCATTGTGACGAGAGCATTGTCCAATGTCGATGTCTCTTCTGTTGATAGCCACATATTAACAGTTTGTATATTTTCATTTATTACTATAACATAATATAGAATGACTGAATCAATTATTTGTTTTAGACAAATTTAACTTATTTGAAAAATTCTTACTGCGTTTATCAGCAGTCAAAGTGATAATAAATAGTTCACATTTTAGAAAAGCATCTTACCTCTCATATGCTTCAGTGAGCTTTCTTCAACGCTGCGTAGTTGCGAAAGACGACTAACAAATTCTTTCAAGATTTTTGCTTTAGTAATAAATGGTTCGCATAATACATAAGTAATTATTAACGAATTAAGAATCATACTATTTCGTTCTTGGAATTGAAATTGCGTGGTCAAATTATCTCGTAATTCTTGAAATTTATGTCGTCCTTGAGGCGAATATAAATCAGATTTTTCCATCATCTTAACCACAGCTGAACATTCTACTGATATCTTAATCAAATGTAAATGTTCGCCTCCGAGTGTTGTAAATTGTTCCAGAAGAATTTTGTAAACTTGACTTATTTCGCTAAGAGATATATTTTCGTTGCTACTCAATCGTTTAAGATGATCAATTGACTCATCTTCATGATCCATGGGAATAATATCAAATTGTCGAATACAATCAACGATACTATTGATGTGACAATAATATTGGTAGATTTTCAGCCATTTGCATACTTGTTCAATGTCATTTTGATCGGGACCATCGACCACTGTTACTCTGCTTGCTCTTGATGTTCCTTGAGTTGTTGAACGATTTGTGAAAAGTCTTTGGACTTCTTCCCGGACATTAATGTTCTTGTCATAAAAAACAGTTTTAAGACTGACCATATCACTGAGTTTTATCTTGCCATTTAAGAGACTGTCAATGAACTGAAATACTTGATCAAGTGTATCATTCAATTGGGTTTCTCGAATTGGTTGTGTTGCAAGTGCAAAGTATCGTTGATACAATATATTGAAGATACCTTGGAATAGATGACATATCGCTAAGCTAGTGGATTTAATTTGAAACCATATCGTACGCGGACTTGTTACATTTTGGTTGTTGATGGTGATTATAAACCGACCACCTCGTTGTGTTTCGAATTCACCATGTAAAACATGTTTATGAATGGAAGTATTCTCTTTTGAAAAAATTAATTCGGCACATGCGGTTACGTCATGTTGGCGATATTCGATGTGGACATTACACGGATACTTCTCACTAGTGAGAAACCATTGGATTTTTTGACGATCGCTTATTGGAAATATTTTCTCAGCTGATGATAGACTGTTGACAGTGAATGTGTTCTTAGACTGAGAGCGTTTCATTTCACGAATGAAATTGGATGACTCTTTCTGATTATCAGTTCCTTCGTGAACGATAATTTGAATCGAATTCGAACAATTGAATAGATAGCAGATTCGACGAAGATGATTGCCGAACGGCTTGAGGAGTCGTAATGCATTTTCTAGAACTCTTTTTGTCTGAATGCAGTCTACGGTGTCATCATCTCTAATAGTATTGATGTCATTAAATATATCTGCAGCCGCGACGACGTTGCACGTTTTGAGCCACTCAACAATATAATGAAAAATATTGAAAAATCTATGAAACCACGTGAGCCATTCGTTAACTTGTCGAATGAATCGATCAAAGAATGGCTCTATTGGATTGATTACTGACATGTCAATATCTTTTGGTTTTGCTATGCCCACAATCGTATCGATGTTTAATATTGTAGTCGGAAATTTGTATTGTTCCCGATTTGACAATTTTGATATTTTGTCCAAGTCCATGAAACGAAGAAAATACCGAATAATCGATGGACTTAAAAGAGCACGATAATTTGCGCATGTACCTGCAACAAGAAAGAACAATTTTCAGGTCTGAAAACAACTATGAAAGTTCAAATATCTCTATGTTTTCAACAACGATATCCTATATTTGCAAGTAGCACTATATTTAGTTCGTGGTAGTTGCTGAAAAGACATCTTTATTGTCAGTGCATCGGAAAAAGAATTCCTAATCCGAACAAAATACCAATGAAAGTTGAGAAGAAGTACATTTTTATTGATTTTTTGGACGCGACTGATGTCCGCGGTCTGACTTTGAGTATGAATGAAGAGTTTTTCTCCATTCACACTCACATTTTGTCAAAGACTAAAATTCAAATTTTGAATCATCTGTCGCAATGAATCGTTCTGCATCTGTTGTTTCCGATACAGAATGCATTCAGAAATGAATAATTTCTCTCGTTGAGTCTTTTCGGTGCTCAAGAACCAAAACACATGATTTCATTTTCCCTCGGCTGAAATCCACACATATTACTGCACATTTAGAGAAAATAATCTAAAACATGCTCAACTGTTCTAATGGAAACCGTTGCTTTTAAAGCTAATCACCTTGAATAAATGCCATTTTAGTTGAAAAATACAATAAAAATCACTCTCGGAAGTTCTGAAGTTGAAGAAAAACGTTTTTCTGATCAAAAATATCCTATTGAATATTTTGTTTTTAACCATAAAAAGAACTTTCGACATCTGAGTTCCTTTCATCTTAGATTGTAGCATGTGTTTCTTAATGCCTTGAACTCCAATAAACACGCGAAATGTTAGAAGCAACGTGTGTTGACTAAAATTACCTTTTAGTAAGAAAATGTCTTCGATGAATTGCTTTCCATTCTCGATGATTTCGTCCATTTCTTTCTTGCCGGCCGAAGACAAATCTTGTTGGTGGATATGGAGAATGCAATCGAAGATCTTTTCGACATTTGGAAGTAAGAATACATTTTTCTTATATTTCACAATGATAGTATGGAATACATTGGTAACAAAGATAATTGTCAAAATATTGTTGGCATCGAGATGTACATTCTGCAACCATTTGTCAATACTCGCAAGTATATGATTTATATTATCTGAACTCGATTTCAAGAGTGCCAAATATGTTATTTTTGACCAAACGTACTTCGTAAAACGGTTGTTTAGATGAGAGTTGCATAGGTCATGGTAGACTTTCGAAGTTAATTGTTCCGACCATTCTGTAGAAATATTTAAAGTATAGTCACTTAGCCATTCATCTCGAATCACCAGAGCAGGATCAATAGTTTCTGGCAGATTTTGATCAAAATCAATCAATTTTTCAAAGAGAAGTTTCATTTTTTTGATTTTATTATGTGATTGAGTACCAGTTTTAAACACCAATCGTTCGATAATGAGTACATAAGGAGGTTGCTGAAGATTGGGCGCCACTGATAGACTAAGAGCTAACCGAAAAAATTCTTTTAGTCTTTGTTCTGGCAATAAATAATAGCCTTTATTGTAGCGGTGTTTCTCAATAAAGACAGATATTATTCCTTCTAATACTTTTACGTAACTTGCACGGTGCACATGTGTGATGGTTGCTAATATATTTTGGGCAGATTCAATGTCTTGATAAAATTTGTCAATATTTGCCGTTGGAAAACGCCTGGTCAAATTTAAAATTAGATGACTTTGAACCATTTCACTGAGATCACTGTTTTCAAATAAATACAGAAACATCTTCCAAGCTTCGTCCCCATCATATTTCCAAATAGAATAAGCTTGAAAATATTTGCCGAATAAGGTTTCTCTGGACTTCAAAGCCCGCAATAAATCACCGACATGATGGAAGTAATAATATTGATTTCGGATACGCGAAGTAAATATGTCCAAAAACTGTTCATAGAACAATTCAGGCGATAGACTTAAACTTTGTACAAGATTAAATAAAGTACTGAACGGCGAGTAATTAGCATCCAATAATGGATACTTTATCGTGACTAAATGAATCAACGCTGGAATGTCGAAAGCGAATTCACTGAATGCCTCTTTATAATCAATGTATGTTGTTATTATTTGTTGAAGAGTCAACGGTGAATATTTCAATTTTGATACCACATCTATCCATCGAAGACGATGCTGATGATCGTCAACAATCATTGATGACTGAAATGATAATTTACATAAAACGAGGAATGCCAAGAATGTGTCTTCATTATTGATTGTTGTTATATTCACTAAATGTTCACGAATATTCATTTTGTTCAATTGATTCTTGTCACTGATATTGAGATTTGGTTTTGCACCTTTTGTTTCTACAAATATTTTAACCAGATAATTGTGCAGTGCTTGCCGAACTTGTTTGTTGTAGCTACTCGCTGGCCACATACCGAAGAATGATCGAACTCTAGTGTCATACTCCTCTATTCGACAACAAATATAGAAGTAGGAATCAATACGATCTTGGATCTTAGGTGAAGTATCTATCGCTGTAAAGCTAGATATTATAGAGTTTAAAATATGAGTGCGATCATTTGTAAATGTTGTGCTATTTTGAGAATAACTTGTTCTATCGAAGGTTGTGAAAAGATCAAGAACTGTATCGAAGAATTCTTGCCCAATAGTGTCTTCATGGAAAATGCTAACTATGCGAGCAACTGTGTCCAATGGAGGTGGGTTTTGGTTGTAGCCTTGAGGCATAACTACAGTATTTGACGCTTGAAAGAATGCTGTCAAGCAGTAGTTATCTAAAAAACACATATTGTTCAAGTAGATGTTATTGCAATGTCAAACAAAGATTAGTAAAGTTTTGAAGCATCAAAATGAAAAACAAGCAAAGCTGTCACAGTTGAAGCCATAATTCCGACATTGCGAATAGATATGTTACAACTATGCCAGAAACGAATGCCATCGTCAACGAATGAGATCAGAACGATAATTTTTTAGGATTCTGCTTGTAATCTTTTGAATAAACTAGCTGACATGGTATCCATTTTCAAGACGACGAGCGGTTGATCCCTATTAATTAGTTCTATTTGAAAACCAGAGATGCTGGCGATGCCACAATAATCAGAAACAGTTTAACATTAGCGTTGCTTGTTGCTACATCACCAACATCTTTGTTAAAAATATCGATTTCGTGTGAACCGCTCGAAAATTACTGGTTAACTGCGGTTAGTTTTTTTTTTATTAACAGCTATTAGCCATGGTTATCGATGGGTTCGCATGGTATGAATGATAGCTTACACTGGAACAGCGCTTCTCTGTTCGATCAGCCGCTTTACAGAAGATATATCATGAACACAGGTTATGTAGTATCTGTGATCCCCAGCCATTTTCATTGCGCAAGCGCCAGTGATTTTCTCAGAAAACAAATATACGGTACGGTGGAAAGTCTGATAAACTATATCATAATAGTGTGGGTGTAGGTGAGTATACGGCGGGATTTATCTTCCCATTTATACCAAGTCACAACCAAGGGGGTAAGCGGTGGCACCTAGTACCGAAAAGTGCTGGGCAGGTGCTGAGGTGCTGAGGAGGTGCCGAGGTGCTAGGTGCCAGCACTTACCCCCTTGGTCACAACTATCCTATGTCGCGCACGTCGATCGAAAACCGCCGGTTAACCGGCAGTTCTTGGTCGGTTTCTGCGACATGGGAAATACCTCAGAATTTCCCTGAATTCTGTAGATTTCTCATGGATTCCTGAAGATTCTCACAAATTTCGGAAAAATATCTACGATTTTTTATAATTCTCTGGTTCCCTCGAGTTCGGTCAGATTCCAGGATTCAGTTGTTCACACCAGAGTTCAGTGTGGGGCGTCTCGTGGGACGAACATTTTTAGAAAATTTTAAGCAGACAAGAAAGAATTGAAGTCTCTTTCGAGGTGATTCTACTATATGCTTACTGTCTTTATCCATTAAAATTATATTTATTGACGTCAACGACCGCTTTCAAATTTTATTCTCATATTTAAAAACAAAATTCCGGTATATGTTGTTCAATTTAGCAGAAGTATTTTAAAAGAAAACGAATACAAGCTTTTCAAAGTCATCTAAGGCAACGATCTTAATTTTAATGGATAGAGATAGTATGCATATCATAGAATCATATCGAAAGAGATTTTGATTCTTTCTTGTCTGGTTAAAATTTTCTAAAAATGTTCGTCCCATCTCGTCCCACACGGAGCTCTGGTTCACACCTTGTGGATCTGATACTGCATATTCATTCTTATGAAATTCAGCAATATCTACGATGTATTGTATGGTAGTTGCGGGTGTTCCAGATCGTGGATAAAGAAAATACCCACGCCCACGATTTCACAATAGATCTAAAGGGAGAAAAATATTTAGTACAACAGCTTAGTAAGTGGGAATTCTTGCAAATTAGGTTTGGGATTATCGGCAAATAGAAATTAAATTTTTGAAAATTCACTACTGGCGTATTCCAGAAAACAGTCAGCTCTGTCTCTTGTTTACTTCCGTGCCATAGTCCGTCGGATCATTAGTTACCGTCGTTAAGTGAACTCAAATGAAGTTGTATCTCACATACGATTATAATATACCAGTATTTCACGCACTCGTAGTAATAAAATGAGTATTATTCAAAAGACTGTCTTATGATCTTTAAGAAACTATTTTTTATCTCATAATGTGCTTTTCTTGTGTCGGGAAAAAAGAAAAAGAAAAATAACAGAACTCCCTCTTATCTCCATTTCTTATTGACACACATAAAACATCCAACCGGTATCTTATCAATATTTGTTTTAAAGTTACAACAGGGCATAAATATATTAACGGTATGGGTTTGGGTAAAAGCGCAGATAACAGACATGGACGATCCACACGCTCAAGATAGTCCGAAGGAATACACCCAGAACGTTAGTTTCATTACTTGACAGACTGATGATCGTGATTTAAATGAGTACTAGCAGTATTACGTTTGAAATAAGATAGTTACAATATTCTTGATAAAAAATGGTATGGGCGTCGGTACACATAATATATTCTCTGACACCCACCCTGTTCTAATATATAGTATCAAATCACAAAAAAAGACTTAATTATAAAACTAAATGTATTAGATCTTGAAAAAATCGTATTGATAATTGCTATACAGCTAAAGCACCGCATGTATTTATGAGAAATGAATTTGAAGTGCACTATAGGGTATGCAATCAAGCCTTTTTATCTTTTTTCAATTCGCTTTTATTCCAGTTTTTGATGCTATTGATCAAAACATCGATTTAATATAAAATAATGATAATATCCGACTATATACAATACAAATTACTGTATCACAACAGTGATTAGATTTTTAATTCTGCTATTTTATACAAAAATAGCTGAAGAAACAATTGAGACTTCCGTTTTGGGATCCTAAGCAAATTTGAAACTCTTTCAATGTCTTATGAAGTCTTCTGAAATTTGTAAAAACGTGCTTAGTAGATGGAAAATTAATTAGGAAACCAATGCAATAGGTTAGTTTTCGTTAGTCTTATTTTGGCAGAAATATCAAATTTTATTGTTATGTCAACCTGCTGAATACGATCGACTTCGTTTGGAATTTAAAAAAGATGTCGCCATAGTTGACTATTGAAGGTTTCATAAAGGAGTATGATGTCCATGTTGTTGGAAAAGGCTATCTGAAGAGCTAATTATTAACTCAAAAACAACGTACAATACACATTTTTTCATTGTAAACATTCTTTCGACCAGCAATAGTTTAGTTATGATCATCGAAGCTATGCGCATTTTTCCTTAATTATGACTGTATTTTTGTCCATATTCAAGACATCTGATTTAAAGATTTATTAATCGTGTGCGCAACCTGAAGAGAATATGTTTCACGATGAAAAACTATTATGATGGCAGTACTGTCAATATTTTTTATAACCACTTCTTTCTCAATATATTTTTTCGAATATGACGAACGAAGTAGATAAAGATGAAATGATCACACAAGAATTGTTCTTTCGTTTTTCTGAAACGCGAGAAAGTATTTACGAAACGAATCGATCTCAACCAGCAACTTTATTGAACACGATTTTTTTCATAATGAACTTCTTGATACTGATTGTAGCATTAGTGATAATACAATTTATATTTTGCAAATCATCTAAAGAACGTTAATCTCGTGGTTATTTATTTCGTAAATTCACAACTATTAAATACACTTTTGTTTAAGAGTCCAGAGCGATTGAATTCATTGATATGTTTGTTGATCTTTAAACAATAAATTCAAAAATAAACTTATTCAATGTTATATTTGATTTAGAAAGTGTCAGGTGGCGGTGATCGTCTGTATTGTATTAAAATTCTTGAATATTTACTTGAATAGAATAGGCTTTTATATTAAAATAGTACATGGTGAAAAAAAGAAACACACCGTGTGACGAAATTCAATTTAAAAGATTTGTTTTTAATCAACGAATTATCGGATTATTGAATCAAGTTCCTTCTAAAATTCTGTTTGTACACTTTTCATTCCTAAACATAGAATTATCGGTGAGTGTTTATTCTAGATTTTTAACTTTTCTTTTAATTGAATGAAGATGTCAAGTGCAGAACATGACAGCGTCAGTATGCTTTCAAGATTGAGTTTTGTTAGTATTGTAAAAGCTTGAAATTTTCATATATTATCTCTGATGAACAATTAAAAATTGATAGAATAATTCTTTAAAATAAACCAGTGTATCTCGACTACAGTTCCAAAGTATTCTGAAAATTTCATGTGTTTTAGACTAAACTTGAGCGGCGAGGTCATATGACCTTCAAAGTCAATTGTAACAATCGGCAATATCATCATTTTTTACAGAAATAAAAGAAAAGAAAAGAAAAAGTATCCACGATCAAAAATGGAAATGCTTCAAGAGTTTCCATGATAGAAGTATTTTCTTCTCGATACATTTATCACATAGCCGCTACTATCTATGTTATGTATATCTGAACTTTCGATTAAGTAATTCCATAGAAAGTCGTTTCTAATAAGGTCTCTTAATAGAATATGTACACATAGTTTTGTATAATCAAGTAAGATAATTATCATATGATGAGACTGGTATTTACATTTCCATTTAAAAAAACTTGCAAGGGCAGCTCGATAGAGTTTTAATATTAAAAGAGAATACTTTCAAAGCAATACAAATATCATATAATATTCTGGATGGCAACAAAAAGAAAATTCAAGGCTATTTTAATACTCTCCATTGTTACTGATTCTTCTATGAAGTTTTATTGGAAGAAAAAAAAAGAAAAACACGTACGCTTTCATCCCTACCCTCACTCAACGACATGTGAGAGAAATCTTTTTCTTTCACTTGTGGTTAGAGAAAGAAAAGAAAAACAAACAGATTCTTACTGCATTATCAAAAAAAAGGCAACATGGGTTCTTGGGATGCCGAACGTAAACGTAAATTGAACGAAGATTTCGATAATATTTTTCATGAGCATGAACGCCTTCAAAAAGATCTCAACATAAATAATAATCCGGAATGCCAATCTCTGCTACAGTCTATTGATAGATGGGAACAAGACGCTATAAAAAAAATTAAAAAGACAGCCAAAATTGCTCGCAATGATGTTCAACGATTGCTCAAATCTACTCATGATCGGTTACAAATTGTTTTATATGATTCAGTTACAGAAAAACTACAAGAAACATTAACACAAAAAGTCGACATTACTGAAGATCAAATTGATCAATGGTTGATAAATTTATCGGAAATTCGTAAGCAACTAGAAAGAGTTTCTTCGACCGTCGATTTTTCGCATGATACAGCCATTGATTTAATCAAAGTAAAACAAAAAAAATCATCAGATGCATTACACCAAACCAATTTCGATTATCAACAATTTTATTTTGAAAAAATTCGTGGTCATCCTGTTTTTTATAATACTCAACATCTTATCAGTGCGACTGCTCCAATTACTATTGTTAGTCAAAATAAATATTCTGCTGGCACACATTATTTTCGTTTTTCTATTGAAAAACCTACTGATGAACTATTTTTTGGAGTCATTAGCGATACTGATCTTCATCAATTAAAACAAAATATTCGTCCTATTGCATCGATTTATGGCTGGTGGAATATTGATCGTCGAGTTATCGAAGATCGAAAAGAACCGTATGTGTCGACACTCAATTTAAATGCTGGCGATGAAGTAATATTAACCTTAAATTGTAATGCCCGCGAGATTTTTCTTGAGTATCCATCAATGTGGAAATCGAATTCAATAAAATTACCCAATAAGGGACATGTATGTCCACCTCCGTGGAGATTATTAATTGAAACAGGTAAACCACGTGATTTTGGCATTAAATTACTCGATTGGGGTATAACAGCACACGGAAAAAATCATCCAGACAAACGTTTACATTGCTATTGTAAGACTGATTAATTACTAAGTAACATATTTATGATATTCTAGTATTTTTTCAAATGTTCATGTCATTTTGACAACACGATCAATATGTAATATTTTTACATATATAGTATTAGTCTTTATTTTTGTTTTATAAATAAAATTAGATTTCAATTGCATTTGTATCATATAAATCCATATTCGTAACAGTCAGGACAAAGGTCTGAGTCTCTACTAGAAAAGTCAAGTCTTGTTTCAAGTAAAATCGTTTCCTAAAAGATTTATTTTCATATGAAATATTTATTGTTTTGACAACTTTTGTCTCGAATTTTATTTTTGCAAGCTACTCTTATCAGCTACAAAAAGACATTTATACTATCATAAAACGTTATCAAAGAGTCTATAGTGAGTGAATGATAATACCTGTTCTTTATGTTCTACAGTCTAATAAACCGAAAGAAAAGGTAATTTTTTCTATCAACGGGATGTGAATATCATGTCATAATTGCTCGAAATCTAAAGACTTGAGTAAATCAAGTTTTCCATAGCTTAATGTAAACCGTGCTCTATGATTTTTTTTATAAGAGCAAAAAGAGTACGCATGTTAAGATAAGGTTTCAGTGAGTCTTTTAATTGATTAAATTTTATTTTTATTCTTTGAAAATGTCTTTGATTCTGTTCAATCAATAAAACTATTTCCATGAAGTTTTACTTTGTGTAGTGGTTGCGCATATCATTACGTTTCTTAAAAATTGATTCATATCGAAATGTTTGCTTATATTTAATTGACTTTATTAGTAATGATGATATATGAAATTTACTTTCTGTAAACTTGCTCAAATAATGATAAACATTTGCTGTGCAAACTGATGCATGAAAATGAATTTTTTTGGTAGTTATAGGATCATTATCATAAACTGATTTGTTGACTTTTTCTGATCTAATCACAGAAGCTGTGTTCAAGTCAAAATAAATATTTACTGACAGAATGATCTCCTAGAAACGCGTACGTAGCCATTAAAAAGAGTGTTCTTTGTATATAATCGACTCGCTAGATCATAAAATTCTATTTTATTCAGCAGCACTACTTACGTAAGTTAGTCGAGCTGCTATATTTAAAATTTATTATTTCAATATAGAACAAACATTTTATAATCTTAAAACTTTCCTGATAGAATATTCAAGGAAATCCTATAACTTTACAATCATTTTCATCGATTTATAGGTTTTCGTTAACATAAAAGAATTATTTTCACGTAAATAGTTTTCATATCGAGTAAGTCTATTCGCATAGATCGGACAGTTATAAGCATATTCACTAAGGCATATTGAAAACAAAACAATAATGACTAGCATTAGATAAATTCAAGTCCAGACATATACATAAATTCACATTGAACATTCCATTAAATCAGCGAGTGCATTATCCAGTACTTGTCGAGCATAATCACCTAGGAATTAATTTGGCGACGTTTTGTTTTTTAAATAGCAAAAGACAAGAATTGTTCTTACTAGGCATTTGAGGTGGGTGTATAAAAGGTGAACCAATAGACATGTTTGTAATCGGCGAAGAAATATGCGATAGATGACGGATTGGACGAGATACTGACGTCATCACAACAGCTTCTAAATAGAAAGTGAATATTAAGCCAGTTCTTTTTTTTTTGTTATGAATGAATCAACGATAGATATTTCGTTTATATGAAATTAGCTGTTTGCCTTAGCTATCATCTGTTCAACAATGAAATCTTTTATTCGCACCTGATTCGGGAGTAAATGCAAAGAAGTCTTGTTGAGAACTTTTTGTTGAATTTGTTGTATTTTTCAATGGTATCGGAGAACAATCTGGTGTGATTGGTTTTTTATGTCGATATAGATTGTTTTCTCGATTTTGCTGTTGACTTGGACTCGAAGAACGTTGTGCAGGCTATAACAAAAACAAAACACAATTTATCAATAAGAAGAAATTTGAAATTCGAAATATTTGACATCGAATGAAGATGAACGTCGAGCTGGTAATATTTGTGGTGTTTCGTCCAGTAGATCGTCTTCATCGGAAAATAATTTTCTTCGTATTTGAGAAACATTTAATGATGAATTTGATATAGCAACAGGTGGATCATCTTGATCACTGTTCGAAGCAAAACTTTGTATTAATGAATCAAGATCAGCCGCTGGTGGCAGAGAAAGGCGTGTTTGGCAACCCACTAAAAAGAATTAGTTAATGAATTAGTCGATCACTCATCTTACTATGCCTAATTGTTCGAGTTTGATCAAGTAAAGAACTCGAAGTAGTTGATGAACTATTTGACCATGATTGATTTTTTGCTTTTGGTATGTCATTCGTTGTAATAGGTGTCGGTAAATCAAGTTGCGTTTGACAAAAATCATCTGAAGCTCGTTGATATCGATCACGCATTTCTTGATTACTATGATGTTTTTTTTAGTATAAAAATAAACATATGTATGAGCGGAAAAGTATTTACCAAAAAAAAAAAGATAACATACAAGAGAGATGTATCGATCTGAACAATATGTTCACTCAGTGGATATGGATATACTTGTGCACGACGTTCAATTGATAGAACATCAACAACAGAATTATTTTCTTGTTGCTAAAAATATTCGAACAATAGTATTTTAATTAGAAAAGAAAATAAACTAACGTCATTAAATATACTAAAACTAGCGAGTCTTTGTTTAAGATGAACTGATGTTGGTGGATCAAATGGATTTGACACTAGTCGATAATCAGTTGTTTTTTGTTGTGGAGAATAATTTGTGTCATCTCGTAACATAGGGATGGGTGATGAAAATGGATCTTTCATAGTTCTTCAATTGACAATTCTTTTTTTCTTGATAATTGCTTTGTCTATTTTCTTCCATCCACCATAAATATCTTTCTTGTCATCTAATGGACTCGCTCGCATTCATTTGAGCATTTCAGAAAAGAACAGTTAAATTGTGACGCAAGGCATGTACACCAACTCCATCTACTCGTATGACAATGGCGTTGACTTAGTTCTTTTGTGTATACTTAATTGCTTATTGATGATTATCCATAATCTCCGAAAGTACAATAAGAATCAATTTCATTCATTGTGAATTGATCTGAAAATGAATATTGATTGCTTGAAACAAACACCTTAGTTAATCGAAAGAGTATTGCTGAAGAGAAGACTTTTTGTGTAACAATAAAAATCACGGAATATATTTTGATGTATGGTACTCTTAAGGCTGTTATTTTCTTTTCATATTATTTAAGAATATCGTTAGCTTCAAGCTGGGTGCTTTATTCGTGAAGTCACCTCGACTTTGACGAATTCACTTCTACTACGTTTTCGATATTTTTTTTTTTATTAACGACGCAATACAATCTTCAAATTTATGTAGATGCTTCACTTTTCGTGTTCTTGTACTATTGTTTACTAGTGAAAACTGTCTTTAAACTGCGGTAAAAAAATAATTTAACTCAGCATGTGAACATATCATGACCAAATCACGAGAGCAAGTTTAGCCCAATTGATGTTCGTGCTCAATTATCTGTTAACCATACATTTTTTTGATATTTAAAAACTGTATTTTAATTAATCACTATAGTAAGAAGCATGTAACGCTCTTAGAAAAGTTTCATATGCAAAATAAGAGTAGGGATAAGCTTGCGGTTGTATTTGAATACGAAAGGAAAATAAATGGATTTCATCAGCGCTCAAGACGATTGGATTTTACCACTCATTATTAGATATAATGACTCGGAAATTTCATTGGATGATCATATTCCTATTTTGGCTGAGGAGTACTTATGAAGTAATTTCATGAAGTTTTGAGAGTTCTAATATTTTTTAAGACTTCATCAATTTATGTCGAATATAATTTGATGAATATGCGCATTCTCTAAATCTATGAAATGCAGCTAGATTTCTTTTATTAACTTTATTTTAACTCATACACAGGATATTTTTGGATGACTATTTAAGAAACGCCAACATCAGATGAGTAAAAGTTAAATAAATTCGAAAAATTCGTTTTCTAGTCGTTAAAATTGTGTAAAAGAATGAAAACTACACAGAAATGTCTTGACTACAATAATGGATTAATCTTACCTGATATAGATAATATGTGTCAATGGTCAATGCCAAAAGTAAGATGAAATAACATTATTATACATAAGTGTTATTACCTTTAGAATAGGAATTTTTTGTTCGAAAAAAACTGTTTCTTTTAAATTTATTCTGCTTTTTCTCTACATGTTTGTTGACAATATGTCAACAACCTCTTTCATACTTATGAAGTTCTTTTTTTCTTACAGAGTCATAAAACAAGTGCAATTCAAACAAATCTAATGACAAAAAACAATTCATACACTGTGCACGAATAAAACATAATAGTAGCTTTTCTATGCATAATTCTGTAATGCAAAACTATCATAATGTTTAATTCATTTTTTGCAAAACAAAATCACTGAAAAGTTAAATTTTCTAAGCATATTTTCAATAGAAGAATGCTAATTAGTTTCACAAAATTCGCCATATGCTCATCTTCTGAATTCATCTTTTTATTTGACATTTATGCTGCAAGTTTGGACATTCGCGCAGTTGAAGTTTAAATATTTTTTGCTGAAATTCTGCAAGATAATTATGAATCGAATGAATCGCTCTATCAGCATGTTTTATTGTATCGTAAAGTGTACTATAATTTATGAGGGAATACAGTTGTTCTAATTTTTAACGTTAAATAAAGAATAGAAAACAAAACAGAATTTTGAGTTTTCAAATAGTTATCCTGTCACTGTGGCATAAAGATTTCAAATTTCGAGTACGGGCAGATGAATATCATTGACAGAAGCTTTAAATCGATAGATTGGGAACCCGTGAGTAAGATCGGTTTCGAAACAAAGTTCTATTTTATCGCCTTTTTTCACTTTAATTTTGTTTGAATTGTCCACCAAGCTAACATATTTAACTCCCCAGTTTGTGTTTTGTGTAAACCCATTAATAATACCTTTGCCGTCTTCAAGATTTTTTGCTGTTAACACATACGCAGCAAGATAAAAGCCTGCAAATTCTGTCTCATGGATGTTTTCAGCAGTAAACTGAATTGTTTTTGATAGGAGATCATCAGCTGGAATATTTGTCCATTCAAATCTTTCGACAAATTGTGCTGATGTGCATAATGTGACCTTTTTAGGTGGATTGAACAGTAGTTGTACACCTATGCCATCACTAATATTCGGAGTACCACTGAATAATCTAGAAAATATTGACGATAGGAGCCCTACTTTAGGACGTGATACAGGAATACAAAGAGTACCAAATTCATGAGGAATGCATAGTGAAACATTTTTAAATGTTGCCATGGTTTCGCGGAGTATTTTTAGGCAGCCTTCGTCAGTACTTATTGTACCGAGTACATCATGAATAATAGCAGTTGGGGCGGAATCACATTTACCCCAGTCAATACTACTAGAAAATCCTTGATGTAATGTAATTTTTTCCTTCAGAATAGCTGTAGCTTGTTGCAAATTTGTGGCTTGCTCGTATGAATTTGTATTAGCTTCCACTGCATGAACGTGTTTAGTTGTGGGATTTTTTAATAGCATTTGACTTAAAAACATGCGCGGACCAGTTCCAATATCTAACCAAGTCACAGTATTTGAACCTTGTTTCGGAGAAGAAGAAAGGAATACTTGCTTTGCTGCTTCCTCATAAGCTTGATTTCGTGGCTTATCCAGTTCCATGAGTACATAACCAATATTACGGTATCCGTCGACGAAATTAGAAAGTGTTCTTGGTCTTGACCTCATTCGTGTACGAATAATAGTCAAATCTAATTTTTCTATGAGACCATAGGCTACTCCTATAACTATGCGATCAAACATATCGGCTCTCGTTGTCAGCCATTTCCATAACTTCGCGAAACCTACAATTAAAACCGCACAAGCAACAACAATCACTGTAAAATTATACAACAACAGTATAACGTCGGTTTTGCTGTTCAATTTTGATGCCATAATTGAGAAAATATATGAGTCCATGTTTTTAATCAATATATTCATCGATTGTTTAGGCCAGTATTTGTATCCTAGTTAAAATATTTTTAAACTAGAACAAACACATTCAGATAGACTTACTTTAGTACAGATACTTCAAGTACGTGTAGGTAAAAATGAGAAGGACGTAGCTGCAGTTTTTTTAATATCTAAAATAGACAGCAAAAGATAAAATATTTTAGATGTACGTAGATGGATTGATTTCGTTTTGGTAAAATTCACGTTGAAGTTAAATAAGATTATTTTTAAGATGTTATGCATCAAAATGAATTTCTCTCTATCTTAGTAAATGATTAAAACATTGTCTGTTTTTGACTATGAAAGTAAAAGCTGAATTATTTGAAATTAAAAACAAACAAATTTTCTCATTCAGGTATGACTAGAAAATGTTTTCTTTTTTAAATGGGCTCTGATTTTAATTCTGTATTCAGTTGCAGATAATCTTTGTAGTGATGTAATCAGAAATACATGTAAGAGGTAGGGCCGAGTCTAGGTAGTACATGAACTGCATAAACATCAACCTGAGAATATCCATTTTCATGGCGCTAGAGAATCTCCGTCGACTTCTTGATTGCTCTAAAAATAATTCAGAAATAAACTTCTAATCGATTTAATATATGATGCATTCAAGATTATTTTAGATCACCTACCGCATGAACCCAATCATAATGACATTGTGCCCATTCGTTATTAAAAAAACAACTTTTATTAGCAACATATTTTAATAAGACCGCTTGTTTGCTGTTCGTATGGCTACTTTCTGCATTCCCTACCATGATCCGTATAATATAAGGTTGAAAATAACGAGCGCACGAATGCGAAGCAAGGTAAAAATAGTGAGTCGTTGAAGATGTGCATTTATGAAAGAAATAATGAGAATATACTCCTCCATATACGTTAGCGAATATATTCAAGCAGAATTTGTATTGGACTAACATACATAGACAAGCAATTATTTATTCAACCGTAGAAAAACTTATTCCTAATCTATGCGATTTAGTATAACACTGAAGATTTCTTAACAATATCACACATCAATGTGATTTTAGTGAAACAAAATAATATATTCATCAAAGTATCCAATTGTCGCCTATTCACTTTTCAAAGTAAAGTTTTTTTTAACCAAAAACGTTGTTGAAAGGATGATTAATTTATCTCTTTCTTTATTTTGAAAGAAAAGAAGATTGCATGTATATTTCACTGGAAAGAATAATTATACCTTCATATTATTATTTAGTCAGCCATTTGACAAATGATACCTTTTCACGGTTATACAATCAAAATATCTGCATATTCAAAGGCAACTTGCACTGATGCGTCCGTTTATTTACTTCGTATGCTTCAACCTTGCATAAAACGTCCTCAAAAAATGATTATGTAAACAATATCATCCTGCGGCATGCTTTTAATCGCATCTTCTATCATCGATTGTTATTTCTACTGTATTCATCATGGGATAGCTTTTTTCTAAATTGATGCATACAGGTGTATTTGGTCTTCTCCTGACTCTTTCGCTTCAGCCTGAAGGAAAAACTGTCATCATATTACTTATTCAAATTGAAATTTTTATCAAGAATACGAACTTTATAGTCATGTTATCAACGAATCAATTCTGTTAACCAATAGATTATCGTATAGGGATAAATTTTTTTAAATTAAAATTTTCTATTTCTATATCAATCGAAAATTCGTTTCATTTCGTATTATTAGTTTATCAAAATACAAAACAAAAAAAACAGGTTCCAATTTATCTGGCAATCAGGTCACTGTGCAAATTGATTATGAAGGCTGTAATTTTCTCGATGCACTACTACCACTGGAAGGTATTGTTGCAATTAATTTTCTTTGTTGTGCTAATAAGCCTTCAAGATGTTCAACTCGTTTAACAGCAGTTTCGTATTGAACATGTAATCCGCGTACTTGTTCATCTTTTTTCGAAATTGCTTGTTTGATTCTAAAAATAAAAATATTAATGATAACCATTGACATAGATCTATGTTATTAAAAGAATAACGTTACTTTTCGTGCAAAGCTTGTAATTCTTTATCTTGCCGTCGTTTCAATGCTTCAAGTTCTTCGTTTTTCTTTTCTAATTCTAATTGTTGCCGAGCACGTAACTCTGCTATTTCACCTTTTACTCGACGATTTTCATCTTCTGTTAATACAAGCCGATCAGCAAATTCCTGCCGAATAATATCTGATAAACGATCACGTTCTTGTTGTAATGTTTCAGTGATCTAACAAATGAATAGAAATTGTTTGATTTCAGAAAGCGGAACGACTTTCTCGATCAACATAATAAATTCGCGTGTAGAAAATTTCTATTAGACATTCTACATATAAAACGCTCCAATGGCTACGCACACGTGTTGACTGTTTGCTTTCGTTTGTGCTTTTATGAGTACGTGTAGTATCGAATCAAAATATGCACACGCTCATCTTACACTAACTGTATGTTTTTTTATTATTATTATCTTAATCAAGCGTCATGATCCAACTTGATTTTATCATAAAATTATTAAACTATATTTCTATTTGAAAGACTCAAGCAATATGTGTATCAGCAAAAGATAAATATAATTGCCTTTAAAGGCTTAATGAAGATGTTCTTAATACCTTTTTGATATCATTGATTTCAGTTTCCTTTTGTGTAAGCAATACTTGTAATCGTTCGTTATCGCCTAGAAAATAGATGTTCAAGACATTTTTTTCAGAATAAATTTCATTATAACCTTGAAATTCTGTCATTTGTGCTTTAATTTGATTAAATCGTTCTCTTGTTTGTTTTTCGGAATTTTCTAATTCATGAAATTCGGCTTCATATTTATCTCGAATACGTCTAAAAGTATAAATGAAGTTATCTAAATAAAATATTAAAACAAAAAATATTTTACTTCACACGACTCTCTGCTGTTCGTTCCGTTTCTTCTTTCGTTGTTGTTGTATCGGATTCAAATTGCGAAATAATTTTTTCAATTTCTTTATCTCTTTCGTGTTTCATTTGCTCTCGTAATTCTCGCTCTTTACCTGCTAAGAGTGTTTCTTGTTGTTTCATTAAATTTTCTTCCCAATTTTGTTTCTCCAATGTTAACCTATCTTTTAATTCTTGAATTTCATTACTATGTCGATGTTCCTGTTCTAAACGTATAGCTTCATGTTCAAGTTTACTTGATTCAACAACTGATCGATGATTTTCTTCAATATCACGTCGAAGTCTTGACAAAGAAATAATTAAAATAAAAACCAAAAAAAGAAAGAACAAATTTTAACTCTTACTTCTCAAGATCAGCATGTTGTTTAGCTACTAATTCAGATTGTTGACTTTTTTCTTCTTCAATCTCTGTGTAAAGTCGACGTCTTTGCTCATTTAAATTGTCTACTTCATCACGTAAAGATTTTTCATATTTGTCTCGAGCTAATTCACGTTCGTCAGCAATCGCTACGTCTTTTTCTCGTTGTAATTGATCGCGTAATTCATCAACCATTCGAATATATCGTTGTGAAGCACGTTCATCAGCGGCCATAAGTTCAGCTTCATGAACAGTTTTCATTTTTGATAATTCATTTTTATGTTTACTAATTAATTTTTGAATCTCAGGTTCTAAACCGCGTACTGTTAACTCTTTTATTTTCTTTGTTTTTTCTTCAATCCAACGCTCGCGCCGTAACTTTTCAGCTGCTTCGTGAACATCTTTTAATTTTTGTAATTCACCACAATGAGATTCTTCAATGGACCGAATTCGACTGTTATATTTTTTATCGATTGTTTTTAATTCGTATAGTAAAAGTTCACAGCGATGCGATAGTTTTTTCTTATCATCAATTAACTAAAAACAAAATTCACATGTTTCAACACAATTCTAATGTCAGAGAAAATTTATTTCACTACAAAAGAAAAAACTTTTCTATTGCGATAACACAAAGATCAATATCTAAAAACAAGCATATATGAGTGTGATTGCCGTTTGTGTAGGTTGAATCATCAATACTAATCATACAGTATAGTAGATATGTACACGACTCAGCCTATACTACGTATGTATTCAATATTTATTCTACGTAAAATAACTTTGATTATGATTGTGATTTAAAACTGCACAGGTTTCATTATTTCGATACTGTCATCTAGAAGCAGTAGAAATACGAAATTAGTGTGCCTATCGAATACAGAAAAGGTTTTGCAGCATCTTTACTTTGTCATACAGGAATCAATAGTCTCGATTGATAATCTATAAAAACGAAATTCTTCATTTTCAAGTCGCGAAAGGTTGCAAAAAGGTTGCATAGCTCATCGAAGAATTTTTGCATGAAAAATATTTTCGACGAGCTATATGAATGTTCTTCCAATAGAGCAGATCTTTGCCGACAGCTCAGTGAATTATTGTTTGAACTTATTTCTCTACTTAAGTCAATTGGATATGGTACAAAGTAGAATTGAAAAATAATATATCTCGATTAATAGACCTGATCAATAAATTTTAAATGACGTTGTATAATAGATTCGTATTCATCTTTTTGTCTTTGAAAATCAAAATCAAAATCCTGCTCCAAATTATTCCTGAGATGAAAACTTGGCTCGTGTTGTTGATTCTGAAAATATAAATGTGAAGAACATAATCAATTTTTCACAAAAACACTTTTACCATTCGTGGCTGAACGATTGTTGATTGCCGTTGTTTTTCTTCGTAGTCTACTCTATACGGAAGTCTTTTTTCTCTAGCGGCGTCATGTGTTGTTTTATTACTATTTTGAAATTCATTATCTTTATAATTTGTTTCGTATGGAGACATTGTTAATGATTTATATGGTGTTATTATCTAATTACAAAATATTTTAAATCGAAATTTTTTTTTTTCTAATTGAATTTTTACTTTCGTTGCATATCTTGTTTGTTGATCGAGTGACGATGACGAGTGATGATGCGGTATAGAAACTGATTGAACTAATTTTTTTGATTGTTGTCGTCGATCGAATTGAGCTGGAATTGTAAAACGTGTTATCGGAGGCGATGATGTTTCGTGTGTGCTTGATTTTTGTGATCGAGCATTTTCGTTTAATCGATCGTCTTGGTTCGTTTGATCAAAATGATTTGATACATAACTAACATGATTCGAAGTTCTTGGCGAAAGTTCATCAATGAATGGAGATGCTACTATTGAAGTTGGATCAAGGATATAGACTAGAAAATAAATGAAAATGAAATTCTTTTTTCTTTAGGTTCAACGCCAATGTGGTATTTTCAAAGAACCCGACTAGACTCGACTATTAGTAGGAGTAAGATATATCCTACTTTCATCTATTTAGCATTTCGAAACAAAGCATAGAATACCTTTATCGATGTCAACCTATATCCTTGATCAAATTCAAGATATTTTAAGAATTTTATGAAAAAATATTTTACTTGAATTATGTTCTATTGAAGTATGTTCAGGAAATGGTTCAACTTCTTCTAGTCTGCTCAATGATTCATAAACATCACCTAATTTCACTTTTGGTACTGGTGTTAATGATGACGATGATGATGATGATGTCACTGAACTCTCATATCTGATTTTCTATAGAAATAAAACAATAAAAAAATGATTAGTGAAGCAAAAATCAATAGAAATTTTGTTCTACTTGGTCCATATTTGAAAGCAATGGAACTGGTGAAGTTGCGGATATTTTACGATTTGTTGGTGTACTATTACCTGATGATAATTGACGACTGTTTAATCCGTTATTATTCATTTCGTGTTGAGTTTCCTATTGAAACGCACAGGCAAATTAAAAATATAACGAATGAAATATTTACTGTAGGTGTTCGTAATTCTCGCTGTTGTTCATACTCTGTAAGATTTGTCTGTTCGAGTCTTGCTGGATCGGTCGGTTCTTGTTGAATAGTTATCGAAGCTTTTTCAACGCCTGTTGGTATCACTTGTTCACTGTGACAAGATTCTGCAATTGGTAGAAATCGATCACGTCGATGATCATTTGCTTGAAAAATGTTAGCGCCTGTCGCTGTCATAGTACCATTAAGACTGTCACGTGACATTCCCATAGGTCCAACAGTATGGTTGTCTGGCGGTGGAGTAAATGAAGAATTTAGCTGGTTTATTTCATCTATCCAACGACGTGTATCATCACAGTCTTCTCCATCTGGTTTAGGTTCAAAAGATTTTTTTTGACTTTCATCAGTAAAGAATCCATCGGCATCTTGTTGGCGTGGACTTAATACACGAAAGATAGTCGATGATGTTGATAGATTTGCCGACTAAAAATTTAATTAGAAGAAGAAAAGATTTATTTTATTTTAATATTCAAACAAGAATTATGTAACATTTTAAAGTTTGCTGTTATACAATAGATAGATACATAGAAATATCACAACTATAAAACCTATTATAATAGAATAGACACTAGATGATTTGTTAATTTATATGTTTTTATCAATGCTACTGAACTCTCTCTCTCTCTCTCTCGAAACTAAAGGGTAAATTTTAAAAAGAATATATTTACATCAAGAGACAAACATTTTCTGAAGGATTTTTCTGTCTGTCAGTCATAATGCGAGTGACTTTGAAATCAAGGTCTACTATTAGAATCCTCGTGTTTTTTGTGCTAATCTTTTTACATACTATAATAATTAGATCAGAACACGATATTAGCCTAATTGAAATGCTCTGATTATGAGAAAACGTTCATGCGTTAACGATACTACGAGATATTTTTTTCTACGTTGACATCCACTATCGTAAGCTGTTTTACACTACAGATCGAATGAAAATAGCCAATAAAAACAAAGCATACTTTTTTAGTATCAGCAATTGGCGACTTAATCGGAATTGATCGTTGACTACTATTACTAAGTCGTCTAAAGATTGAAATAAAGTTTAAAAACAAAAAGAAAGAAACATGAAATTATTTTCACCTTTTTCTAGCACTACTGAAATTTACACTAGAAGTCAAACTTGGTCTACGTTCTTTCGTATTATCTAGAAAGAAACTAAAATTTTCTTCGCAATCATATTTAGTTTCTTTCTTTACCGTCTCTGGTAGGCGTTTGGGATCCATTAGATTGAGAGTCACTTCTTGAACTGGTTGATCGTCCAGAAATAATCGATGGTTCTTTTGATGATAAATCATTTCTTGCACTTGTTGGACGTGAGGTAACAATTCCTGGGGGTTTCCATTGCGAATCACTTCGTGCGCTTGATGGGCGCGACGAAGTAGCTGCTAACTCTTTTAACTGAGAATCTAATCTGGCACTTGGTGGTCGTGAACCAATTCCTAGCTCGTTTGGCTGAGAATCTAGTCTTGCACTTGGCGGTCGTGAAGAAATAGTTTCTGGTTCTTTTGGTTGACAATCTAACCGTGCACTTGGCGGGCGTGAATGGACAATTTCTGATTGTTTTGATTGCGAATCACTTCGTGCACTGGATGAACGTGAAGAAATTGTTGCTGGTTTAATAGTATATCCGTGCAGTGTTAAATCAAAAGCATCATCTCTACGGGAATGATTGTTGTCGTTCATAGTAAAACGTTTATTATTTATGTTACTAGAAATCAAAAGATTAATGAATTGATTTCACCATAAATTCATTCTTTTGTTACGTTAGCACTTAGCAATAGACTTCGTTTAACAATACATAGATGTCACAAGATTGTTGTCTGGAGGTTCGAAAATATTTTACGATTGGTTCAATATTTTACTAGATATAAAAGTATAGGTAAAAGAAGAAGAAAAAGATAATGAACAGTGTACATATACATATATATTCATTATTTCTTTTACCAATCAATCGAACGATCTTTACCCGGTGATGCTTATGATATTCATCTAAGTCAAATTGTTTTCTCTTTTTTACTTTTGTTTTAAAATGTCAGACAACGGTAAGTTTTAGAGTATTTTTAATAAAAATATTTTCAAGAAAAATAATTATTTGGTTTTACTAGGCCAAACAACTTTATCTTCTGATGATCAAACAGAAAAAGAAACTAAATCAGATAGTTCATCATGTTCATTTGGGTAGGAAAAAAACGAAAAACAATTCTTTTTCTGATCGATTCATTTTTCAGTGATGTAAATAATACATCGACATCTGCCCGTTTATTTGGTCAATTTAAACAGAATGGTTTTGGTTTTAACAGCTTATCGCCATCAACATTTGGCCAAATATCATCACGAGAAAAATCTGATGATAATCAGTCTCCATCATCGTATTTTACAAGTACACTTTCGAAGATTTCATCACCTACAACTGGCGGGTTTGGTTCGCCATCGACACCATTATCTTCATCGTTTGTGTCTCTTGGTGCCAAGTATAAAATATTCATTTTAACAACTCCTTATGAAAATTTTCGTCGATTTTAGTAAACCATTATTTGGTGGTTCAAGTGGTACAGCAACAAGTTCATTTACAGATCTAAAAACAACATCAACAAATTCATTACAAAGTAAAATTCAAGTTTAAAACTAGTTTATTTAGAAATTCACGTAATATTTATAGAAACAAAAGAATAGTTAGCAATCAGTTTATTACAGATTTGATTATTATAAGAACACGACGAAAAACAATTTGTTTGTAACACATGTATCTCATTTTATCCAGACTATTTTCGAGGTCTTCGAGCTCATTATTAATGACATAACATAAGAAGTGTAACTATTTGTGATATTTGATGTAATCAGTGTATTGTATTATTCTTATCCTAGGTGTCCCCTATTAGAATCTAGAAGAATTTCACTAGGCAAAAAAAAATAGTATTTAGATAAATAAGGATTGAGTGCACCAGATGCATATTATTAGCACATTATAATAGTATAATGATATTGAGAAGGGTCTAGATGACGCCTAGGTGGTTGCGTCAGCGTTAAAAATATGTTTTATTTTATTATGCTGTTTTTGTTTAGATAAGACCGACGATGATGAAGATAAAGATGAAGAAGATGATAATAAAGCTTCTTTATTAGAAACAGTCGCTGAATATGAAGCTAAACGAGCATCAACACATCCAGCTACTACGATCCAAGGCGATACATCAACTGGTGAAGAAAATGAAATAACGAAATTTCAAGTTAGAAATTTATTGATGAATATTCTATTTATTTATTTTTCACACTAATTCTATAGATGGCTGGTAAATTATTTATGTATAGTGGTGAACAGCAACAATTTGTTGAACGTGGTTATGGAATATTAAAAATAAACGAAAGTCATGATCCGTCGGATTGGGATCGATTACAAGCTCGATTAAGTAAATAGAATTTATTCAGTTTTTTGAGAAAAACGCAGAAAATTTAAAGAAAAATTGTCTCACGATTTGTTGTTTTAGTTATGAGACTCGATAAATCATTTCGTGTTATCCTCAATACACCCATTTTTCCAAAAATGACTGTTGAACGAGTTACCGATCGTTCCGTACGATTTGGTGCTCAAGATGAATCCCAACTGCGAATATTTATTATCAAAGTAAAGTTTCTTTTTATTAAATTTCTCCTTCGAAATCAGTAATTAATCTTTGCTGTTATTATTTTTTGCAAGTCTTCATCAAGTGATTGCAATAATTTATGCAAAGAACTACAATCACGAATTCAGATAATTGAACGACAGCAAGTGCCAACACCATCAAATATTAATACATCAGTATGTATTTATCTTTTCCATATCATCTTTAAATATTTCCCTAATTTTAGACAAATAGTAGCAATACGAGTGTATCATCTGATGTGGATGCTCTCGACGATTCGTCTCCTAAACGAAATTCACCAAATGGTCAACGAAAACGATCTCACTCGAAAAGTGATTCAGATGCATCAGAAAAAACAAATGATCTTTCGAAAAAATCAAAGTAAATATATGAAATGCAGATAACAATCTAGAAATCGATCAAAAAGAATTCTTAGATTCTGATGAAAATAGAATATTTTCTTCGCATGCAAAGACAGCACTCTCAGGGCTTGATTGCTTATGAGTTAAAGCCTGTGCGTCTAGGGTTTTTATGACAATGAACTATGAATAGTTCTAAGGTTAAATTTTCTTCATATTGTCTCTCGAGTACTATATTCTTACCAATCAAATGAGTATTGGCATTGTGACCTACTTGCAAGTATAATTGCCCCACAGTTTAATAGAACCAAGATGTTTTACCTTTGAAACTTATCGTTTAAGCCGTAAGTTTTAGAACATTTTGCATACTAAGTTAGTCTATGAGTGGGTGAAATTTTATGGTCGAAATAATGCGCTTTGTTCCATTCGTTTATCCAGTAATATTGTTGATTGAAGTTTCAGTACGATGACTTTATTTCTGGAGGGAAGATATAAACATAAATATTTGTTTACAATTATTCATACATCACTGCGATTCAGTATAAATGGTAAAAAGCGATTATTTTCGTTGACAGATTCTCCTCAGCATAAAAATTCATGTTGTACAATCAAATCAAAAGGAAAATTTCTCATTCTGAATGATATGCTTTCATAGAAGATTAAATATTTTATTATTAAATCTCTATGCCATGATCAATAAATTCCTATTCATAGTTTCATATGTAATATTAATCTTCTTAGTAGCATACATATTTCCGATGACCTTCTACTCTGCCTTGTATTAATCGACGGGAAACCCAAAGAACAATTTTATTGCAAATAGATAGCTATGCCAGATCCTACTAGATGATTTCAGTAATGAATAAAACTTTTTACAAATATCATTAATTTACCATAAGTTTAACATGTATAAGAAAAGCATATTTGTGTAAAAATAAATGAATGGGCTAGTGAGCGGATTACAACAAAAAAAAATGACTTGAAATCCCAATCCTCATATTAAAATATGTTTTCAATTATATATGACAAAACTTCATCGAAGCAAGAAAAACAACACTCAAGTGAAACATGCTTTTGTGTAGATGGGATTTAATATATTGCGTTCTTTTTTTGCTTTGTATTCAACAAGTTAGTAAAGAAAAAGGAAGCAACTTTTAAGAGAATTGTTTTCTTCGTCTTGTTTTTTTTTATTGCACTTCTCTCTATTGTTATTTATCACAAAGAAACATCGTCTATTAAAAACTAAAGAGGAAAAATCTTTACTGAACTAAATATTTTGTTTTTGTAGGTTGGTTGAAGGAAATGAAGAAATCAAAAAAGATGCCAATCAATCGACTAGTGAAGATGACTCTGTTCAAGAAACAGCTAATAGTTAAAAAGAAAAATAAGTCAGAAATTCTTAATTGTTGTTATTTCTTTTCCTCGTTTATTAACATGCTGCCAAAAAAAAACATTAGATTATTTACATGTAGACTTTTGTTTTGTTTTTTTATACATGACATGGGCCATGTCGTCTTCGTTTAGATATATGAAAAAAATTAAAGGGTAAACAGAAAAAAATATGTTGTTGATTATTATGAATTGTAATATCATTATCGAATTGTTGTTGTCTATTGATGGCTGTACTTGCATTTGATTTTTGAGAATGATATCGAGAGCACTTTTTTAATGGTCGACAATATGAATGAAGTTTGGGTTTGGGTAGTTGTCGTTGTTTTTCTACTTTTAGTAGAATCGGAGCTGATAAGATAAAATGCGATGGTTGATTCATAACAGGCACAAACTTTGGTGTACTGGATAAACATGGGGCAAACGCCATTATAATATTATGTTTCAAATGATCTATTGATATGAATTCAACTCTCTCTCTCTCTATCTATATATATATATATATCTATGTCTACATTGGACATGGGTAGATAGAAAAACACCTACTCAGCATGTGATCGATATGCCGATATATAGTTTTTTTCATCTTATTTCAGACTTATGTTGTTCACATCCACCTACCGAGCTAATTGAGTTTATGTTGAAACATCATTAGATCAACCATGGTAAAGTTAAAGAGACGGAAAAGCAATATTTTGTTTTATTTATATTACATAGTCATTGTTGGGTGTGAAATTCACATCGAGTTAATTATATGTATCTCATTTAATGAAAATTACCATCCGCAAGTGAAACATTAAAACTATGATAAGATATGCAAGATAGATGAAAAAGAAAAAAACAAGCAAATAAATGCGTATACAACACGTGATGGACTATAAATACTAGTAATCTTTAAAAAACAAGAAAAAAGGTAGATACATATATACGAGTTTTTATCCGTTTGTTCTATTATCACTTATGTAAATGACATTACAACAAAGCGCGAAATAAGCTTTTCTTTATATTCAGTTAATCGATGTCATCACTGTAGTTCTCTTTTTCTTCTATCGTTTGATTATTGGGCGTTCGCTCATATCAACGATGTCTTGCCAATATAATATTGTCGTCATACGTTTGTTTATGCCTGGAGTATCGATGTATATATAAGCGAGAATTCAACATCTTATACGTATACATCGACAACTGTTCTCTATATCCAAGACATGCAGAGGTCTGCGATCGTGCTATTGCATAAATTCACAGGAGTGCCTGTCCCGTCTTTTACTGAGTAATTAGAAGACGTATAGAATAGTAACAGAATACAGAAATGCCGCATAGCGCCACGCATGTTCTTCGAGTTGGTTAGATGGCGATTCTCGAGATATTTTTTTTTCTCCCTCTTTCTCTCCGCATTAATGTATCGAGCTCGGTCTTTTGTTCTGTTTTTCTCTCTTTCTATCCTTTTCGTCAGTTGAGTTTTATTCGTTTGTTTTTAATAAAGGAGAGACAAAGAAAATGAAAGCTACTCTCTTTTTTTCTCTTTCGTCTCGTTTCATTCTTTATATTATTCGAACAGGCGAACAGTGAATTTTACTTCAGACAGAACACGATGCTGGTCACCTCTTCGCAATCATCAACACAACGACCATTGGGTTTGTCGGTCGAAGAACTATTTGCGTTAGATCGTCAATATCGTCGTATTGAACAGCAACAACAGCACTTAGCTCAATTACAGAGTCAAGCACGCGTAACATCATCCAATCTTAATCGTCTAACTAGTCGCTCACTTGATCTTATTTCATCAACAACTCCTCATCTCTCTGTTCTGCCATCACTAGAAGTACACGGTCACGCATACAGACAAGCACCGCCACCATCATCCACTCTAAGATATCCTCGATCGAATTCAATTGATCAACTCAGATATACACCGCCAGTATTTACGACACCTTCACCGCAACTTTTAAAATCTGCACATAATCAACGATCTACTACGAATGATACTCTACAGCAACAATACCATTCAAAATATCGAACTAATTTACAGGTAAATAATGCCAGTCAGTAGTAAAGTGCTCGAACTACATATTTGCATGAAGATATGTAATATATATATATGCATAAAATGCGACAGAAAGAGAAGTACTTTCTTTTTTTCTTCTCAAACATTAATTACTACTCAAGGGAGTTGCCGTTTGAAAGCGCACACGCATAGAAATAAAAAAGAAAAAAAAAACTTGCAAGTTGCTGTTTCATTTTTTGACAGCACCCACTCATGGCTACCGGTAGCCCGCCATCTTTGGGAAGTAATGACATGCAAAATATGCCTACATCATCCAGTGAACAGTATGATGCACGAAATTCTTGTAAACTACGTCGACAACATCCTGTTAAACGTGAATCATCCCGTCGAATAGTTGTTCGACCTGTTGTACAAAGACGTCGAGAACCATCGCTTAGCTCATCGTGTGAGTCATTAGATGAATTACGTTCACCTATTCGTCAATTTCCAAATGAACAGGTTTTTTATAAATTTTTTGCATTTATTCACGAACAAAAAAATATAAATTATTGTGTTTTTTTAGTCAAATATTTCAAATCAATCTACTCAACATATGCCATCAGCAGCATTAATAGCTGATGTTATAAATGATTTAAAAAAACGAGCAAATAGTTTAACACGTGCGTCGTCAAACAATGATTCTTTATCTGATGACAGTGATATTAATTTATATGAAATGCGTGTACCGATCGGTAAAACATATGATACATCAGATATAAGTGTACAATTAGAAGGACCGAAAATTCTAATCCACTGCTATACAATAGAAGCAACAGATAAACGTGGTAATTATCGTAAACATGAGTTTAAAACGGAGTTATTGGTACCAGATGTTGTTGACGACGAATCTATTGTTGCTTATTTGACTGAAGATGGACAATTAATTGTTGAAGGTAAATATCAACCATGGGCATGGGAAGAAATAAAAAGAAAACGAAAAATTGAACAACAAGAAGCAAAATCTTTATTGTCTCCAAATGCTTTATCAACTACTCCGCTTCCGCAACCACCACCACTACCACAAGTTTCTGTATCATCAGCAAATTCTACTATATCATCGGCAAGAACTGACGGAGGTAGGTTTATAAGTAAAAACTAACTAAATGAGATGCTTTTAAACTAAAATTTGCAATAAAACAAAACAACCGTTCGAATGATTAAATAAAAAGTAATCCAACAAATCTATTAAACTCTACATTTCAACTAGTTATAGGTTGAATTTTAATTTATAAAACCCTTGGAAAAAATATTTCTGCTCGAGTTCATATCTTGTTTTTTTTACGTGCGTGTTGTTTTATATCTAATCAATTTTCTAATACATTACATGTCGAAACCATCGGCGCGATGAACGAACCAGCAGGTACTTGATAAAACTAACTAACAGACTATTTCTAATTCTTCGTGTGTTTGTTTGAACGTGTGTATTAACTCTTAGGTGTTTCTTTTTGCAGCACTACTAAGTCAGCTCAAAGCAGCTGCGGATTGGTTCAGTAGGGTATTGTCGCCGTGAAGGAAATTCTTTTCTTTTGTGTTCAACTACGGTTCGTGTGCGTGTAATTTTTCTTAATCATTTCCCAGCATGGTGTGCCATTCGTGTTTATTTTTAATATATCGTCTCTATGAACTCTATTGAAATTATTTTTTCTATGCCTTTCTTTTTCAAATAGACCTGGATCAAGAGAAGATGTCATCATCACTCACATCTAACAGTCATCGAACCGTGTACAATAATAATCAAACTAATCCTATGAACATAATCGAAACATTAAATAATAATCGAACTGTGATTCATATTGGTGAACCAACCTTATCATCTCAACAATATACAGATACAAAAAGTGTAAATGATATAATTAATCGTTTTAATACGTTTAATACATCACCAACGCCAACAGTATGGGATGGCCAATATACATTTACAAATGAGACTCCACCTATCCTTATCTATCATCTTCGTCTACCGTTCGAAACATTAATGGATTCTATTCGTATACAAGCTGACGCGGAATTAGATATATTGAAAATTTTTATTGAACAACAAGAGAGAAATTTATTGCCACAGTATGAACAACAAAAACAACAACAAAATAAAATAATAGTACGTTCAACGTCAAGATATTGCCGTTTACCAAGAGATCATACATATGATTATGCCCATTTACGTGCTATATTTCTAAAAGATAATTTTATTCGTATTGAAGTGCCGACATTAAATTAAAGAAAAATCAATCGTCATTTCTCTTTTATGTCATGTTACCACCGGTGATAAATTGATTCTCTCTTGTGTTTTCATATTAAAATGTACTTATATTTGCTGGATTATTGTATCATTTTTCTATTTGTATCTGTGTATTTTTTTTGTCTTAGAAATGTGTGATAAGAAAAATGAATTATTAATATCAGTATGAAATTCTGAACAAGTTGCTAAAGATTAATTTGTGATATTAAATTTGAATTATGACACTTTTAGCCTCCGTTCTGTAATAAAACATAAAATTTTTGTTTTTTATTTAAAATAATATTCACAACAGTCAAAATAAAATGGAGACCTTCGATGAAGTAGCGACTTGGCATTTTTTTCGTGTAAGATAATGTCATTATTTTGACTTGAAACAAAAAAAGAAAGATGTTACCCTATGCCCAACAGTCTAAAAGGTCAATACTCCAGAAATTATTAAATGTTAATTACAAATTTCTTCCGACTGTAAATAAATGTCATAGAATGTTGAATAAAACATCATTTGCTTGTTTGTTTCATCAACAATCTGGAAGAGATAGTTATAGATCTTGTTTCTTAAAGATAGATCATGTAATTATATCTACTAATGATAGCCGATTTTCCATTAAGAAGATTGATCACTAAAAACTGCACTTTCATAACTAATAATTGACGTTTATAATTTGTCGCGTAACAATCTTCATTACGTAGATTTAACCATACGCAGTTTCCTCAATTGACATTCGATTATCTTTCAGTAAACTCTTCTAAAAAATGACCATTCTTTTTTTTTATTTATTGAAAGAGAGCACATATACTTCCTAAAAATCATCTAAGTGCTTTGTTTCTATGTTGTAGCTATTTACTTTGAGATGCACTTGTAATAAGTAGTACCACGGTGAAAGCTCTTGAGATTGCGAGAGGCGTATGATGTTGTTCAACAT